CCAAGCCTAGTGATGAACATTGACAAAGACCTTCCACATTTTTATCCTCGATTTGTGCGATTCAGGTGGGTCGACCAGGGCGTTCCAAAAAAGACGGAAATCCAGCAAAACCGAAAACCTCACTCCAGATCCACCTATATAACTCATGATAAATATGTGGAATATCCACTTAATTATAAGAACAATTCATCTCTGATAATACTCAGATTCAGATTTGCCCCCGAGGGGGCTAGTTTATTGGGCACCCCCTTACATCCTGTGCAAGGTGAAGCGCAGAAGCGTTTACAGCGCCCAACAGGGAAGTATGAGAAGTTCATACTTGCCTTTATGACTCGTACATTAAGGGCGTAAAAGCCTGAAGGGTCATAGGTTCTGTCAAGTTACATAAAGTGAGAGAATGATGTGTGTGTGGGGGGAAAGTTCCCGGTACATTTTATCTGTTTATGGCAAAGAGTGGCAGGTCCCTAATAATGTCAAATGCCAGGCCTGTTATATCCTTTCTTTTACGATCATCACCGGGAATTCTATCACCAGAACGCTTCTTGTTGATATTCTTCTTTACTATATTCACAGTTAATACAGTGGGGTATGCTATAACGAACGGATCCTACTACGAATATTCCTATAACGAATGGTTTTACCTATAAAATTGAGAATGCTATAACGAACGAAACTCCTACAACAAACATTATTTAATTTTTTTTTTCTAATTTATTGTTTTTTTATTACAAATATTAATGATATTCTTTATTTCAGGGGTTTAGATGCATATTTATGCACTTTTTTAAAATTTTTACAATTTTATATTATATTTTTTAGTGTTAAGTGGTTGTATTTGGGGGCCTGGAACGGATTAATCCTATAACGAACGAATGCTATAACGAACAAGGTTCTAGAACCAATTAGATTCGTTATAGCATACCCCACTGTACCACAAAATTGGAGAAATAGTAAGCAAAAATCGCGTTATAGCAAACAAGCGTTCGTGTCATACAAATATCGTTCCTAATTCATAAATCGCGTTAGAGCAAATTCGCGTTATCAAAACACGCGTTATAGCAGAACTCACTGTATTAGTGATAATTTTTCTCACTTCCTTGAAAGCACCAAGCCATGACCTACTTGATATTTTATTTTTTTTGTATTTTTTTATAGTTTGGACACTGGATTGGTTTACTATAGTACTAGTACTATACATTCAAATAACAAATACAGGGTATTCTAGTAAAACAAATTAAAACATCCCTAAACCTGCTCAGTTGGTGGTACCCTGTTGGATTGCATTAGCTCAACTATGCCTAACGAAACCAAGCCAAACCTTGGAGTGATAGGTTTGGTTTATGTTGTCTGATGTCAGAAAAGGTTAATTATCTATACCCGCAGTCTCCAGTACGGTGATCAACAAACAAAACACTTCCCTCTGTATAAAGATTAAAAAAAATTTACCCAAGATCACATACATTTTCCCCTTTACTGTTACAGCATATCTGCTTTCTGTGCGTGAATATAAACATACTGTATTAGCAAAGATCCAACAAAAGACTCCAAGAAATAGTAAAGATATTCTGTCATGGTCTTTCCTGATATATTTTTAATGCAAAGAATGTTGGGTTGATTTTGGTTTAAGGGAAAACAAGTGTTAACTTATGATTGTTTTTTTTTTTTAATCCTCTACAAAATCTAGGTTGGGAGATGATAGAACTAAACTCCATACAAACTACAGTGCTGCTAATCTAACCTAACCTAAGGAAAAACTACCCTATCATTGAATATATGACTCACAATTGCCATTTTCCAGTCACCGAGGATCTTTTGCTCGCCCATGCATCTGTAGCTGTTGGGACAAGCCACTCCACAAATAATTATAGGCTGGTGAGCTTGACCAACAAAATGTGTAACGTACTACAGAGCAGTATACGGGAAGACATGACGGAACATCTGCTACGTAACAAACTAGTTAAGAATACCAACATGGTTTCGTGCAGGGACACAATTTCTCAAGGTCCTGGAGCATGGTGACAATACTGTATTGACAATATATCTAGACTTTGCCGCCAAGGCTTTCCACAGAGTAACCCATGAAAGGCTGAAAATTAAGCTGAAAGAGTACGTAATTCGGAGGAGTGTCCTAGTGTGGATCGGAGACTTTCTTCTTGACCGCAAGTAAGCAGATGATGCCAAGTTATTCAAGAAAATTAAGAAACAAAAGTAGATAGAGGGAAAAAAATACTTATACTGTAATTAAAATAAAAAGTGGTCAGCTCTTTTAAAATACTTAGTATAATGATAAGAACACCCGTGGAAAAAGGAACGAAATCGAACAACTGCTCCTGGTGTTAGCCATCTCCACCAGTATCACCACATTCTGGAATCAGCACATGCCCAGTACTTGCCATAAGTGTAAAACAGAGATGTGACTGACAGATTGTCCAAGCGGCTAACAGACCAATTAGTGACAAAGAAGATACAGAAAAGTATGTTGGGCATGTTCGAATGTTCATTGGTAATTGTACAGAGGAAGAGCACCACTAAACAATTACAACTGCTGATTTTTTTTCAGCCACTAGTTACACAAAAGTAGTCACAGTTAATGGATGCAGTGTCGTAACTATGACTAAAAATCTAGAATTCACTTAGGAAACAACAAGTAAGTTATCTCCTTGGTTATAGTGCTTCCATCAATTGCTAAATCCATCACTGAACTATACTGTATCTTAGTTTAACAGGGATGGTCTGGTTTTTTTCTAGCTAAACCAAATGTAGACCTACTTACCACTTCATAAATAAATTCGGTAAAGGTGTACAAGAGGGTGACCACCAAAAGTTGTTTGTCGATTTTCATTAATGTAAAAAAAAATTCAACCAATTCGGACAATTCCTTCTGATGGTCACCCTTTCTACACCTTTACCATAAATTCAATGTCACACTCAAGTGACAAATATTCAAAAAGCAAACTCCCAAAAACTTATCCAGTGGAGCCCATTCTTAACATTTACTGTGAATTCAAGGCTGCACATTCAAGTACCAAATGCTCAATAAACAAAATCGGTAATTATATAGGACTAACCCGCGAGCAAAATTGAATGAAAACAATTATATAAAAGCCGGATTTTCATTGTTATATTATAGTGGACACTGTTGTAGTTTGTGGAAATATGTTACGAAATAGATATTTTTAAAATAAACGCTACTTAACATTTGTGGGTATGAAGAACTGACCTAACCAACCAAACCAAACCCTACCAAATCTTACCTAACTTCCCCAGTATATTAAACAGAAAGAAATTACTATGATGTGGTGAAATTTGAAACATTTCTGGACGCAAGATGACACGGCCGCATTGGCGCTATGCAGCCCTGGCGGGTTAGTCCTATATATTAACCACAAAATCTTAATATTTCCCAACATTCCGCGTAATAAACTGGTTCCCTTTCTCTATATTTCTACCCAAAAAATACAACAATGACCCTTTATGTGAACTCTTGGAACAATCTGCCAGAAAGTGTTGACGGCAGTGCGAGCTCTTTCAAGACCAGACTTGACCAACACTGGAGCAGGTTCAGGTACATTCAGGAGCCGGTGCATGCACAGTACTTGCCAACAGTGAGTAATAGAGACGTGACCGATCGCTCAAGTGGCTAACGAGCCGATCAGTGAAGAGGATAAATGCAAAAAGTTAGACTCGTCCTTCTCCCAGATACATCTAAACCACACAAACCCTCCCTCACACCAATATACCACACACAAATATTAATCCTTAAATGTTCTATGTTTACGTATCAAACATGCCACATTCATCAATTAGCTTTCAGATTATTTATATTCATCACTTCTCGAAGACCTTCCTCGGGATCAAATTACCGAGAGGCGAGTTCTTGACAGTGTAGAGAACCATCGTTAAATCTCTACCAGAATCTGTTCAACCACACCTCATTATCCAGGACAAATTTATCTATTCTTCCTCCTTTCTACTCACCCTCAGGCGACCGGGGGTTAGTCCTCCTCAGTTATTACAGTCCTCCACAGCAGACGCCCAGTTTGACTTTTGTTTACTTGTAGGTTCCAACTCACCACTAGCGACACCCACCAATCACAGCTCAATTCACATGGCTATGACCAATCATGTGCTAGTTCACCGATGACCAACCAATCACAAGGTAGTAACAATTCTATCGTCCAATCAAAGAATGAGATGTCAGACAGTTGGAAAATAGGTATTGTCTTTCTTTTCGTTCTTGGTGGATATTTTCCCCTATAATATTGCAATTATAATTATCTATTTTATTCAGAATATTTTAATCGCAACATAGATATTAATTTCTTCACGAAGAGAGAGTTTATATAAAAGAATAAACCTAATTGCGATGTGACTACAAATTAAAGAACTTTACTCTGCACTTCCCTTTAAATTATATAGAATCGAAATTACTTTACTAAGAACCTAGCACCATAGATGAAATAGATTTAAATACATGTTTGCTATATCAACACTATACAGTATGTAAACATTGCATCATAATTTTAAATCTTGTTTGCCACAGTTTTCGTATTTAGCGGCAAGTTCATGAAGTACTACAAATAAATGAATTCATAGATGGATAGATAAATAAATGAATAAAAAATAAAATTGTCTTACTAGTCCAGCATAGTCCAGAATGTTCAAGGCCCGTGGTGGCATATCATATGCATAGGCAGTGTCGGTATACAAACAGTAGTATATAATGGCATACAAACTTTGACTAATGCCTTGAACTGAAAAAAAAAGAAACCGATAGCTTATATTAAATCATTCCTTCATTGTTCCCTACACGACATTGTCCTTTTAACAAAACACATAAAAATATAGTATGTCCTAAACTGTGCCACACGACTAATGCTCCTTGAAAAACACCATGTTAGAAAAATACCTAAAGAACGGCACTAAACTTAAATAATTTTACGAAATTAGAAGACACAAACCTACTCTAATATAACAATACTGTATTATTATATTATATTTTATATTACGTAAGGTATGGTTGACTTATGTTAACCTACAAAATTAATGGTTGAATTCTGTTCGTAGAAATTATTAAACATCGTCAGTTACTACGTTGTGTAAAGAACTCAAACCGTAAGTCAACATCATGGTAATTTGCCCGTTTAATATTATTGTTTACTAATGATAGGTAGCCTCACTATTTAGTGACTTCAGCACATCAATCATACTTTTAAAATTCTAACCAAAAACATGAAGTAATAGTTATATTCGTTTATAATATTTGGATGTTCATGCCAGATCGTGTGACGGCAATGTACCCTGGACACTTCATATATTGAATGTGTAGAATAAGAGAGAGTAATTATTGAGCTATTACCCTTCCTACCGCATGTTACCAAAGGTTTGGTAAGGCATTAAAGAAAAAGGAAAAATCTAAAAGAACCCAACCTAACCTAATCTGGTCATTGTACTCATTTACTGGGTAAATATTCCCAAAACAATGGCACAGGATTTAGACTCATAATCCAACACTGGTACTGTACAGTACAGTATATGATTTAGGCTTATTTGCTTGTCTTTGCGGAATAGCCAAATTTAATTAAGTAAAATTGACGTTAAAATTTGGCCTGGAAAATACAAAGTGTTTTCAGGAAGCTGTTTTTTTTGTGCACAGTATCATATTATGAAGGTGCATATTTGAGTAGATTATGCATGTTTTGTACCATAATTTACAGGACCACAATATAGTACTGTAATGTATTTTTAGTTTAATTTCAGCTGATTGTCAACTAATATTTTTCCTGATATGTGAAAATCTATGATTTGTTGTACGTAATCATTATTTTATATTTTACAGCAAATTTCAACAGTTATGAGATGTGAAACCCAGTAGCCATCATGCCGCAGACACACAAAAGTGTTGCCTTCAGTGGCAAAAAGAAAAAGGAGCAGCTCAGAGCACGAAAGGAAAGAAAATTATTTATCCCCACAGGAAATGGTAAGACTTTCAGCAAAATACTGCACAGTCACGAGAAACAAGAATCTTGGACAACAGACTCAAAATTATGGTGGTCTTGTTACTCATAAATGTATACAATACAGTACCTAGTTTTTTTGTGACTCGGTGTAAATCTAAAGTACAGTAACAGGAAGACTCTGCTTATGTTGCTCTAGACCTGCCTTCAGAACCTCTAGGGTAATATATTTTTTATGTTGAATACAGCTGCACTTATGGCATTATAATAAGACAAACCATTACTCATATTTCTAATCAATAACTTTACGGTGTTTTCAGTGCCTGAACATCAACGCATCGACCATCACGGGGGATCAGAATTATCCGAGACACAGTTTGCCGAGCTAAAGCAAGATGGTTCTACAGAGCCAGTGTGTTTGAACTACCTAGAAGATATAAATTCCATTAACCAGCAGCCCAGGGGTCAGGGTAATGCTAACAGGTGAGGGGGGGAGAGGGTGGATGAATGCTGTATGGCCACATTTTGTGTTATCATTGTACAAGGTATTGGCCCTTTGAAGTTTACTGTAGTGAGGAGACTTGCCCATTTTCACAGGGAACCTTGTTACATATGAGTCACTTGAAAGGTGGTAATAATCACCTGGGGTTGTTGGCTCAGAGTGAGTGTTGTTAATTAGAGCTTCTACTTTTATCCTCCTCCCACTGTCAGGTTGACTTTGACAAACATGAGCTACCCAGGACAGTTGTTAGGTTATAAATGATGGAATGATCTTGAAATCCCATTTTGTAACTGAAACCAGATGGGTTAGTCTCCCTCCTGCCATAGCTAGCATGTGATGTGGCTGGTACTGTAAGATTGGGATGATGCTGTAGCTCATATGTTCTAACTAAACAAGTGATGGGTGAAATGAACACTGTTATTGTGGGACTGGTCCAATTAGCTTTTTTAAAACTTAGGTGGCAACTCCTTCAGTGAGAAGGTAAAACTTATGTTAGTGCCAGTAGTCCCAACATATGCTTCTTGGTGAAATAGGGGTTCCAACTCCTAAACTTATCTGGTTGTACAATGTGAGCCAGCCAGCCCAGTACTGTATTGGTTATAAAATGGGATTTCATGATCAAATCCAATTTTCTTTTTGTTAATAACAAGTTTTAAGTGATACCTTGAATTACAGGTATAATTTGAAGTTTAGAAAAGAAACACCTGAAGAAGCTGAAAGGCGAAAAGCTCATCACTATATTGAAATAGATCAAGTACCGGAGTATAAATTGGAAGCTACATCAGACCACTTCTATCCCCCTGGCCTTGGTTACCCAACTCGACCACCATGGAGGAAGAACACATCAAAGCAAGAATTAGATCACAGTGAAAACAAACATTTTAGACTTTTTTGTGAAAAATTGGATCGGGATTTTGCTGCAGTCGATCTAAGTCTGTACGAGTTGAACCTGGAAACCTGGCGACAACTGTGGAGAGTAACAGAGATGTCTGACATTTTACTAATTATCGTAGATGCTCGATTCTCAGTAAGTGTATATTACAAGGATTATTCCTCAAAAGGTATACAATAGTACAGTACTGTACTGTACACCAAAAGTATTGGATTGCGGACAGTCTTGACAAAATGTGTTGAGTACCAGGTGTAGGGCATGGCACAGAATTAATATAGGAAAGAGATTAAATGTTATAGAATTATGTTAGAACAGCAATTTAAAGAACAAAATGAGCTTAGAAGTGAAAATATAAAAACGGCAGACTGAAGAATGAATGCATGTAAGGTGGTATACAGTACATTTATATGGAGTACAGTACTGTCATATGATGTTCCTCGTGAGTGAATTTTTCTTTAGACGAGTTTGCATTTACTATACTGGTTTATTAATATATATTGACTGATACACTATTGCCAATAGAGATTTTTTATGTTTATTACATCATCAAATATATATTTAGCAATTGATTGCCATGGTTCCAACTGTCTACCTCAACAGGTTGCCCAATTCCCACCATACCTGTACAAGCACCTAGTGGAGAAGGATAATAAGGGAATTATACTTATCCTGAACAAGTGTGACCTTCTGCCCCCAGCTGTAATAGCAGCCTGGGAGCAGTACTTTCACAACAAGTTTCCCAAGTTGATTGTGGTCCCATTCTCATCAGTGGAGGGTTATGCTTTCCGCAAAGGAACATTAAGAATGGCCGCGGAAGGCTCACTCAGGCTTATTGATGCTTGCCAAAAGTTGGTGGATGATTCAGGTTTGTGGAGTTCATATTAATTCCTATTTTACCCTTGAACCAGCAGTGCCCATTAGCGGCTCATCTTAATATCTTTCCATTTTTTTATAATTATAATTTGATTTTTATCCCATAGTGAATCTAGACCTTTGGAGGAAGAAGGTAGAGGAGGAAAGAGAATTGGAAAGTGAGGCAGGCCATGAGTGTGAAGCAACAGAGGGTGTGACAGTGATGGCTCAGAGCACCAGGCCTGAGCTCCACCAGCGCTTCCAGAACGGAATCCTCACTCTTGGGACGATCGGCAACCCAAATGTTGGAAAATCATCGCTTATTAATGCAATTATGGGGAAGAAGGTGAGATGTCTATTACAGTATTCTCTTTTAGTAAATATGTGTAGGTAGATATTAATGACAGTAGCTACCACAAGTTTAATGAATAGAATTGCAGTCTAACATGAAGGTACCTGAGGGGGGAAAAGTTGAGAGTTTTGCCTCTTTGTATATTCAAGTACAGTTTAGTCAGAACCCAATCAGGTTGTCCCCACGCAACACAAAATCACCTATACATGTCTGAAGAAACATGACAAAGCTGCTACATTGTGTCGAGATATTCAGGTACTCACATTCTGAACCTGTCACAGCCTGGGCAACAGGACCCACATACCACAGTCTCCTAGTCAGGAAGGGTACAAGTAAAAATTGATCTAGCTGTATTTTGGGGAAGATCTGGGTACAAATTTATCTTTTAGGAAAATGTTGTGGAATGTGTATCTGAGTCATACTGCGACTGTTCCATCCTAATAGTAGGTATTAGTTGGGTTTATGTTCTTAGGGGTTATTTTTCACGAAATTTATCTCTCATAAATGGTGTTGTACTTTGCTTAATACATAATAAATTTTACTTAATAATTTGAACAATGTAATGTAAAAAAATTAAAACATTTACATAACATAACAATAATCTTGATTATTGAGATCAGCCAGGTGTGCTGGGAGGGATGATCAAGAGATTTAAACAAACCTTTTTGAGATTATAAAATTAACAAAAATATACAAACATCAGAAATTATGTGAAACATTGAAGCTAAGGATCAAGGGATGTCCATAGTGTCTTGAACTTGTGTATCAATGTTGCTCTGTTGGAGAAGATGGCTTTCACTACAACTGCTACATCCTGTTACAGGTAGTGAGTGTGAGCAAAACCCCAGGCCACACCAAGCACTTTCAGACCATTTTCCTCACGAAGAATGTCAAATTGTGTGACTGTCCAGGTTTGGTGTTCCCCTCCACAGTCTGCACACCACTACAGGTAAACATTAAATCCCTCTATGCTTTAATTTCATGTTAGATTAATGTATGTGCATAATTACATCATTACTCAAATAGAATATATACGTGATGTAGGTACGAGTTTTACATGTGTGTTTACATTTTGGTTGTTTGAGAAGAATAAAATGCTCAAGATTGTCTCTTGAATTTTGTTTGTACTGTATTGCAATATTTTGAAGGAGTGTATCAGTGGCAAGTGTATTGTGTCCTATTGCCAGAAAGGTTCTTAAGCATAACTAAATTAGATGTAAATCATACCAAAGTTGTTACAGTTTGTTTATGATTCCCACAGGTTGTGCAGGGCAGCTATCCTATATCTCAGGTTCGTGACCCAGTAGGTGTCGTGCAGTACATTGCCTCGAGGCTAAACATTCCAGGACTACTCAAGCTGTTCAGTGATGAGGTGGAAGGATCTAAGTGGACATCTTACTATATCTGTGAAGGTACTTTAGATTCTTGTTAATTTAAGTAAACACATTCTTCCTCTCATAATATATGTAAGAACTGTTCAAATTGTCTGAGGATATTTAAATTATATTTATTTTCAGTGTAGAAATGCTACTACATGAAGGCTGTGTAATAGTGTATAAGGGATAAAATTAAATCCCTTTCATTTTATCAAAATTATCACAACTCGACAGCTTGGGCCAGAAAGCGAGGATATTTCACACGCGCTCGAGGTGGACCAGATGTTTCAAGAGGAGCCAATGAGCTCCTTCGAATGTGTCTCAATGGCCAAAAATCTCTGGTATTATTCTTCAGGCCACCAGGCTACTGCAAGGACAGAGGCAAGTGGAGTTGGATGTGTCCAGAGGGGATACAGCCTTAAAAATAAATATAAACATTTTCTTTGCAGTTCTGAATGAATCACAGATACTGCTACCTAATTTAACATTTGCTTCATACTAGAGGAATCTTTTCATGTCATATTTGATGCCACATCAGTTATCTCACCCTCTGTATCCAGTAAGAGCTCTTGCTTTTTAATTCACAATGGCTGTGTAAGATCTCCAAAAACACTTGAGTTGTTTCTTTTAAAATATTTCTTCCTTTGCTCACTTATGCCTGCAGTTGAGATTTAGTTTATAGATTTTACAATTACTTTAATCTTTTGCCAGATAAATTTGAAGCAAATCCTCGAGTAGAAGAGATAAAACTTATCCAAGGAATTCATGCTAAAGACACTGAGCCACAACCTAGAGAGAAGGCAATGGATGAAGGCATTGAGGAGGATGAACCGGGTGAAGAAATGGAAGGAAGAGAGAACCATGAAGATACTGAAGAAAATGAGACAGAGAGTGAAGAGGAAGAACCTAGAGCCACTATACAAAATAAATTTGCCATCTTGATTGAAGATGATTAAGGTAATGAACCATATTTATATCTCATTAATTTCTTAATGTGATAGGTACTAAATTACAGTAATTACATAAATTAGGTACAAAATTACAGTAGTACTTAAGTACTAAAATGTTCACAAAACATACGTAGATAGCAAAAATATGAAGAGACCAACCCCAATACAATGTACATGAATCTTGGTGGGCTACTGTATACATTTTGAGATCCTCGCTGATTGACTTAGAGGATGTAAACAACAAAGATGGCGGCAGACTTTATCGTTAGTTATTTTTCACTAATGTTTGATTTCATGTACGATTCTATGATACTTTTTTTTTATTTTTCCTCAACTGTAACCTCCATTATTTCAAGCTAATGGTCTTGTCGATGAGGAAGATGTTGAAACGGAGCGACACGTCAGCAACATGTACTGACAGGGTTTCCTCACCCTCGACCACCACCAAGGTCTTCTCATCCTCGACCACCACCAAGGTCTTCTCATCCTCGACCACCACCAAGGTCTTCTCATCCTCGACCACCACCAAGGTCTTCTCAACCTCGACCACCACCAAGGTCTTCTCATCCTCGACCACCACCAAGGTCTTCTCATCCTCGACCACTACCATGGTCTTCTCATCCTCGACCACCACCAAGGTCTTCTCATCCTCGACCACCACCAAGGTCTCTCCTCACCCTCGACCACCACCACAGCATCACCATCCTCCACTACAGAAACAGACTCCAATCAGCCACTAGACAGAATCCACCCAGAAAATCTACACGGCGCAACACTACCGTAACGCTTGGCACTTCAGGCAGGCATAGCGTGTGAAGTTGACAGATAACTCTGACCAAAACTAAATCATTAAAACCATCTGTCAGTTCTATAATATAAGGAAGAATCCCAAAGATGAAAAATGTTTTGGATCTTTAGCAATTGTTTTACATTATTTTTTTGTGTTTCCCGATAAACTTTTCTTCCTCCCTCTCATTGCCAGCTCTGTTTGTTTCTTGTTAGCAATTTCTTCAACACTTACACAGTAACTAATGGTCAGTGTATTTATACAGAAAGAATTATACAGTGCTTATGTTTTCTGATGTACAATGGCTAATATAACCAAAGATCAGTGTACAGTATATATTAAGGAAGAATTAGACATACTGTATTTTGTTTTATGGTGTAGAAGTGCCTATTTTATATATATATATATATATATATATATATATATATATATATATATATATATATATATATATATATATATATATATATATATATATATATATATTATCATGAGTCTTTCAGATCCTGTTGAATGCATGGATGGTGTGTGTGAGTAGGTGTATGGTGGTATGTCGAGGTATGCAGTGGTGGTGTAGGTGGGAGGTAGTACAGTGAAGGTATGCATTGGTGTGTGGTGGTGTGCTGGTGAAATGATAAATAAAATTAAATATTACTGATTAGGGAGATTAATTGTTCATTGATAAATTTTACATAAACAATATTCGTGATTCTGTTAAACATCATCATTTGCTCGTACTTGTACTGTACACTGAAACCCCCTTAATTCCGAATCACTCATAATTTGTAATGTTTTTGTGCTACGAAATATATATTACAAATTTTTTAATATCTGGTAAAATTTCACATTACAAGACATTTACTGCTATATGTTTCACTCATTTCGGTCACAGTCAGTTCGTGTTAGTTAGTCGTGAGTGCACATGCACATCTACAGTCTAATGCGCAATCATTTTTCCATCAATGCCCTGTGTTTGAGCCATTATATCTGATAATCATGGACCAAGCACCCAAGTCTGGTACAGAGGTAATGTATTTAGAAACTTTTACATTTTTATTGGGGCAGATAATGGAAAAGTACCATTGATATTTTTTTCCCTAAGAAGAAGGTGTCCCTCATATTTCGTAAGATCTCATAATAGCTAGAGCCCATTATTATTATTTTGAGTTATGGGAACTTTACTGTATAGAGCTAACTTGATCACCTGTCTCTCACATTATACAATATAACATAATAATTATAGACTTGAAGGAGAGCTTGTACTGTACTGCCCTGATCTATGAACAACCCATGTAAAGTAAAGTATTAATTAAAAGCCTGAAGTTGTTGGATAAGTATAAATATTGTCAACACACAGTAGTTATGATGTGGTCTCTTGAGCATTCATCAACTGTCTTGGTTTTGTGTTTGGGGAGATATACTGTATGGCTTTACATGTGCAGTACAGTTCTATTCAGTACTAAGATGAATATAAATAAATAAAGTCCTGCCGATCTTTGTCCACGCTTGTTTTTATTTGAGGTCCTCGGCTCATGGGTGGGTTAATAATAATCCCGTACACCAGCATCCAGCCCACTAGCTGCTTTTATACTTGCACAGGATAACAACAATATTTTTAAACACCAAATTAAAAATATATTGAGTTAGCGATTGATTCTATTGTCATTATTGTACGGTATTTTTTTTTTTTTTTTATGATTACAGTATTTATGATAGACTTAAGTACATGACAGGACCATAAACAAACATGCTAACATTGTCATACGGGTTTACAATTGGCTAAGCATGTGTATATATATAATGTGGGTATGCAGTTCAACATGAATAAAGACAATGTAGGTACACAGTGCACATAAGCTGCGGGAGTACTGGATACAGTTTCCTTGGTACCATATATCATAATAAGTACTTTCTCGTTAATGAGGAAGAGGATTAGCCCCCGTTACAAAGTTAGGTAAGGTTAGGTCAGTGGTCAAGAGGATAAAAGTAAAGTAAAGTAGTTAGGTCAGGTTCTATTAGGTTGTGTGCCATTGTTGTATTTTTATTAATTACAATCATCTAAAGAACATGTGGAAAAATTACCAATATCAAACAACGTGTTCTGGTGTTAGTCATCACGGTTTTATACCAGTACGTTCCTGTTAGACACAATTACTCGAGGTGCTGTTTGTTTGGACTCAAATTCTGGAACAGGACAGTAATATATATCAGGATTTTACCAAGGCTTTTGAGAGCATACCCCATGAAAGGCAGAGAATTAAATTAAAACAGTATGGGATTTGGACCGAGTGGGTCAGTTGCAAACAAACTGAATAGACAACGGCAGATTTTTCAGTGGTGTATTAACAGTAAATAATTAAATTTATTCATATACAAAGCACATTGATACAGGGTACATAACTTCAGGGTCATATGATCAGTTTTTCACCTTGTTTTGCCCAGCAATTTCCCTTATCCTTCATGCCCTGTCCACTACAGGTGATTTATGATTGTGGATAGAGAAAACTAAAATAAATAAGCATTTACCTGTATAATTAAATTAAAAGGCCAAATGACAATCCATTGTTCCTATCATCGCACAGATGTCTTGGACCATGACTCATGTCTTCAAAACTATTTTTACGTATTTGACAGAATGACAGGTTGAAAGTGCCGCAGTCTTCTTCCCAAATGTAAACAAACAAACAGCAGAGTAACAGATATAATGAGCTAGGTAGTAAGCAGCTACCAAACAGGGAGGTACTACCGCATGGGAAGATATTGGAAGCATAATGTATTGTCTAATGGTAGACACTGTTGCCATATGGAATCACGAAAATTTCTCCCCTACAAACGCTGTTTGTCGCTGAGTAGCCGACTTCACCAATTCCCCAGTGTATGCCTCGTGGTCTAGGTCAACCAGCGCCGCCATACATCACGGAGCAGGGATCAACTACTAAGCCACGCCTACCCCCCGCTATTTAAGACCTGACCTCGTGGTGACCTCTCTTTTCTACCTACACCAACCAGCCAGCAACACCTCCTCCGCCTGCCTGGTGGTCCTCGCTCCCGCCGGCGAGCTTGGCGACCCACAAGCTGGTCCTCCTCTGAGCATCCTCACCAACCAGCTCTCTCTACATCACGCTTGTAACCATGCTGCCTTCCCAGCACCAAGCTGCATTGTACATCCAATACAACATGTATATAGAGAGCACATTGTGAGTTTCCTTTCTCCAACCCATCCTGAGTGTGAACCAAATATCCTGAACCCCACAGGCTAAACTTTTGGTGCGTTCTGCCTGTGGTAGGGGGCTCTCATAATGTCTTTGATTGTACATTAACAATTAATATTCACATTTTCTTCAAAAGCCCGTGAACTTTTTTTTTTATTGGGCACTCCCCTACATCCTTGTGTAAGGTGTAGCGCAGAAGCGTTTACAGTGCCCAACAGGGAAGCATGCTAAGTTCATGCTTGCCTTCATGTCTCATGAGTTAAGGGCGTAGAAGCCTGAAGAGTCAATGGTTTATGTCATCAAGTTATTGGAAGCTCCAACAACTTGTCCCTGAATACGAATTCGCAACTTTCGATTTACACCAGGTGCCTACTTTGCTGCTAGGTGAACAGGGACTAATGAGGGTTAGGAAGTATGTCCAAACAACTTCCACCGGCCCGGGAATCGAACCCGTGACATCTCGCTTGCGAAGGCAAGAGCGGTACCACTCTACCACCAGCACCCCCCAGCCTGTGAATGTACACAATAGTTGGTGTTAGTGGCGCTGGCAACTCATGTGTTTACCTTTAGGCAATACATTTAGTGTTGCGAAAATACCACGAACAATTCCCTCTGCTTCTTTTTCTTTCCTAGTAAACAAAAACCTAGTCTAACTTAATCCATACAATCATACAATATTTTAATTTAAGATAAGTTTAATTTGGTCTTATATTCTGTCTATATAGAAAGGAGCTTATCGATGCTGTTCGTGAGTGAGTCTAACATTATCGTTTCTTTCTCTACCTGCGAAAACTCACTAAACGAACAAAACCAGCAACAACAGCTTCAATTAACCTCAACATTCTTATTGTTTAATAAATTTATTACCTGTATACGCAATATGAAGGTTAATATTAAAGGTTTATGTTTTCGTTATGGAAATGCAGAGATGATAAAATTTAACTCTAGATCGCTCTTTATATTTGTTAAAGATTGTTTTTACATATTCTATAATGAAAATATAGATACGATGACATGAAGCTTAAAATAGATATAAAAGTGTGAATAAATCCACGAAATATGTTAACATTAAAGTTTTCCTGTTTAGTTACAAAATTTAACTGGTTTTCGCTCTTCAGGACAAACTAAAACTCAAGAATTGTCTTAGTTGACAACACGTTAACATCAATCTCTTGGTGTTGACTGGCGGCCTTGCTGGAGTTGCTAATAGAGGCAGGTCTTATTAACTTGAACTACTGTATTATTAAGCTAAAACTACCGCATAGTGTTATAAAATATACACTAATCCTTTATCTCTGGAGGTGAAAAACCTCAACATGGGGTCACTAGCCTCCAGGGGAAATGACAGTACAGTAGTCGGTGAAGTGTAGTTAATTCCTATTTATGGATAGTCTGAAGATTAATATTGTTTTACACTGGAGGATAAATCACTTTAAGACTTCGAGTGTATATTACACCCTTAAGGATTTACCATTGGCTTCAAACTTTGGTTGAGTATATGTACTTAATCTCGTTTGTAAATCAGTGCATAATTTAACTTATCGTTTCCCCACTTATCACTGTACTAGCCGTTTGGGCAGTTGGTCTGTTCTTCATTACTTTGTTGAGAACTTTATTTTCCAGTGCTATTACAGGAGGCAGCCTGTGATGTTTAGTAGTATCGATGGATAACAACCTTCTCATATCTGTCTTTGGCCAGGGATTGTACCCAGGACCTAATAGCGGTGAGAGATGCTCATGTTACTGCTGTACCACCACATATTTTTTTTCTATTCATCGTACTGTATAAATATCGAGAAAATGGGTGCCACCATATTAGCAGTTCCTGAGATTTTGTTTCTTGGACATTCATTACTTAAATATATACCTCTAGTTTATAGATCCAGTGTTAAAACTATAAAGAAATAACATTAATACTTTACACACATACCTATCTAGATGGTCCATCCGTCGGAAGGCTCTTGAGTGCAGTAGTGTGGTGATTATCCATTTGGAGTAGAGTACAGTACTCTTGTCTTGATTGATCCCCAAGATTGAGAATGTAAAAGGAGTGCCAACAGACTGGTGCTTGTACTTGAGGTCCTCTCGTACCAATAGATGTTAGGATGCTTTCAGCTTCCTAGTTTATACTGTAAATGGACAAGAATGATTTATTAAAAGTTTATAAAAACATAAAATGACATTACTCAAGTGTTCATATCTGGAGCTGGTGGATGCCTGCCTCACTAGAGTTCACAGCCTTAAGGTAAAGAAACCACAAGTACAAAAAATTGTCAGTACGAACTTTTATGGAGTTGAGGTGTTAACACTTGGAACAATGTGCTCGAGTGTTGTGATGGCACCGAGTGAACTCATTTAAGGACTGACTCGACCACCACTGGCTCATGTTTTGGTTCATTATAGACCCAGTGCACATCCAGTAGCATTTACCAACATTACATAACAGACATGACTGACCACCCATCAGTGGCAGAGAGATTATAGTGTCGTACGGAAATTTACTATGAAGTGGAAATGGTCTTGGGCCTCTGTGCTTGTGGTGCTTTAATGAACTACCAAGAAATGCTGCTGAACTATATTTGACTCGAAGGTCAAATATAGGTCAGTGATATTTTCTGCATTAATCTCAATTTAAAAGTTAAATGACAATTGATCTATGAATGTTGAGTAATATTTAAGGACAAGGGTCCAGGCTATTAGTTATAAAATGGAATTTCAGGATCAATTTTCCATTTATATGTACCTGTACTATATACAGTATACAGTATACTGTATAATTTTTACTTATTAATAACTTGTAATATCTTTTCTCAGGTTTTAAATGGTGAATGAGGGATCTATCTGCAGACTTGATGAATGTTCCTGTATTATGTGACATAAAGTGAGGTATACAGCCATGAAGTAAAGGAACCAGCACATTGCTCCCAAAAAGCCTCTGATTCTCACAAAAAAGATTAGAACAAGAAATTCTGAAAAAAGACGGCTATTCAGAATCTCCTAAAGTGAAGAACCTAAAGGATCTGAAGGAAGAAGAATGGCGTGGATGAAGAAATTAGGCCGTGCGAGTGTGATAGCTGCTGCAGGAGGGGCCATCACTGGGTACATTGTGGCCAATGATAAAAAGAAGACAGCCCTGGCCTCATGGACGACTGGACACACCCCATCAGTCAAGTGGGATTGGAACTGGGATAGGTTGGTAGGTTGTTTTTAGCGACATTATTCAGCTTTTTGAATACCACTCTTGAATGGCTGAGAGAACATAATATCTATTCCTGAATCACCCTTGTGTAAACTCCCTCCAAATTAGTCACTCTTATCAAATCAAGACATGGTACAGTGAACCCTCACTTTACGCGGTCAATTGAACCCACGGCGGCCCGCGTAAAGTGAACAACGTAACATATGGGATTAATTGAAATAGAGACCGGGCCGACCCCCAAACTCCACTTTTTCAGACACAATACCTATGTTGTAGTAAAAATAACTTCTTAATTTTATGATGGTATGCACACACGATTAATAATTAAGAGAAATATTAATAATATTAGGTTTTTTAACACTTACATTAGTAGAAAAGATGGCTGGGCACACGGGGATGGGGGGTTGGTTCCGAGGCAGAGGGCAGATTATTGGCCCTCACCTGTATCACTTGTATCACTATCCACCACAGAAGCTTGCAGGGCCTCTTTGTCAAACCCCTCAAAGTCCATATAAGTCCATATCCTCATTATCATTATCACTATCACTGACTTGGGCCGGCTGTGGTGGGTGGCGGGTGAAGAACTCGGTATTGTTTTGATGACTGGGCAACCTTGTGCGCACCCTGCTCACGCCGCTCTCCGCGTAAAAGGGTACACACACCGCGGAAAGTGAGCATTCCGTGTTCGGCAGGGTACCGCGTAAACGTGGAAACTCGTAAAGTGGGACCGCGTAAAGCGAGGGTTGACTGGATTTTATTCTTTGATTAAAAAATAAACATATGGGAAAAGTTGACCAGTGCAGTTGGTTAGTATGAATATAGATACCTGTATATTAATTATAACCTGGAGTCAGTTGGAAGTAACCTGTGTAGGGCTGTAGTATGGCATCAGGTCTACAGGTTATAGACTAGGCTTAACACTGACACTTGGAAGTACTAATATTACAACTGTCAACCTCATAAAGGGAGATAAGACTATATATTAAGGACCAGTAGCTTTTGAGAGTTCCCAAGGTATACTTTGTGATTGGTCTTCTCTCAAAGCTGCAATTATATCAGTTACTTAATACCTTTGATTCAGTGTTTTGTCAATCTTTAATTTTACAGAAGAGAAATCCATAGTCTGGTGAAGCCGTCCAAACATAAGAGTGATGTGAACAATAACATTCTCAATGACAATTTCGAGGACCGCATGGAGAAAGTTCGACCGACAGTGACAGCCACGCGTCACATAATCTTCATTCGTCACGGACAGTACAACCTTGAAGGAGCTAAAGACTCTGATCGGTATCTCACGAAGTTAGGTAAGTGCAATTGTCATCCCAAAATGAAGAGGTTCAGGGGAGTAATACAGTTATGCTTTCTGTCCATTCTTCTATAGTTAAATAATTAAAATTCTGTTGGGTACCTAGCAAAAAAAAAACTTACTCAAAGTCTATTGTGTTCACTGAATAAACCATATTGACTCTCGTTATGTTACAATGATTATCTGCTTCAGCTTCTCTTCGGTCAGAATAATGCTACTGATATAAAGAGTTTCCCCCGTAGCTTTATATACTGTATTACACCCTGTTAATGCATACTCTGGGATTAGGATGACCATATTTAAGATGTCCCACATTTTTATTTTGAAGTCCCCTTTTACAGGTCGTGAACAAGCTGCATTAACTGGAGAGCGCCTTAAATGCCTTGAATTACCATTTTCACGTGTTGTCTTCTCTACTATGACCCGGGCTACAGAAACAGCGAATATAATCATGGAAAAGTTGAGTGGTGTAGAGGAGGTGGAAAGCTGTGATCTGCTAAGGGAAGGGGCACCCATTCCCCCCGAGCCACCCATTGGTAGCTGGAAGCCAGAAATGCACGTATGTTACTGTTGTTCCTTAGTTAGTAGATAGGTGTTTTAAGAAAATCCTATTTGACAACTAAAATGATTGCCATCTTCAGTTTTCATTTATCATTTCACCACTTATCAACTCACCAGCTGTTCAAGTATTTGGTCTGTTCTTTGCTACATAATTGTTATGACTTATATTGTCCAGTATTAGTACAAGAGGAAACCAGAGTACACGGAAAAACCTGCGATGTTTGGTAGGGATAGTTTAAAAGACTAATGTGACCCTAAGACAGATATAGAAATGCTGGGTAAGTGGTCTGTTAACTTGGTTTGTCTGTCTGTCTTTTATTTTATGTTCTGACTGCTGAGTGCATCAAGCCTTCACATTCTTTTCTTTTCCCAATGTTCATCGGAAAGTTTATGTTATAAACCCATTTACATTAACATTTTGGATAGAAAGATTTTGAATCCTAATATTACTAGTTTTCTGTCCCACCCCTTGAGACGACTAATGCTTTTAGCCCTTGACAGAGGCTTTACCATTTTTACTCTCACCCTTCGAGATTTTTATAATAATATAACATCATGAAAACAGGAAGATATGAGTGAAAATGTGATGAAGGTTTGGGGGAACTTTGTAAAAACACTAAACTGAAGGCTGTAAACTGTCATTGCCCAGTCTCCAGGCTCTACTTAAGAATGAGGAGTTATATACACAACACAACAAGCTGTACTGTAGTTATATATTTTGATAGCTGAAGATGTCATTTGTGTTAAAACCATATTTAAGTGTTTTATTTCCTTCAGAAGTTTTATGCTGACGGTGCCCGTATTGAAGCTGCCTTTAGGAAGTATGTTCATCGTGCTCCATCATCTCAGGAAAAGGACAGCTATGAATTGTTCGTGTGTCATGCCAATGTCATCAGATATTTCGTGTGCAGGTCAGTAAAGTTATGTGTGGAAGGATTTGCAATTTGTAAATGATTCTGTACCCCTATTGAAACCTATCTCACTTAACCCTTTAGAGGGCAAATATCCCTTAGGTATTTTAGTCTAGCTAACCCATACACCTTTGTTGTTGAAATCATTTGAAAGTTATTATTATTTTTGTTATTACAGAGCCTTGCAACTTCCCCCTGAAGCCTGGTTACGGATGACCTTATACAATGGAAGTATAACACACCTTGTTATTCGTCCTGATGGCAGGGTTGGACTTTGGCAGCTGGGTGACTGTGGTTACATGCCACCAGAAAAGCTTTCTCGAACATAAGTATTTCTCTTCAAAAGGCTATTACTATTGAACCTAGTAGCTAGCTGAACAAAAAGTGATTTTCTCATGAAATTTTAAGAACTTCAGTTCACACAAAATATGTGATCAAATCCATTTGCACGTCAAAAATGCGTTCAAGTTTTATTAATTACACACAAAGTAGTACAGTACATCGAATTACTGGTCTCCTGCGCCTTGGAAGTGACATAAGACCAAACATGAGAAATGTAACAAAATAATTACAAGAGAGTGAACATAAGATATGTAAGGTAAAAGTGATAGTGCTCTACACCAGTGTGTCACGCATAAATTAAATATCGGTGTCTTTTCTGATAGGTTTGCATTGAACTAAAACTCTAGTTTGTTCACTAAAATATTCTTGTTTACTAATCATGTGTTAAAGATGCTACGATACCACGTTTAATTACTGTCAACATGTTTAAGTTATTTTGTAATTCGTATATTTATATTGATCAAAATTTCTAATATTTTGAATAAATTCGTATATTTATTTCATACAGATTTACTGTACTATATGTATTTACATTATGGTAACTGTATAGATGTATTGTACTCAAGTAAAATTCCAATTGCCATAGTCAGATTACCAAGCTGTATTGTGTATTTTAATGTTATATTCAAAATTAGGCCTTAATATGTGTAGTAAAACCCTTTACAATACTTTTATTTTATTCAGTGAGAGTGTATTAACCAGAGTAGGAGAGGGAGCTAAGTGTATATCTTTTATTGGGATGCCAATGCTGACATGCTATGCAAGATGACTGCAGTAAAGTGTTCTTAAATCTTAGGTCATTCTTTGTCTTGTGACCATGTGACAGGTCAAGGAAGGTCAATGACTACATTTTGGCATGTTAAAATATATTGTCTACCCAGTTTAACTGCACAGTTGATTAGTTTAATGTCCATATAGTATACAGTTACAGTATTAACATTAAATGTTTATGAACCTGTTAATACAACAGTACAGTATTGTCATACTACAGTACCTTCCAGCGCATTTAGGTAAAAAAAATTATTTAAGTATTTGCAGTGAAGTAAACTTTTTCACATTCTGGAACTAAAGTCTGTCCCATATAGTTTGAGTATGCAAGGTTATACTGTAGTGGGAGATGGACTGGATAGCAAAGCTGTTACACTAGAATTCCATCTATTCTGGATCATCCAGTGCAATAATTAGTACAGTAAAGTGGCATATTACCAATACAGTGCTGTATATGTTGGGGATCACCTCAAAAACTTTAAGCATGTTAGTCTCACAATGGTGTTTTTGACTATGCTTCAATAATCATAAAATCTTAAACTTTATTTTAACTGTAATATATTATACAGATTTATTGGTTATGACACCCGTATTTACAAGGTATCAGATGTCATGTTGGTTTAATAAAGTAATAAACCTGTAACTGTGTAAACTTGTTAACTTATGTTGATGTGACAATACACTTCATATGATGCTGCCACCCTTGAATATATACTGTACCAGGTATATATTAATTAAATTGGTATATTTAGGCTGTACAGTATTCAAATAGTTTTGAATATTCATATTTATACAGTTAAAATTTTCCCTCAGCATATATCAGATACTGTTCACTTGTCTGGTACATAACAGCAAGTTCAAAAGAATATTTTTTTGGTAAGCACGAATATACAGTTTTACCCCGCTTAACGCACTTTCACTTAACGCGTTTTCGCATATACGCGGTGCCTTGCCAAAGCTGAACTTTCACTTAACGCGGGTTTTTTCCACATATACGCGGTGAGTGTCCGGCTCGGATGCTATTTTTAGATTTTGCCCACGCGCCACGCGCCACCCACCCGCCCGCCTGCCTGCCTGCCTCTCCCTCCTCCTCCCTCCGCTTGGGTAAGCGGCGCGGTAAGGTTGCGCAGTGTGTGTCTTTGTTGCGTTATCACTGACGTCATATGGCGTCTCGGACTGTGATTGGCCATGCAGCCCTACCCCCCCTCTGCTGCTAGCTGTAATTGGCTTAAAGTATTATGACGTGACTACCCCGGGGAGGGAGGGAGGGAGGAGAGACGACACTTGACCTAGCCAGTGATAGTGATAGTGAAGTTGATTTTGAGGGATTTGTCAGGGAAGCCATGACAACTGTAAGTGACAGTGATATTGATTCACCTAGTAATGGTGATTCACCTAGTAATGGTGATTCACCTGAGGGGCAGTAATCTGCCCTCTGCCTCGGAACCAGCCTCCATCCCCGTATGCCGACCCATCTCTTCTACTACCGTGAGTGTTCCTCAAAAATTTTCGTTTTTTAACCTATTCTTTATTTTTCCTATGTTAACCTTTATCTTTCCTAACCTAACCTCTTCTATATTACTTGTTTTTCATGCCACCATAAAGTTAAGATAGAATTTTTACTACAACATAGTTATTTGTCGTCAAAAAGTGGAGTTTGGGGGTCGGGCTGGGTTCTATTGGAATTAATCCCATATGTTCTGTTATTCACTTAACGCGGTTTTCACTTAACGCGGGACCCTCTGGGTTCAATTGACCGCGTTAAGTGGGGTACAACTGTATGCATAATTATTGTCACTCAAACAGATAAATACAATCATTCGCATCAAGGCTTCCACTTCTATACTTTTTGTATCACTTTCTTCAGTTGGGCCATGGTGCCAATAGGCCCTAAATAAACTTCACCATTATAATTGAGGCCCATTCCTAACAAAGTTCAATCCTAGTACACCCCAATCCTTATGGTTTAGTTGAGTTAGGGCCTGTAAGGACTGTGGTCCATTTGATCCTTAACTCTTGTCTCCCTGTGTTGCTTTACACCATAACATGTCTCCAAGGTTATACAATATGCTCACAATGGTAACTGGTGAAATAGGCCCAATCCCAATAGTCCCTCATCTAACCAAACTTAACCATTAGGATTAGGACTGAAACCTGATAGGGTTCTTTAAGTTAGGTTGGGGCAAGTTGGGCTGTTACCTATTGGGATTAGAGCCCTTTCAATTGTAACCCTTAAAATGAATACAAGAAATATGATAATTGAATGCTATTGGTGTGGGGAATGACCGATTGCCTATTGGCTGAAGGTGATATGGTTGTCTTTGGCCAGTGAACAGTTCAGACTATACTTAAAATTCAACAAATGCCTCGTCAGATATGCAGTGGGAGGTACAAGCCCCGTATGTATGACTCTTAACGTTTCTCATACAGCGTTAGTGTGATATGTGGAGTTATTTTTAATTTGTTTTGGGGGTATGCTCGGGGTGTGAAAATGTTTGATATCCAGTAGTTCAGGAAGGTAACCAAATACAGTATAGGTATTGTAGCAAGATGGGGTGTGAGGAGGAAGAAAAGAGGGAGGAGGTTGATACTTTTTCAGGAAGGAAAAGGAGAGGAAGATAGTATTTGAGAAGGGAGGAGTAGAAAACATTGTTTTTTGAGTAAGAAGGAAAGAAAGAACGAATGAAAAGAAGGAATCATTTGGAATTTTCACAAGGTGTTTGACCTTGAAATTTTTTTTACACCAGAAAGGAAAACTTTTTGTCTGGACCGGAGTGTACAGTACTAATAAAGGTTGAGGCAACAGTATTCATTCTGTTTGTTACCTTGACTACTCCCCTGTTTTTGCAAAGGGCACAAAAACTTAAAATCATGAGGATCATAAGAATTTTGTATTAAAGCCATCTTGAACCTGCATTACACATTTTAGACAAAGCATAGCAGCGTCAAGTGAGTTTGAAATAACAACGAACAAAATGAGATTTGTAATTTGTAATAAGTATTATGTTTAACATGTTGCATGTCAGTTTGTCATACTGTATCTTCAAGTACGTTTGAAGTGACTGTAAAATGTTATTTACAAATTTTGAATAAATAGTATTAACCACTTCATCTCAGGACAAATTGTACAACTGGACCAAGATAGGTATACTGTAATTACATTTGAATTAATTTGTGAATTTTTTTATCATATAAGAACATCAATTATTTAATTTGTTGTTTTCTTTAACTTCTGTCAGCCAGTTGTGAATAAGGGAGTAAGGCTTGCTTGGTGTATTGAATTATTTCATAAGAGAATGATTTTTCTAAGCTTTGTTCATTGATGTGTACTCTCAAGAGAAGTACAGCATAGGGATCATATTTTTGTAGTACTGTGTTAAGAGTGAAGAGCCATTTCCAAACAACAGATCTATAATTTACTTCTGAAATAGTGAAGGATAAAAGTCATTGATACCCACACTGTGTTTTGTCAATAAAAGGGTTACTGGCTTGGATATTATTTTGGAATTTGATTATTTTTTTAATACAGTACTTTGTTATGGTAATGGTTTTGGAATTACGGAGCTCGTAGCTCTAATTTTACACGTATTTAAACATCTTCTGTACTTGATGTTTGACAATTTTGTCTGTGTTATTAAGTTAGATCTCTTAAAAAAAATCATATATATACTTTATTAGTGTTACAACTGTCCAAATCAAATGGATACAGGAACATTGTAAGTGATCTGAATGTATACATAAAATATACTTGTACTTATGTATGAATAAAGATTTATTTGATTAATCTTGACTCATATTACATGCTTTATACTATACTTTATACTGTTGGTTGCATTAGACTTATTGTATTTACTTAACTTCTTGAGTACAATGACAACCCTTTAAGTCATGCTCAAGGAGTTAAGACATTGTACTCAAGGGGTTAACTCATACTCAAGGGGCCAAGTCATCATAATCAAGGGCTAACTCATCATACTCAAAGGGTTATCTTTACTCAAGGGGTTGTCATTGTACTCAAGGTTTAACTCATCATACTCAATGTGTTAACAAAGGGTAAACAGAAAACAAGGTGGACTTATGAATGTCGTCTGTCCATTCACAGGTCACCTCTCCTCTCTTCCTTTACCTTTGCCTTCTTCATCAAGAAGAGTTTTCTTTCTCATAATATTTTAAATGTTGGACTAGTGTAGTTACTAAACTTGTTATGCACTTAAAGACCTTAGTTGTTGAAGTGCAGTAATAACATTATAACAACAACCTTTTTCACTGCATATATTACTGTACTGTACATCTATCCTTCCTTAATTTCATCAGGGGTTGGCAACCTTCCTTTAGTGAACAGCACCTCAACAATCAAAAAATCAGTATAATTGTCCACAACCATAGCACAGAGTAATCATTCAATATACTGTACTGTAAATTAAATTAAATTAAATTCAAAAGAATAAATCATGAAATTGGGCATTAAAAAGTGTAGAACCAAACCATATGCAGCACTGTAGTACAGGCATTCCCAATTTAAAAAACGGATTGGAAAAATATTTGAAGGGTTTTTTTTAATCCCCCCCCCTTTTAATTTTCCCCAAAAGTAATTTTAAGGGATTTTTGGGGGGAAAGAATTTTTTTTTCTCTGAATACTTAGGATAAAATATTAGACTTCTTTACATTTTTTCAGAAAATTCCCTCTCACAAAAAAGATTAAAAAAAAATTATATAAGCGCATACGTATGTGGATACTTCGGTGAACGACCCCCCAACGACCAAGTTTGGCCGGCCGCCCCTGGGATACATGTGAAAAATGAAAACAATAAAATTTAAGAAAACATAAGTTTCCCCAATAAAAATATTATTAAATTTGAAATGATTCCGTTGCAATAACTATAAATTTAATATTATAATGTAAAATATAATAATAATGTAATATAATAAAGACATACATTGAGCAATATGCCCAAATGATACACTGATAAATATATTAAAATTAATTAATATAAGTAATAAAAATAACGCCGGGAATTTCCAGGAAAATTAGTTGTCAAACTGTATTGTGCGTATAGGATTAGACTTAGAGGGTACCCCTTCCCTTCCTCTGGGTACGCAATTTCTAAGTAGCTACCAAACTAAACAAAGAATGTACTGGGTATACTCTGTAACAGTACTATGATATCCCGACCACTGGTCTAATAAACACCCTTTGTGGCCTGTACTCTAATCCTTTTTGCGCTACCGTTCACAGGATGAGCATAAGATGCACAATAAACTAGCTGCTGTCCGCGGCAAAATTCAAATTCAATGGTTAGGGTAGGTGGTAAGGGGGAGAGGAAGGGGACAGGGGGAAGGCATACTATTACTCATGGCAACTAGTATCAAACACGAGCTCCCTCGCAAACACACCACTCCTGGTGTACGCTACACCCTTCTCATTCCCATCATATAGGTAAGCTAGCTTATTTCACCTCATTCACAACTTCTTCCCTAAAGTCTTTCCACCGTGTCTTTTCAGACCTATCCCATCAATAATAAAGAAAATGTGGAGACAGAATATTATATGTTGGCGAGAATGTATACAGTGTTGTGGGAGGGTTGAAGTTAGTGAGCTGAGGAAGAGAACAGTGGCATGTATTGATCATGGCGCGTGTGCCTGGTAGCGACTTGACGAAACTGAACACACTGCTACTCTTTGTGCCCGTTTCTTGTTTGTTAATTTCTATATCCTGTATGTTTGTCTGTCCTCTCGTATTCGGTTCTGAACTATTGTTTTTATTCCATCTCGGTTCCCTCTATTTGTTATCTGTCGTGATGGCGGGTATACGTATTTATTTACTGTTCGTCTCTTCTATGTGTGTACCAATTACTGCTTTTATTGCTATTGTATCTCTTTTCCTCTGTAATTATGCTCCTTATTTTCTAATCATCGTGTTTACTGTACATTCACTGTCCTCTCCGGGCACGTGTCTACTCCTATATAATACTATTACACTAAATTCATATACAATCTATGGATTAAACTAATACTGATCATGTGTGTTGTAAATCATACTATATTCCACATGTTAACGAGAACCATCTTCTCAACATGGGCTAGGTTGCATCGGTGATGGGCAAATTGAGAGTGAAGATTAAGGCCAAGGCCAAAACGAAGGACAGGGATGAGGAAGTACTCAAGGAAGTAGTGACTGGTGAGGAAATAACGACACCTCTGCTACCTGGTGAGTAATCCTAATCATTATTAGACATTTCATCTGATAGGTCAAAATGGAGGTAGGGTCTATTTTCCGGCAAAATCAGTAATAACGTCGGGTAAACAATGCATTTTGGAGGGATGGGTGAGGGTACAGTGAGAGACGATTTGAAAGTTAAATTATAATTAATTAATCCTACTATTTTTATTTCCTGGATGGTCAGACGGGGCGCGGCGGAGAATTAAGAGAGAGGACCGCCCGCGCTACGAACCTGCCGATTGGGATGACTCCCTACCCTACGGCGGCAAGGTGTACCTCGCCAGACGGAAACTCCCAGACAGCTGGTTCTGCGTCTTTTTACAGGTTCTAATACCATTTATAGAAAAGCTCACACACACACACATATATATATATATATATATATATATATATATATATATATATATATATATATATATATATATATATATATATATATATATATATATCATATCGCAGTAAATATTCCGTAGTGACCATTCCCTAAAATTTCAAAATCGTTTTTATTGTTTTCACCGTTTCACGCGAATGACTTATCCGACGGTAATGAGTAATTTGGGAGCTATGACCCACCCTCCCCCAATTACCAACAATGTGGTGTAAAACACAAAAACCGTAAAAACGACTCTTAAATATCAGTATGCATGTCTAAATTAACCTACCAGAGAAACCATAAGGACCCGACCTAACCGTGTAATCCTAACCTAAACAAAACTTACCTTAAATAGTAGATGGAGGAGGATAAAGTGATGCCACTTGAAGAAGGAAGTGGTGTAATAAGGTGTTATGAGCGTTGTGATGAGCCCGACACGTGTACCGAGCAAAATGCAGCCTGAATTACACACCCGAACGCTTTACTGAACCATGAGACCTACCGGGAGGTGTCTTCCCGCCAATTCAAATTCACGTGACACCGAGACTTGTGCTGATTGGCCGAGTTAAGGGTGAACAAAAATATGCCCGCGAACTTGTACTTTCTGAAATTAATATCTTGTCTTTCTAAATAAGCATCAATATAAAGTTCAATGGGTGGTCACTACTCACTATTGGATATAATATTAACTTGGGCTTCACATTAGCCCTACGTGTAGACAAAACTATTAACAACAATGGAGGGATCTTACGACACAGTCTACTGGCATCCTTCCATGGCATGGCCACCCCTAGTGGGTGACCATTAGGTAAAAAACAAAACAAAAACAGTAGTTTGCTTACCTTTACTGTGTGCTGCCGAAATCGTGTTCCAATTTGGATCATGGCTGCTGTGTGCTGATTGTTTGACCCCTAATTCACTCTAGTAGTTGTCCGATTTCGTTAACTTATTCTACTTGCTCTTATCATTACAGTAAGTATTTTAAAAGAGGCGACGTTAACTAGAACCTGGCCAAACCAGACAAAGAAATCTACTTAATCTGACCTAACCTCCTAACCGGTGAGAGGAGGGCGGATCCCTAGCTACATAAAACAGAACGTACTTATTTTAAAATATAGTACCAATGAAAGCAACTTTGTTGAAGCGTTATGGTGTAATTTCACGTTTTCAGCGGCCGTGCCAGCACAGTACTGTACAGAACAGCTGACCCAGCAAGTCGGTTGTAAACTAACAGACGACACCCACTGACTCGTCAGAGTTACCGGACGAATATTTCTTCCTGTACAGTACAAAGCACGTAGACAGGGTTTTAGTGTCAAAATCAATTTTCACCGTGTTTAACCAGGCAATCTCCCCTCATCTTTCATGCCCTACCCACTGCAGGTGATTTATGATCGCAGATAGAGAAAACTAAAATCTAAACAAAACACTGCACTTATAATTAAAATAAAAAGTTGTCGCCTTTAAAAGTGCTTACTATAATGATAAGAACATCCGCGAGAAAGAATTAATGAAATCGAACTACTCCTTTTGATGGTAGCGGTTTCTTCATAAATTACCTTTACTGATTAATAACAGGAACTGGTTTGTTTATCCCCGAGAGCCAGGGGCTGTGACATGACCACTAGAAATAGCGAATAAATGTATGTAATCACTCACAAAGTTTCTAAATTTGAAACCTTTAATCTTGACTTTATTTTATATGAATCTAAAATAGGTTAATTCTTCGCCCACACGATCTTGTGACTAATTACAGACTCAGCCAATGTTTCTTTACTATATTGCATAATTATGGGAGCAGTTATCTTCTACCCCTCAGTATTCTGTTGTGGCTTATGAATATCGTTTTATAATTCTTTTAGCGAGGTGAAGGTGGGATAATCCATGTTGAGATAGGTTAACTTATATTTGAGTACCGTTAGATTAAATCAGATTTGGATAGGTTAACATAAGTTTAAATAGGGTGAATCAGGTTTGAGCAGGTTAACTGAGGTTAAAGATGTTTGGATAGTTAAATTTAGGTACGGGTTGATTAGATTAGGTTAACTTTGGCTTGACATAGTCTTCTTAGGTAAGATATGTTTACATTAGGTTATGAGAATTTGATACCCTAAGCCAAAATCACTACTGCAGGTGGTGGTGGTGGCGGGAGCAGTGGGTCTGGTGTACTATGCTTGGTACCACTCTGACCACATGCACTTCCACATCACCAAGGTGTACGCCCACCTTGGCCACAAGGACGCCCAGGCATCCATTGGCCACAAATTCCTCAACGGTGAGGCATCACGCATTTTCACTAATGAATGGAAAACAATGGCAGGCATAAGAGGGGAGCTTGGACATCACATACTTCTCTTCCCACTAATGTCTAACTGATGTTAACCCTTTGGGGATGGGTTACAATGTAAGCCTTAAAGGATAAAATCACTTCTAAAAGGAGTTAAGCAGTAATTTTTAATTAAACAATCATCAAAGGCTAATTTAAACCATGAGACTGTCTATACTGTACTGTACTGTATATGCCCTAGAATATTGGTAAATAAAATCAGTGTACATCAACATCAAATTAATTACCCAATTGTCACTTCCTGACAATCATGAACCATTTATCGTTATAATTTTTCTGCATGTGCACATACTCCGGTTCTTTCTCAGTTATACTGTCTATCTCACTTCATCCTTCGTTGTACCCCATGAGCAGGCAAGGGTGTGGAGGTGAACCACTCAGAGGCGATGGATTGGTTCAAGAAAGCAGCTGACCAAGGCCATCCTGAGGCTGCCTACAATGTAGCTGTGGGTTACCTTCAAGGACATCCCACGGGACTCAATCCAGGGTGAGGAATGAAAGAACGAGTGAGCATAGAAGACTGGGAGAAAGAATGACTTACATTAACTGATTTTTAAGAATTAATAAGAGGGAAAGATTGAGAGAGTGAGTGAGTGAGGGAGGGACTGAAAAGGGGATGGAAAATGTGATTGATTATGAGAATTGAAATTACAAAAGATTGACAAGAGATGGTAAGGCAGAGTGTTTGACTAAAAGAGTTAGCATGACAGACAGAACACTGAACAAGAGTAAAAGCCTGAAATTGAGTGAAAAGCACAATAAGACTAACAAAGAATGAAAAAGAAAGACTTGGAAAGAGGCAAAGTGAGAGTGAAAAACAATCTTTATGTGGCCGTTGTAACTGTACTCTAAAGTGTGTACAACCATAGTCTTTTTCCTGACTGTTTTCAATAGTTGTAACTTCCTGTTGACGAGTTTCATTATTTATAAAGAATGACAGTGAATACTATATCTTAAGTAAAATATACTTTCATAAGCTTTCATTTAAAATATTTCCATTTCAGTAATCCATCACCAAACAAGTTTTGAATATAACTCTGAAACAACCTAATTTTGCATACAGTACTTTAATTAACTTGAAGATGCCAAAATATCAGACATGTTATCGAGTTCATAAAATTTTATTTACACAGCTGGGGAAATGAAGGTGGTTGAGTGCACAGCTGGCCACACTACCTAACCCTTTGTGTATACAGTGTACTACTGTATATACACACCATCTCTTATTAGCCATCAAACCTGTGGAGCCCACTTTCACTTTTTCACAAACTCATTCCTTCCTCCCACAGTGATGCCCACAACCTGATAAAACATGCTGCATCTCATGGAGTACCCGAAGCACAGGATGTACTGGAAAGAGTCTGTTCCTTGGGACACTGTGATGTCTGAATTCTAAGCTGCCATCCTGTCTTGATGCTGAAGTTATGCAAAATGTAAACCTTACTTTAATTAGATGAACCCTAATGCACTCTTCAATGAGTAACAGTTTCATTATAATTCTAGTTTGTAATGTGTTCCGGAGATTTACATTATGCTTCAAAATAAGTGTTTGACACTACTCAAGGCCCTCACCTGTGACACTTATGCCTGAAATAACTGATTTTGTCAAGATATCTTGGCTTGTTCCTGAATCTGACACCAAAAGAAAATATAGTATTGCTAATGTTGGTTATCATCACAGTACAGTAAAATGGTATGGAATTACATATGGATTGTGCATTTCTATTGTCCACAGTGAGAATAAATTTGAGGAAATCATCAATGAAGAATAAATAACACTCCAACCCCTTGTTTGATGTGTAACACCTCTCTACCTTCTCCACTTCACATATTGAAGAGAACAATAAGGTCTGTTACTGATATAAATACTAACCAGCTTTTAAAATATCAAATGTTAAGTGATCATTAATCCTACCCAAAATACTATTACTGTATATGTTTCAAGACACTTACATTCATATGAATGATATAGTAACACCGAAAACAAATGTAAAGACATGCTGTATATTGAAGAAAACAAAGGACAAATGCAAATACATATACTGAACTGTACTGTATATGCTAATACGAGGTACAGGAAGATACTGTACAGTATGCTGTACTAATATGGAGTCCTTCAGGCAGTGAGTAAAAGCATAAATAACTTACATTTACTGGGATCCTAAGTAAATATGCATCTTCAAAATTAAATTTGTATATTTCTTTACATACATCCAGTTAATGAACTGGTTCACATTTATTACGAGTCATACCAGACATTATAATTTTGCGTGCTTAATTTGACAGCATCTTTACATTATCTCCTTCCAACTAGTACTGTATACTGTACTGTATCAGCACATATATGAGCTCCAATACAGTATAACTTTAATAATACAGTACAGTACATGTACCAACCATCTGTCAAAATGTATACTGTAGAGTACAGCATTTAAGAAAGCATCATCCACATTCCAATCTGTATGCACTCCTATAACCGAGTTAAAAACTGCACAGTACTGTACTGATGTCAGACTACACAACACAGCTTCATGGAGATGCAGAGGTATACAGTACTGCCAATATTGAGTGCAGACTGTCCAAGTAAGTGGACATGATACTGTAAAAAAGTACAAAAATTTTAATTGTCATCGTGACCATTTTCTGTTGCTTTGTACACTTGTCTTGCATGATTCTCCCTTTCTTGAAAGTTTGTGTACCAGTAAACAAAAGTAAGAGATAAACATCATAGATTAACAACTTAATAAAGTATTATAACATCTGATATTTCTCTCCTAAGATAATATTTTCAGTTACAAAAAACATTAAAAAGTGTTTTATTTCCATAAATTTTTCTCCTTACAATGGTAAATAACCAGATATCAACAAACACTTTCTTTTACATTGTATATGCAAGTTGAACCAAGAAATGGGGTCATTCATACTGAATGAGTTAGGAGTACTGTACATTGAAACAAAAGGTGAGCAAGTAAAAAAAAAACTTCAGAAACAGACCCACATTGTACCATTTCAAAACCATATTGACAATCAAGGTTTTTGGCACAGCTGTTAACCACCTTTCTTAGTTCAGGTCACATGTATTTTGGTATCAGAGAACCATTTGCATCATGCTTAACTAATATTTGCCTATGGATTGTGAAAACTGAATTAGTATATTATAGTTCATATAGCATATTAATAGTAAACATTACCCAACCTCAAGTGCCTATTACTTTGGCAGTCAATTTGGTGTTTAATAGATTTAAAAAAATATATATATAACTGAATTCACTTCATTAAATGGCAGTACAGTACTCCAATTTTTCTACTGAAGGGATATTAACAATGATCTTGAATGTGTAGTTACAAAATAAGGATCAAAATCTTAGCTCACTTACTGTTTGCTTTTCAGTGACCAGTACAGCTGAAAATTATGACTAATGTACAGAACTATATACAATTTGTTTGGATAAAATAATAAACATTGGTATAAAGAATAAACCTTCCAGCCATTACACTGCAATAAACTGATAATTTTATGATATCTTGGTAGAAAATAAATTAAGATATTTCTACAATTATTGTTCTAGTCGAAAAAATTTCATATACTGTACATAATTACAAATTCTTTAATAAACCTGTACAACATGACTCTTTTATCACTATTGTTAAAACATGTTACTATACTGTACTTATCATTAGTTACTATTATCAATTTTTCGACCAGTTTTCACACATGTTATATACGGTAAGCACTGAGACTGCTACCCCATAAATGGTTTCATGGTTTAATAAACATCTCACCTACATATTGTACTGTACGATACATTATCATATGTACAGTCAACTACTGAAGTCCGTTTACCTCTTCTCCTGAACCACGAACCCCAAGATACAGACTCATGAATCCCAAGCCATTTATGGACAGTATTACCGTATGTATCAATCTACTGCTTCGGGTTCACGAATCTGAATCTCAGGGTCTTGTGGTTCATGGGGAGAGGCAAACAGACTTTAGTAGTTGACTGTACCTGGAGCACTAGACACAGCTAATAAACAAGAACATAATGCTGTTTTTTCAAGTTGTCATAACCTTTTTGCAGCGGAAAATGAACAATGAGCTTTATTACAGCTTTATTTATACATAGTTTCTGAATTCACAAGAAATGATAAAATATATGTACCAGAGAAGACATTTGATCACTCAACTCCCTGTGAGGATCGTAAATTCTTTAAAATATAACAGTTGATATGTTCCTCTTTAAAAGCTGAAAATATACTACGATAGAGCAACTGTTTAGTAAAGGAGGCGGATGTCTCAGATGGGTCACCAAAACAATGAGTGACAAGAATGGAAAGAAGTGAGGACCTGGGGACAGGGAATGATAAACAAATATTGAGGTGTATGATATGACGTGGAAAAAGCAAAAGGAAATCTTGGGGCCATGTTGTGGAGGGGCAACAGCATAGCAGAACACCTATGTTACTGTACTGTAGTTACAAATAATGAATAAATAAGAATGTGTTTTAGTCTCAATTCCAGCCAACCTGTGCATAAGTAGGAGAGTTTACAAAGGTTATCAAAACGACAAAATGATACAATTACATACAGTATATAGTTTTTATAAATGTGTAATGTACCTTAAGGTTAGTACATACAATAAAAAGGTTTGCCTTAACACAGTTATTAACATGAGTGACGTAGGCTAGGTATGATAATGACTTGTCTCCACCAAAATGGAAAATTAATGGTTTACAATTCAATATCTGCCCATAACTGGAGTGAAATAGTCTTTTTCAAAAGGCCTTTCAGGAATCACTTTTAATAACACTTCTCTGAAAAATATCCACTTCGTCTAACACTGGACATCAATTGTGACTTAAACATCACTGATTTGAAAATTCCTTGACTGCAATATGTTATAAAATATAAAGGTCACACTACACTTCAGCAATTTAACTTCTGCCTATTAACCCATCAGAGAAGATTACTGTACTGTACTTTGCATCATACAGACAACATACCCTGGCCTTTACACAGTGTTAAGTCATATTAAACAGTCAGAAAATATAACCAATGGGCTATTTCTTCTATTTATTGTTAGCTCTTCTATTTATAGGAAAAATAAAACAAATGACTGAGATCATACTAAATATCAGTGTCTAAGTATAAAAATAAAAAGTGAAGAAAAATAGTTGTAGGAGGAAAGGACCTAAACAATAATAATGGCTTCTTGAAATAGACCTCACCTCTCTTCAACAACACATGACAGTGTATCCACTTACACGCAGATTAAACATAAATATCAGGTGGACAGTTAACAAGAATATTGTCACACCACATAAAAACTAGAGAAGCTTTCCCGAACTAAATAAATGTTCACTAAACTGCTTAATCAAATGGAAGTTGAACAAAAATAACAATACTCTACCTTTACATCTTGTTTGAAAAAAAAGTATACTGTGCAGTATATACTGTACCTAAAACAAAATTTTTTAGTTCTTAACCCAAGGGATGGATTGTATCATAAATTTCAGGCAGAACTCCAAATCATAAATAATGTACAGTACTTCTGTAATATAAAGTTCAAGAAAACTGTGCATGATGTGAAAGTATAGTAGTTTGTGTAATTCACTGGACCATACAATAATAAGCCAGTCATACTAACCTAATGAAAGTAATATAAACAATATGCATATATATACACTATATGAATTCCTTTTTAAAGCTTTGTCTTAAACCAGCATTACAAGAGCACACAGAACTTTTTTATTTCTGTGCCACATGAATGCCAGCATAATGCTTACAATAGTTGAATACATTCTACAACCTGCTGCAGAAGTCTAACACAATCCTTCAAGTGCATGAATAATTTTACTGTATCACGCTAACTTATTCCATTAAAATCTTTTCATAACCTTTGGGTCAATGCTTTGTTTCTCCCATCCACAGAGAACATGGTGTCAAAAACCAGCAGTCAAATGATTTACACATCAGAGAGAATACTTATTGAGGAAAATTAGTTTGGTCTTAACTATATAACTATAAAATTCCTGTAAATGGCAGTTATGTTGGATAAAACTTAAAGAAGTATTACTGAGGAAAATCAACAGATCAAGGATCAAACATGCTGTTTCTGATTACAGTATGTAGCTTTAATAAGTTAATGATTTATCACGGACCAATAAATATCCGATATGACAAAACATATCACATAAACTCAACAAAACTTACCACATTAAACATGATAAGAAAAATTCATACAGCAGCAGACACAACAGTATTCATCAGTCAAAAAGTTCTTCATGCCAAAAGATGTAACTTTATTGACTTTTCCAGTAGATGAAGGATAAGAGGGACACCAAACTGTTTGTCTAAGGCAGGTAAGGTACGCTACTACAGTATTTAAACATGATCATAAAGGAAGATATGCAATGACCAAAGATGGTTACATACCCCTAATTTCATTTAAATTAATTGCTCTTTCAATGCCATAAAATAGCTTAGTCAATTGACAGCCAAACCCATTTTCATAAAACTGAGTAATATAGAGTATATAAAAAAGTCTGGACAGAGAGATATAATAACTGTTGCTCATACCTGGTTTTTGGCATTACAATGGTGTCTAATATAATCTTACAACAAGACAAACAATAGTTTACTTCACCAAGAAGTATGCAAGTTACCCCTCCTTTGAATAGTGAACGTTGATATCAAGTTATGTTCTGTCATACAGGTTTTTCTAAGGAATTCTGGGGTTTGCCGATGAAACAATATTCACTATGTGAATAAGAGGCAAATTTTGTAACTTTCTATTTGTATAATGCTTCAGGAGCTCACTAGGATATTTCACCTCAGTGCTGTTATAGTTGTGTGTGACATCAAAGTGGATAGAACCTGGAGAACCCCATCCACTTTTTACAGCTACTTGAGGAGAGACTGCAGGTTAGTAAACGCTGGGCTTGCTACAGGGCGAATGGTGAAGCGTCCCCCTTGGACGACCTGTACATTCCCTCCACCGCTGGCTTGCACAACCTGTTTAGGAGATGTATCATCAAACATTATTTTTCAACCTTCAGGGCACACTATGCAAAACTAGTTTCTTCCAATTCCTACCAGTCCAGTACAGTATGTATGTCAGATGTAAATAACTGCTACCTATATGCAATATTATCTTGGAACAATCCCCTGCATTTCATGACTCCAAGGATTGTTTGTTTCAAAATTTGAAGCAAATCAGCTAGGGTATTTTGCAATCATCACAATATTACACAAACTCTCAAAGTGGCAAAATGCTTTATAAAAGGAAATAACAAACAATGTGTATAAAATAATCTGAGTGATCAGGAAAGAGTGACAAAAGCAATAGTGGTGGTGAGGTGCAAATTTGGTGAAAATTATATTAAAATGAAAATGGGAGTTTCTCTACTATTTACGGATGGTACGGCTCTAGTCAGTGATTCAGAAAAAAATTACACATATCAGTGAATGAAAATGGAAGTGCATGTACAAGGAGAAATTTGGGTATGAATGTGAACAGAAGCAGTGAAAAAAATAACTTGGGATGGGACGTGGGGAAAATGAATATTAGCTTGAATGGAAACAGAAAAGGGAAAATTAATGTCTAATATCTGGCAGTGGTTGTCTCAGGAAATACAATGTTGAGCAATGAACCAAAGAGGAGCAGGAGGAAAGAGAGTATAGGAACAGATGAAATGAAAAATTTATGGAGAAAGAAAAGGCAAATATGGGTACATACAAGGAAATTGAACTAGCATACAGTAAGGAGAAATTTAGATGTGACAAATTAAATACTTCAGAGTAATAAGTTTGATAAATAAGAAGTAGACGAGGGTGGCATGGATATAATGAGAGTACAGTACTGTATGTGAAGTGAAAAATGAGTACAGTAAAATGATGTGGAAGCCAGAAGTCTTCAGAGATGGAGATGGACATTCAGGAAGCAGCAGAGCACGATTAATGAGCAGAAAGCCTAACTTATAGCAATATTTGTGGAAGAATGTTACTGTTGATGCTGGTGTGTGACATCACATGCCATATAGTACTCACTGAACCAATGACCACCTATTCCAATCAGACTTATCTTTCCAATATGTTTGACATCATCTCACCTGTACACCACTGCCTCCACTGGCTTGGACAATCTGAAGGTTGCCAACATTGCCTGATGTGCCACCTTGGACCAGTAGGTTAGGTGTCCCACCAGCATTGCCCTGCACCAGAAGGTTGCCACCGCTTCCCCCAACTAGTTGTAGACCACCAGTCGGGCCAGCACTAGTCATCACGACCATCTGATGACCAGGCCGCACTGTGCTTCCAATACCACGTCCAACTGTCTGTACCAGCTGAACAGTTTGTCCCTGTAGGTTTGCCAGTCCTCCACCTATAACCATAATGATCACCAAGATTAAAAAATAACATAATTTAACAACATCTCAAACCAACAACTAAAGCCTCATTGTCATCTAGTCTCCAAAAAATAATTATCAACCTTAACTTCCGAGAAACCACGCAACTTACAAAGATTTAAGGTTGGCCAGATTTAAACCAAATCAGCATAAAAATACCAACTCTCAAAATTATATTCCTATTGACATTTGCTCTAAAATTCAAAACTTCCCAAGATATCAAACACCTCTTCTTAGTACCTTACTGCATTCCTTCTAGTCAATAAATTATATTTTGATGAGTCACCCTTCCTTTAATCTCAATAATACCCAATCTACTTGACAAATGCTTTACAATTCCATAAATTGCAAAAATAATACAATTGAGTGTTTTCTCTAGTACTGTACCTGCTTGAGCAGTGGTGACAGTGGCAGCTGTAGGTCGAGGGCCAAGGTGTAAAGATGTGGCAGCAACTACAGTGGTGGTAGGTAAGGTATTAGGAGTGGCTGTACTAACTATTAATGTTGATGATGCAGGGGCAGCTGACCTAAGGATCTGAGCCACGGCTGCCACAGATGTTACAGCCGAGGTGGATGTTGATGACAATGGGAGTGTGTGAGCGTATGTAGCACCCTGTGTTAAGGTGGTGCCTGGTGCGAGTGTAGGCATGGCTGTGGTACGAGTGGCAGACGACAGAGTAGATGAAGTTGTAGACTTCTGTAGAGCAGTGACTGTGGGCTTGATACTCTGTGCTGAGGCACGAACCTTCTTGTACTCACGGCGCCATGCCAACCACTTTGCTACCTATGGGGAAATAGTTTCATATTAAAAAAAATTCTTTTACTATAGACACAAAGTATAAATATCCAATTTTCATGATATAAATGTCCAGCTACCTCTGAAAGCCCACATAGGCAAAGTTTACTCCTGGTAGTAAGAAGATTCAAGAATACATCAGCCATGGCCATGTCACCAGGTTATAAACAACAGACATGACTCATTAACTCCTAAATTCCCCAAAATTAAACTACACCAGTAAACAAGAATAACTACAACCCATACTAGATTAATGATATTACACAACCATATCCTGAAAATCTTAAATACCCAAATAAGTCCCTTGACATGATGATCCAGGCACACAGCAAAAGCAGTTTACTTCATGTGACATATCATACAACATTTAACCCCGTAACGAACATAATCACTTTACAAACACAAAAGGCTAAACAACAGAGCCATTCTCCTTTGGTAACAAAGCATAAAAATTTAAATTAATATCCCATATCACTAAGTAGGTACATAAACTAATACATACAGTACTCTCAAAAACATCTAATGACAAAACTTAAGATTGTTTTTGCTGTTTATGCAGGACTAAGGCCAATATATACTCTCTAATCACAGAACCTCTTTAAAAATTCACTTTGTATGGAAATTGTTGAGGATATGAGTTTAAGCGTGTGGAATATTTCTGTAGTATTGGCTCTCTTCTCCTCCTCATTATAAAAAAATCCAGCATATCCATTTACATATTTTTTATATCAGGAGTAGAACCTCAGATATCGGTCTTCAAAATAAAGATGATGAATTTCCTCACCTCCTTGTTATTACGATCTCCCTTGTCTTCCAGCTGTTGATAGTAAGCCTCACGTAAAACGCGGAATGCCTGGAGCGTAGCGTACGGCAGCTGCGTCACTGGATCAAAATATCGCGCTGGTAACCTGCATATAAACATTGAGTTCCTTAATTTCCTCCGTAGATGAGAAAAATGTTATAGCTCAGTCAACAAATTCAGATTCTCTGTCTCTCGCATGTAATGTGAAGAAGCAAAACACAGCAGCAAAACACATGTACAGTATGGTTGAGATTACAAGGACAAAGTTATATAATTTCTATCCCTAAAGAGTCAAGGTATTCAGAATAAAAAACTAAGCTAGAAATTCTTACCTAGTAATGGGGCATATACATTTCTGGACAACCTTTAGCTTGCTTTTCCTAAATGCCCGCTTGTAAGTCCCTTCATCGGAGAAAGTGACGAAAGTTCGCTCACACTTCTCTACATCATCCTTCACTTCCTTTACCGTTGTTGTGTTTTCCTTGTTTTCACTGGCATCTTGGACTGTGTCTAATTGCAGCAGTTGCTCCTAGATCACAGAGAGATCAAGAATGGTGAAGGTCAAACATAAAAAGGATCTCTATGTTTCAGCTGTTGCTCAATCTACCTCAATCCATCTTACATCCCCCCAGAGTTGACCCACAATCTAAGGAGCGTCAAGTGGAAAGTGGTGTGCTGGGTTCATCCACATAAGCCATCTGGCTGCAGGTAAAAAATAGTACATAAAGAATAAAGAAAGGCTTAAGTGGTATCCCTCTAGCTCACCTGAGTGACATCCACTTCAACATTGGGCTCTTCAAGGTTTGATTCCTGTGATGACTTAAGTTCCTGTATGAGAGGCATGGCTGTTGACTGGTAGCGGATGAATGAACCCGTGAAACCTCTCCTCACCACTTTCGGTTTCTTGCGGTCAAGTTCTGCCAACTCGTACTTTTCTGTCAAATACAAATACACCCGTGTATATTAGTGGACCACGGCATGTTTTAATTTATATAAAAAACGTCTTGGCTCAGTTCAAGGAAGGTCCAGTTTACTCATATAACAAAATTAGCTAGTTTATACACCTTAGTATTTTATTCCAGTTCCACATCAAAGTTACCTCACACAATGTCTTTAAGGCACCACAATTATTACAAATCTATTAATAACTGGCTCATGTGCACCTCTTCAGTCAGTAATTTTGATAACTTTATCCTCCTAATTATTCTGCTCAAAGATAACTCTTTCCTGCCTTGGTATCAAGTTGCTAAAATGAAGAGCAACAGAGACCCTCCCTCATTCCCTCTCTTAACTGCTGTAATAGATGTGTTTGTTATGGTTCCCTTTCATAACAAGTCTCCAATTACCTGTACTGATGACCTACTGCATACCTGTACATGGTAGATGTTTACTAACCAACTGTTTTCAGTGCTAAAAACACCACAAAGGAAATAATCATATTTTAAGTGGTACACTGCAAAGAAACTAAAACTAGATCTAAGACGTTATCGCTCAAGTTGAACAACCTGACCTGGGCACGACGAATAAAAGAAGTGATCACGTCACCTACCAAGTGACTTAATGTTGACTTCCTCAGTCAGCTTGGCCTCCTCCAGTAACTCCTCTTGTGTCAACTTAGGAAAAATGGGCATCCGGTCCCTCTTATTCAGTGCACGCTTCCTCTCTACTTCGGCTCGCTCTCTCTGCCTCTTCACTGTTTCGGCAGATTTCAGCTGGGTGGATTTGCGAATGCCTTTCTTTTCTGTGTATGAATAAAATAAAGATTAGCCTGAAATGTAATTCAGTCTTCTTTTATGTTGATGAGCTCAATAGATTCTGGGAAGATGAACTTTACTGAATAGTGAATGAAAAAAAATGCAAGGTGCAAGCACAAATTAGGATAAGAAAATTCAATATACAAACACTCCCTGGGTTACTGATCGGTTTGATTCATGAAAGCTATCTGTAAGTCGGAACTTCCACAGGTAATCACTGAACACACAAACTACGCATACTGTATACAATTACTGTACCATACAGCTGTACAGGTATAAGACCATTTATCCAACATGCTTGGGGCCTGTGAGTTGCCAGATAGGGTTTTTCCCAGAATTAGGAGCACCAGGCCTAAAATGTACAGTAAACTTTCTGTAACAGGTTGCAAAGAATCTGTTCAGATCACTAGATTCACCCCTAATAGTAGCTTTAACTGAACACTCTATCATTAAACCTTAACATTGTTGTCATATAAACATCAATAATAAAAGCATAAAAAGAGCAAACTGATACAAGTTAGTGGTCACACAGTCGCCCCAGGTACTGTACCGTCCCTAGTAAGGGTGCTGTACCAGACCCTCCAACACCCACCACAGAGCTTCACGGTGAAAGTCCGTTAGATACTTAAAACTTTATCCAGTACCTTAAGATAACTTTATTTGATTTATTTTTCCACTTTATGTATGGAGGTAAATGGGTACAGTATTAAAAAAAAAAAAAAAAATTACACCGTATATCTACCCAAAATTACAAGTTAAAAATACTTTATACCTAATGACAAATACCGTCATTTCTTTAAATATTTTTGTTTTTCACTTTGTATGCAAGATTGTGTTTATGTGACTAAATAAAAAATTAAAAAAATTACATTGCAATAAAAAAAAAATTCTGAATACATGTATCTTAAAATTCTCTGTAAATTGATATGCTAAATGAGTTATTAATGAAAGCTTCCACAACAAATTTGAGCTGAATCATTACCTAAAGCTGCTAGATCAAAGACAGCATAATGCTTCTTGGGGGAGTACTTCTTCTCCTTCACTTTGCTTGTAGTTGATTCCCGTTGCACAGGTTTGGGTTCCTGTTAATACAAGATACTAAGTGGCAGTGTTTGTAACAATTATAAAAATCCAAAGGAAGTTTCCATACCTCCAGAAACCCCATGCAGAAGTTAAGTGACCCCATACACTATTGAAAAATATTCTTGTGGTAATGCAGTCTCTTTGAGTTTTAGAGAACTATCATTAGTCTTGACATTTTCAATATTACAAAAACATTACAACAGAGATACATGACCTCCATACTTCAATAAATACTTAAGAACTCTTTTAATGCAAGTCATCCACTTAAATGTTAAATTCCACTACAAAAATTCTACCATATTTCCAACAGTTTTAAATATCACCTTATAAGCCTTAGTAATGAGCCTCCCTCGTTTCCTTTTCCCTCCCTTCCCATCGTCCTCAACATCCGACACTGGTTCATCGTTCTCATCGATGCTGAAGTCTGAGTCCACTTCATCATCTTGTTCCACTTCCGACCTGAATGTACACATCACTGATTAATGACACACCATACCTGTTACCCACATCAAAAACACAGACTTCTCAATGTATAAATACATATATCTTTTAAAATCCATCAATGACAAATGGAGACCCTGTTTCATCACTGCTCCACCTCCTACTTACTTACACCAACTCACACCAACATCACCCACAGCATATAAGCAATACTGAAGTTAACTTTTATAAGTAAACTTTGACATGAACTTCTAGTTGACAAATGTCTATACATGAACAGTACAGGTACAGTACCCCTCTGGTAATGAAGCCTCTTAATTAAAAGATTATTATTTTTTTTTTAAATATAGAAAAATAATAAAAAACAAAACAAAAAATTAGTGGAATTCATTTATAATGCATTGCCAAAGTTGTTTGTTCTGATTTCAGCCAATCAGAATTAAATGCACAACTCAAAACATAACAGCAATGTAAATTTACAGTTGTTGCAATTGTGATGCTATACTGTACTGGTTATTTGGCCCAAAAGATTCACAACATAAAGTTTTTAAGTCAGCTTACTGATAGTCGATGTCGTCTGCCTCTTCCATAAATCCTCCATAAGTAGTCTTGTAGAAATCATCCTCCTCCTCTTCCTCCAAAAGGCAGGACATTTTTGTCCCAGCATTATTTCGGCGGTCACGGAATGCTGCCATTGTGTCTGCTGCTATTTCTCTGTTGAGGAAAGAATGCACAATTACAGTACAGTATATTTATTGTACACTATATCAAACACTTTAATGAGAAGCAAAAATTATATTGCCATACTCTTAACTCGGGCTGACAAGGTATATACTGTATAATGAGTAGGGCATCTGTATGTAACCAGATATTCTGTATGTACTGTATGTCAGCAGCATATATTAAGAACAGACAGATCTAATAAGATCCGTAATTGAAATTTTTTTGTTGGCCCCCAAGGGGGCTAGTTTATTGGGCACCCCCTTACATCCTGCATTCACCATGACAATGTTCTGGGGTCAAAAGGTCAAGGTTACAACTCTGACAGGGAACAGTACCCAACCTAACCCATTTGTACCACCCAGGACAAGTTGACACTGTTCAAATGGTCTAGTTTCCAAACTCTTTACACAGCTACCGGTAGTTTTTAATTTCATGATTGCTGAAACTTAATTACTAAATAAAAGAACAGATGGGACAAACAGGCTGTACCAACCTTTGTAAATTACACTGCCAACTGTGGTCCTCTTCACATCATACTGGATTTGCAATATGAATTTTTAAACTTCTCTTCTTCAAGAATTTCTCATCGACCACTTCCTCTGGCATCTTCTTCATCACTTACAACTACTTTGTACTTATGGACTTCAAAAGTACCATTGTTACCAAGGTTTGTGGTGCTGCTACAATTAACTGATTAGCAAGGTGAATATCACACAAGCAGAAATGGGCATTCCACAATTTGCAAGAGTACAATAACATACAATAATCTCAAACAATCTTCATGTCATTCACAAAAGCCTTTCAAAGTTATTCAGCAAGGAAAATGCAGTACAGTACTGTACAGTAAAATATTTCCAAGATCAGTGTATAAAATCATCCTGAAGTATTTGGTACTCTGTTGGACTATAAATGGCTGTATGCTAATGGGCTGTATTTTCAAGCCAGACCTATGGCAGTTCAATTCAACTACCAATCAAACTGATAAGAATGGAATCCTCAAGGTATTGTTTATTATTTTTTTTAAATTCTCAAGCTACTGTAAACATTTAAAGTATTGTTGTACTGTGTTCTAATGTGCAACTGAAACAATTCTTTCTCAGGGTAGGTAAGTATGGTCCTCTTAAAGTAAAATTATTTATCTTTTTAAAATACAGTGTAAATTAAAACTATCTTATATTCACCTACATTAAAACAGACATTTTGTACTGATATAAAATCCTTCATTATAGAACAAAATACACTCATTCAGAATTAAAACCACAATCACTTGTGCTTCAGTCCAATTACTTCCGATATGCTCTGAGCTTCAACAGGCCAAGCCCGGAGTCTTTGTCCACCAATTTTATTCACGACTAACTCGATAACACTGTCAACTTTTTGGCTTGGTACTCCACATTCAATAAGTTCTTGGCCAGTTTGGAGAACTATTTCTTTAAACTTGTTGGAATTTGTTTCTGTAAAAGCAATTAGAGGTTTGGAGTCCTCAACACTCTTTCCACGCCCAATTCTTTTAGTGTTAGATACTAATGAGTTTGATCGTCTTCCATTCTTATTTTCTAAGCTGTTTAAATCCTCTTTCAATATCTGCAGTTCCTGCTGCAGAAGACAGGATGTACTGACACTACCATCTTTGGAAGACTTTAAGATATTCTCAAGGCAATGCAACTCTTCTTCCATCATTCTGAGTATATTGCGGTTTGCCAATCTTAACCCTACAGCCTCTGAAAAGTCTTGCTGCAGCCTCTTTAATTCATTCTGAAGGATAGATATGTTAATATTTCCATTGGCTCTGTTTTTCCTCTCAGGTACTCCTCCATTTCTGTGCCTCTGTTGTGTTTTGAGGTGCTGCTTATAGCTTGCTTCAAGAACTTCAGAGCAGTCGCTGTCTAGAAACCTACATAATGTTCTTTCAGTCTTTAATGTTGTCCTCATCAAAGTCATCATAAAGCAAGCATTTAGGAGAGACTCAGGATGAAAATACTTGATACATCTGGAGGTCATTAAAGCTCTGGCTCGGGTCACCAGCATCTCTAGATTGACAGTGTTGGAACCTCCAGCCATCAAAACATTCTGGTTCTCTTGTCGCCAAGTATCATATAAATCCAGGAGTTCACGCACTGTAACTACATTTTCCCCTTTTTGGGGATCTTTAGGGCCAGAAGAATTATCTTGAGATGTACGCCGTATCATTGTCTCAATAATATTCCCATTTTCTTTATCAGGTCCATCTACACCAACAATGGCAACATCTAGAACTTCACCTTCTTCAGGCTTCTTACTCAAAGATTTTTTCCAAGACAATCTGCCACCCCCCTTCCTTCTCTTCGCAGTTTTCCAATAGCTATCCAGTAATTTAGGGCAATGAAGGTCTGCTTCATTTACCCAGGAATCATCCTCTGGCCCAAAACCTAACCATCTGACTATGTACCCATAATGTGTACCTCCACTCTCATCATACATAATTTGGTGATCAAGAATTTTTTGAACCTCATAATCTTCTTCTTTATAAAGTGGGTTATTATTATTCTTCTTCTCGATGGTCTTACGAATCAAATCTTCATGTGTTTCAGTAAACAGACTATCTTTCTGCTTTCTTGGACACTTCTTAATGTCATCTCCCTTAAAACTTTCAAGATCACACCCTTCTACAGAATTACTGATACCCTTCCTTTTCAATGACCTTTTTCCTATACTGGCTGCTGCACTTTGATCATCAGTCTTTTGGCTTCCTGGGGTCTTCTTGTTGGTTGATGTACTTGAATCATCAGAAATTACAGAATCATCTATGGCCAAACTTTTCTCACTGAACTCTGAATCACTAACACCTGACTTCTCATTCTGAGCTGAAGAACTAACATCCATTTTCTCTGTAGTGTTATCACCATTATCTCCATCAACAGTGCTGCGCCGAGAAGGTCCAGAAAGAGAAACCAAATATTGGATGTCCTCAAGCCAATCTTCTTCTAGGTACATCAAGGCATCCTCTTTGCTGACTTTAAGCATTTGCTTGTATTCATCATGAAGTTTGACGGAAGATGACATGAGAGTGCCGGCTGGGATGCGAATCAACTGAACCTTTCTCTCCATCATCAACTTTTCAACATCTTTTAAGAGATCAGTAACAAAAACATTACTACCTACTGCCATCTTGCTTTTTAACCAATGAGTGTAAAGACATACAATGTCACCTCGTGTGATTGAGCCTTCCTTCCCTCTTGTCCTTACAACCTCAGTATCAAGACCTACATCTTCTGTAGTGGTGTTAACTGTCATCTCTATTTTTTTCTTCCTACCACGAACATTTGCAGTCTTTGCATTTTTCATCTTTTTAAGTTTGAGAGACAGATCTTTTTTCTTCTTCTTTGAAGATAAATTCATGAGTGATTTTGTTGAAATAAGCATCTTCTTTTTCTGTGGGGGTTTGGGTTCCTTCTGTTTTCTTGGTTGACCAGGAAATTGTCTCTTAGGAAATTTAAATTCTTTCTGTAATCTAGGGAAGTCTAAGCTACTTGTCTTGGCTGCCTTGGTTACAGTTATTACAGCAGTCAAAATATGTGTATAATCAACTATTTTCTGTTGACACATCTGAAACAATCTGACAGCCAAAGCAGTTTTTGTTGCACCTCTTGAGAGGTAAAATTCCTGAAGCTCCTTTATCATACCGTACGTCATGTCCACATCTTTGGGACCATTTGAATTTAAATCTTCGACTGTCACCCCCGCCTCGCAACAGTAATCTCCAAGGTAATAATCAATTTCCTTAAACTTGGGAACTAAATGGCCATCTTTAAATGTAAATGAAATCACTGAATTATCAACATCAAGCAGATTTCTATATTTATTGGAAAAATTTAATAACGACCCCTTAAATTGGTGTGGTACAAACTCGTGTGTTCTTTCTTTTCGATATTCATTCTTACTGGTAAAATGAGAGCAACTCTTTGGCTTTTCTGTAACATTAGTTGACTGTGATGACTGAGTAGAGAGAGGAGGTTGAGTAGGCATGAATAGACTTTTAAGCTCGAAAGAAGAAAACCCCTTTGCACTAAGTTTCCGAAGCCTCCCACTTTTACTCACGCCAAATGTCCCTGCATCAACGTTCTGTACCTCAGAAGTCAATGGCACTTTTTCTGTCTTTATCTCTATTTCTTCCTTCACCTCACTTGATAAATTGATGCACACAGTTTCTTGAGTTTGTTTTTCATTCACTTCTGCTGCTGCTTTTTGTATGAGGACAGAATCATTGTTACTGACTAGTGATAATTCTGCATCACCCCTGTCCAGACAATGTTTCCCAATTTTTGAATTTTTTCTATAATTAATTCTCTTCCTTCTACCATCATCTTTCTTATATTCTTCTTCCTTTTCATTCTTCATTTCCCTTTCATCTTTGCCCTCCTCTTTCTCATTTACTGAACACTTTTCACTCTCCGGTGTCTTCCAAATAGAACTGGTTTCTTTCTCAGTTGCACATCTATTCCTTACTGGTTCTTTCTTACTCTTTTTTAACCCCATTTCTTTGTCCTCCTTCGAGCACCAAGATGATTCGTCATGGGTAAATGTCTCGGCCTGATATTTTTTAAAAGATAATTTCCTCTTCTTACTTAAAGTACTTCCTTTGTGTTCAGGTGATGTCTGACTTCCTGACAGGTTACCTTGAGCATTAACTTCTTCTTCCTTAACAGTAACAAACAGTAATCCCTCATGCTCTGGGAATTCCTCCTTTACTGATGATGGCAAAATAAACTGTGTTGAATCAAAAGCTCTTAGTTTCATGTTACCAATCTTTTGCCCAGCTAGTGTTACTCTAAGAGCCTTCCTACGCTTCAAAACCATGTGAATTTTCTCCAAGTCCTCAACTGTTGGTTCCCTACATTTGACTCCACTTAATCGCTGAATCCACTTAGCAACGTCAACCCGTTCCCAAGCAATTTTCTTAGCGAACTCATCGAGCTCATAAACAATCCCATTATTGACAGTGACATTTTTTATTTTCATACTCTCCAAAAAACTTATGGTGCAACCGACTGAAGTGCAAAATTCCCCTATGTGGTCGTAATCTGAAACAATAATTATCCCCTCAGAGGACAGTTCATTTCTCTCTTCTACTGGTAACCTGCTGCTTAATCTCCTCGTCTTAAGTGAGCCTCCCTGAGCATCACTTCCTTCACTTTCATTCTGGTCAACACTGCGTCTTGTTTGCCGAGTAGACGTTTCTGCCTTTTTTTCCACTGTTTGAAGTTGATCTCTTACATGCTCACTTTTATTAGTTTCATAATTTTGATGAGGCGATTTCTTGGATTTACTTGAAGAAAACAACTTTTTAGGAATAATTCCAGATGTAGTTGGCTGGTTGTTACATACTGGTGTACTTTCGTGACAGTCAAGGACTAATTTTTTACTTTTGTTTGTTTCAACTTGGCCTTGGATTGAGTCCACATTCTTTGTCTTGAAATTTTCAGTTGCCTCTTTTGACAATTCACTTGGAAACATCACAGACACATTATTCTTTGTATCATCTTCCAAAGGTGGATCATCACCAACATCTTCAAAAACAATTTCCTCTTTTTTAATAAGTTCATCTAAATCTTCCTTTTCACATCTTGCAGACCGCAACACTCTGTCTCTGAGCACATTAGCAGCTTGTAAGTCTTCAAGATTATCCTGTAAAAACCCTTCAAAAGTAATACTGCTACTCCGACTTACTTCTGAGAACCCCTCAAAAGTGCTCCCACTAGTTTCTGAGAACCCTTCAAAAGTGCTCCCACTAGCCTCAGAAAATCCGTCAAAACTGGAGCACTGATCTAGAGGGCTTGACAACAATTCCTCAACAGTTGGGGGATACTGACGGAGGTAGACAGGTGATCCGTCCTCTAACTGCGTCAAGTAAACTGGCACATCATCCACCATTATGGGAACACACTGGCCGGGAGGGCTTATAGTTTCCACCATATTACTCTGGGATCGCGGCGCCACTACACTATCACCACTGGGGGAGGGTGTGGAAGAGCCAACATGTAGCGGGTCTTTCTCATCCGCCTCCTCCTCAGATCCCGACACATTGCCCTCACTTTCTTTATCATTTTTATCCACGATAATTAGGGAAGTCATGTTAATGGCCACTATAACACTTGGCTAGTCTCATATCTTTCTTCCCACACTCTCTTTAGGACCAAAAACTCGTGTCACAGGTGGTTTAAGAGCGTTTTTCCTTGGGTATGTGTTACACTCCCCGCTCCTGCTCTTGGATGAAACGTAAACAAATTAAGGATGAAAAGCAGACGAGGAGAAAATGCCATCCCGCCAAGACAACCTTCGCCATGGAAATACAGCGTTTTACCCCCCTCTTAATAGTTATGGTCCATCATGTAGGATTATTATTTATCTCTATATACTCAGGATCAAGTGTACTCACCTCACAGTCAAGCGGGAGGAATATTAGAGGAGGGATCACGCAATAATCGGGAAAGATTACTATACAGAACCAAAACAAACAAAAGTATGAAATGCACGACATATAAAACATAAAAAGAATTAGATTAAAGGTTTATTATTTTTAGAATTGGCTTTAGGCAGATACATTCTACTTTAATCTCTCCACCAAATAATAAAACCCATATTTACCACCAGAACTCTTCTACTAAGAACAATTGTATAAAATAAAATCTTAATGTTACACGACACATTTTATCTGTATTGTTGTTTTTCAATCTAAAACATTTTGTTTACAAATTTGAGTCTATTTTAAACAGTAAAAAATATGTAAATCATGTTATACAATAGTAATGCACGATTACACAATATTTTGTAGCCTATATAACAAGCTCTTACTTGTACTGGCGGGAATTACAAACTGGTCCAAACGCCAAAAGTTACCATATATACTAAATAAAGGCAAAACACAGTCTAATGCTCATAAATCCCATTTTTGGTGTTTCAGAGGAAATGGTTAGGTCATAAGTATAACACCACTTGGTTTTCATTCCAACTTAAATCATTTATTTTCTTTAGTAAATTGATTGGACTGGGTTTTAACAAGGTACTATTATGAGGCAGTTTCAGATTACCCCCCCCCCCAGTTCAAATTACCCCCACGGTTATTTGAACCTAGGTTGAAAGTACCCCCTCCAGCCTCAAATAACTCCCTATTTCTCACAGCTGATTTGGCCACGTAGATATATAGACCACATTTTATTGAATGCTTGTTTCTTTTGTGTGATTATGCAAGTACAGTACAGTATTGAGTTTTGAAAATGTAATTACACACTGTAATTGTATTTAAAAATCAAAAGACTTCTGTAAAATTTGATTAAATCCAAAACTAAACCTGTTTCTTGTAAATACCAAATCATTTGAAGTGCTAACATTAATTCCACTTATGTCTCTTGTTGATATCACCTTTGTTGTTATACATAAAAATGAGCTTAAATGAACAATAAATATCAAAGCATCAATAATATTCAAAACAATATCTCCATTAATATGCTGAATATACAGTATCATGACAGTGTAGTCTTAGAGAAGAGATTACATGTGTAGTATGTAGGCCTATATCTGTATGCACGCAAATGAATGTGCCCGAGGGTCACGTGCACATGTATTTATCTAACACACAAAACATGATTTCCTATGAGTTTGTGTAGGGGGTAATTTAAAACCAAAGAGGGTAGTTTGAACCTAAGTTTTTGTTACCCCCGGGATACGGTATATTGAACTTGTGGTAGTTAGAACATACCCTCCCCCCCACTGTACTTTGAAACTAGGTTCAAATTACCAGGGGTATGCAAAGCCTTCATGAATTGAATCATGTGAGATCAAATTAGTTACTCAGACAGACACTGACAGAACTAACTCATACAGAGTGGAGAATACTGTGGAAACTCCAAATGTAAATTCTTTTAAGTTCAGTAGGAATGTACACCACGACTCAAACAATAAAAACTAGTACGTAGTGGGTATAACTGTACTGGTTTTCCAGGTGGTCCTAATCTTTGGAAATATCCCTCTAGCACAAAACTCTCTCGAGTCTGTGTGTGTCAGTTTTCCCCCTATATTTTGTCACATTATCTCTTAAAAAAAAAAATTTTTGTTGATCAAAACAGAAAAAATGTGATGGGTTTACACTACACATACAAGATTAGTTATATCACTTATTCAATACAACATAGTTTGTCACTGCTGTAAATTAGATTTGTATAAGTGTGTGTCTCTCTACTTCTGTTGTAGATCTACCACTTTATTAAGCTTCTTTACCCCCAAAAATTACAGCATGGGGAGGGAGGAGGTTCACAAGAAGCAGCATGCCTTCCACCATCACAGCACTATCACTGGCCAGTGATACATGCTAGAGTGTGTATGTCCAGTTCTTCCCAGATTAAGATTTAAGTATAGTATTACAAATATTGTAGGCCTTATAATTACAAATAGATCCTAGAAGAAAAATAGATTTAACAACACTTCATACATGTGGATCCTCAAGCCTCACTTAACCTCTTTTTTTGTGGACGATGCCAAGTTACTGAGGGAAATAAAGAACCAAATGACTCTGAAGCACTGCAGAAAGATCTCTATCAACTTCTGGCATAGCCAAAGGAATGGCTGTTAAGATTCAATGTCACTCTGTGATGAATCTGCACCTGAAACAAAAATAGTGATACTGTATACAGTACTGTACTTGTATCCTGTACAGATGGTCTGGTCTTTTACCAATGAGGTGTATGTGACCTTTAACTTCAATATACAATCTTTATGTTTCCTTACACTTTTCTGGTTAGGAAAGGCATTGGGCTTCTTTACTCACTTATGTTCAGTGTCCTTTGAACTACTATGGGCAGTTGCTATACATCATTTTTAGGTACAGCTTTATTTTTGGGTCAGCATCTCATGTCATCTACCACACCTACCATCAAGTGTTCCACCAAAAGCTAATACAGTACAGTATGTATAGAACAGTACTGTCTGATCAATACAAAGCCTTAAACTTTACACAATGATCCCAAACACATAGAAATTGGAATGTGAGGACAAACATAAAGGTGGGGAATTTGCCTATGTTTGTACTGAGATAGAGATATTGTAGAAAGACATCGTGAGATTAAGTGACGTAAAATGGACATGTTCAGACAGTGTTAGTCAAGAATATCACTATATATTCAGGTGTTATCAAAACTCAATACGTACAGTATAAAAAATAGTCCTTTGTTTTATTCAAAGCTTATAAAACTATTCAGTTGGGTTTTGATATCATAAAAGTTAAAAATCTGATACCCGGTAATAAGACACAATGCATCCAATATCAATATTTATTTACCAAGTACAGTATCGAGTTTAAAAGGACGAATATCCTTAAATGCAAATTTTGTCCATTAAATAAAGTTTACACAATGTATCTAAACAGTACAGGTATATGGAAAACTGCAAAATTTACACTTGAAATATATTATACAGTATACCCTATACTGTACTGGACTGTACTGACCTTATAACTCTTAATAGTTATGATATACAAAATAAATGTATGTACAGTATACAGTAGAGTAAATCTATTTATAAAATAGGATACTACAGTACTTATAAAGGTGGAATATCCTCAGCATTTAAAACCTTACATAATTACTGAGATCCTTTATAATTTAAAACAAAACTTCATAGAAACACATTTACAAGATAAACTACATTACAGACTCACTAATGTGCTAAAATATTAATCATAAAAAATAGAACCTAGTAATGATATAAAAAGTTTCCCAACACTAATTAAGACACTTATTTAGTCATCAAGAACCATGATCAATTACAAAATATGAAAACACAATTAAACATCTATGAACGTCTCATAATCTTAATGTTCTTAGTCAATATGAGCAACTCTATGACCAATTGACATAGGTATTGGTATTTAAATTATGGTGTACATTATACATAACCTGAACAATTGAACTAGTCAGGAAAAAGATTTAAACACTTTAATAGACAGATACATAATTAATCAATGTTTATTCTGATCAAGTGCTTGACTAGGTAAGTGTTTTAGTTGTAAATATTTTCATCAAGAGTTAATTCAGAATTTTGTTTTGTACAGGGTACTTAAAATTTTTACAGTACCGGGTATTTTCACAAACCCTTCTATCTCCTGTACAGAATACTCATATATCTTAATAATAACAACAAATAACTCTTCCCAAACAAACATTTTCAATTTTGTCAATTTAACTTCCTAGTACAGTATTACAGTACACAGTTTCCATTCAAAAAAGTAAATTTTTTACAAGTCTTTATAATCTACAATACCAGTACACATCATGTTTCGATGATACAGTAGTTCCATATATAGTTTTTTGCACACTAATTGACATTATTCTCATCCTTATTTTATCATAAAACCATTCAGGCGCGCAAAATTTCTTATCCATGAAACACTTGGCAGGGCAGGAGACTCCTCACCCCCCACTTTGGTCAAGATGGTGTGGACAACTGTCCTCACTTGATTCACATCCACCCCATTGGCTAAGAGCTCATAAATTCCTTCCCTGACTGTCTGTGGAACATCCTCTCCTAGATCTATACTAGCAGCTACACTACTAAACCTCTCCCTTGAACAAATTTCAGTAGAAGATCGAATATTCTTGGTGTAATCCACTTTCAATGCTTTCTTACTATTTTCCACATTCTCCATACTACCATCACCTTTCCTCTTGGCAAGGGACTGATGAATAGCTCTTCTTGTTTCACTCAACTTTTGTACTAGTTTCTTTGACTTGGAATCCACAAACTTATTAACAATTTCTTGTTTTCTATTTTCAGCAAGTTTGATTCTTTTTAACATCATATCATTCATTTCCTTGTACTTACTGAGCTTCTCTTTGAAAATGGTCAAATTAACACGAAGTTCTTCCTTTTTCTGGAAATCAGGAGACTGAAGTGCTGCCTTCTCTGCTGTTACACATTTTTGTTCAGCACTCTGAACCTCTTTCTCTGCACCATTCAAACTCCCAGCAGATGACAAGTCTGTCATATCTAAAGATGCCATCATAGCATTTATCAATTGCTTTCTTGACTTGGGAGGGTTAGACTCAGTAAGTGGTTGGTTGAGGAAGAACTCTGCCAAAATTCTGTTTTTCTCTTCATACAAATAACTACAAAATCTTGTATACAGTTTTATACAGAACTGTGTCTTGTCAGTAGCACGTAGGTTAATATTTCTACACAGCTCCTCCACAGCTTCTGGTAAAGAAACATTAGGAAGGTGCTGTTCTAGATTTTTCCACAAGCAAAACACCGAGATAATATTGCGAATTGTAGGTCCCTCCGTGAGCTCAAGTTTAGACAGCCACAAGTCCTCTGCTGTATAAATATTACTTGGATCCCAATCCTGAGACAGAAAGATAGAATATGTTCCCTTACTTTTGGCACGGTTAAAGTCCCTTCTTAAATTCTCAGCCACAAGAAGAAGGGTAAGACTATTGGGAACTAACAACACTCTTTTACGGGTCAAGAGTATTTGGATTAAAATACGGAATAGCAAGTCAACATCTGGAGACTCAGGATTTAAGATACAAATGTTCTGAAGCATTAACAATTCTCTGTTTGTTAAAAAGCGTCTTCTACCTCTTGTACCTGGGGTCAGTGGACGGCAATTGTCCGACTCGAATGGCAAGAGGTCAAAAGCTTCTCTGGCTAACCCACACAAAGCTGATCTCTCCTTCAGCATTTCATAGTGGGAAAAACTATATTTGTATTTCTTGGAAGGATGTTTTACCATACCTCCATTTGTGATAGTTTTCATATCTGTGCTAGAACAGTAGGTATCTAGGGTATTAACATTCAACCCTAAAACAGCACATAAATTATTACCAGTATTCTCCTCACTGGGAACAGACTTATCTTCCTCACCTTCACCACCAATATCAGTATCAGATGATATGGAATTTTCGTCGGCCGTATCAACTATTGTTTTGGTAGAATTTTGTGACTCGATCAAAGAGTGTTGCGGAGATATAGTTGAAGGCACCACCTGCTGACTGACTGCTTGGGCTGGTTTATTAGTATCCGTAGTAAGAATTTTATCATCATTGCTTAATATGCTTTCATGGGATGTTACTAAACTTTCCTTAGTTAAGTTGTCAGCCTCTACTGTTGAAACTGCAGCAGCAACTGCATCCTGCTGTGACGAAATGCTCGGAAATGAATCAGAGGCATCCTGAGACAAGGGTGGCTGCTGTGAGGAGGAAGTTGAAGACCTTGTCTGTCTGGTGGAGGCTCCTAATTCTCTATTATTTTCAGATGTTGAAGGTTTTAAAGTTTTAATCTTTGGTATATGACATTTCAATTTCGATGTACGTTTTATTGGAGTAGTTACAGTATTCTCTGTTAAGGCTGTTGTAGAGGTTGTCTCACAAGCAGGTTGGATGGTTTCCATGTTTTCTGTAGTTGATGTTTCAGTGGTGCTTAAGGTATTTGATTTATCTTTCTCTGGCTCATGTGATGTTTGATTCTCAGAAAGAGGTGATGTGACATTCTTAGATACAGACAAAGTTGCCGTTTCAGATACAGGCAAAGCCGTTGTCTTGGTACTGGGTGGTACATGTCTCGGTAATTTTAATTGTAACTTATTATTTGAAAGCGATAATTTATTTCTCTTGGAGATAGACGGAGTGGTTTCCTTTGATAACAATGGCACACTTTTTTCAGAGGTAGACGGTGTACACTCCTCTGGGAGATCTGACTCATTCATTTTAGGAGATTGAATAACAGGCCGTACAGTTTCTTTTGGTGGGGTCTCCACTGGACTCTCTGAGACAAGAGCAGGACCACTTTCAGAAGAACTCTTTTTTGTCTCTAAAGAAACAGCCTCAACTTCTTTTGATACTTCTGGCATTGTTATAGTTTCTGCAAACATGGGTGTGTCCCAGGCACCCGACAGCATGATCTTCTCTGAGGCAGGTTCTACGTCCTCACTTACAGTTGGTATATATTTTGAACAGGAAGGTTGAACTTTTTGGGATGAAGATAAGGTACCAGTACTCTTTAGAGGCTTCCTCAGTATTTTGTTCAGATTTTTTGTTTTAGTTTTCTTCTTCACCTCACTTATTCTTTTCTTGGCAGGAATCTCCTCCTCATGAGTCACAGGAGCATCTCTTTTGTTATTTCTTACTGGCACTACATCAGAGGTTACATCTGCACCAATCAAATTTGAGAGAAATTCTTTAGTGGAATCTGGTTTGTAAACAGCAGTAAATACATGACAGCACTTAATCTTACCGGACTTCATGATGTTGCCAAGCCAGTGATTAACTTCACTTATCTTTAAAGATCCAATATTTTTTCCCAGATCTGCCCTATCTAATAAGCTCCTGACTGCCTCTTCCTTCCCACTTGAGAAATGTGACTCAGCCCAGTTGTTGATGCAGATGATAGCTCCATAGGTAATCCTTGAGTTGACAGTAACAGACTCAGTGCCAAGTGAGATTATGTTCAAAACTCTGTCATTCCAGATATTCCGACACTTTTGACACACAGTGGGAACATTTTTTCCTGGTAAGTTCTTTAAGCGAAGATATAATAGATCTGAGTCGGTTGCTTTTTTTGAGGCAACAGAAGTTTCTTCTTCATCATCATCTTCATCATCATCAGCAGCATCACTCAAAATATCTATGCACTCCACATCTTTATGATCTGAATCAGTTTTGTCTTGTACTGCAGTGTGAGGTTTTGTTTCACCTCTATGACCCGAGGCTACGGAAATGTGACCCCCTTTCCACGTCTGCTCCAAATCTCTTGACGGCTGACCAACCTCGCAATGAGAGGCACTGCTACTAGTACTGGCAACGGGAGTAACATGTAAATCACCCTCTGTCTCAACATCCTTACAACAAAACATATCATCAATCGCAGGACTTTGGGACCTAAAAATTTTGTCCTGTTCACTACGTTCACAAGCCAAATTCATGTTCTCTTCTTCCTTATTATGAACACCAGAGCTTATATACTCTCCCTTTTTGTCACCACCTGATCTTATAGACTCTTTATCACCATCTGATCTTATAGACTCTTTAACACCACCTGATCTTACAGACTCTTTAACACCACCTGATCTTACAGACTCTTTATCACCACCTGATCTCATAGACACTTTATCACCACCTGATCTTACAGACTCTTTATCACCACCTGATCTTATAGACTCTTTAACACCACCTGATCTTACAGACTCTTTATCACCATCTGATCTTACAGACTCTTTATCACCACCTGATCTTATAAACTCTTTAACACCACCTGATCTTACAGACTCTTTATCACCACCTGATCTTATGGACACTTTATCACCACCTGATCTCACAGACACTTTATCACCATCTGATGTCATAGACACTTTATCACCATCTAATCTTATGGACACTTTATCACCACCCGATCTCATAGACACTTTATCACCATCTAATCTTATGGACACTTTATCACCACCTGATCTGACATACCTTTCCCTACTCTGGGTGTCCTCCTCGTTAGAATTATTCGACTGCATACTGTCGTCACTGTTAAAACCAAAGCATCTCTCGATCTCTTCCCTTTTCACAGCAGCTACCTTATCTTCTTCAGTACGAGAGGTAACAGGACTTCTACCCTCTGTTTTGCTGGTCATAATGTATAGTTTAATAGGCTTTCTACCCAGAACTGGTGACTTTGGTAATTCTCTGCTTTCCTCTTCCTCCTCCTCCTCAAGTCCTTCTCCAGTGTTTTCCAGGGTTTTTATCTCTTCCTCAGCCTCTTCTTGGTTCTCTATCTCCTTCTCAGTCTCTTCTTGGTTCTCTATCTCCTTCTCAGCCTCTTCTTGGTTCTCTATCTCCTTCTCAGCCTCCTCTTCCTGGTTCTCTATTTCCTCCTCAGCCTCTTCCTGGTTCTCTATTTCCTTCTCAGCCTCTTCCTGGTTCTCTAATTCCTCCTCAGCCTCTTCTTGGTTCTTTAGATCCTTCTCAGTCTCTTCTTGGTTCTCTATCTTTTCTTCACCTTCTTCTTGGTTCTCTATTTCCTTCTCAACCTCTTCCTGGTTCTCTATCTCCTTCTCAGCCTCTTCTTGGTTCTCTATTTCCTCTCAGCTCTTCCTGGTTCTCTTTCCTCCTCACCTTCTTCCTGGTTCTCTATTTCCTCCTAGCTCTTCCTGGGTTCCTGGTTCTCTATCTCCTCTTGGTTCTCTATTTCCTCTTTGCTCTTCCTGGTTCTCTATCTCCTTCTTCCCTCTCTGAGCCTCTTCCTGGTTCTCTATTTCCTCCTCAGCCTCTTCCTGGTTCTCTATTTCCTCCTCAGCCTCTTCCTGGTTCTCTATTTCCTCCTCTTCCTGGTTCTCTATTTCCTCCTCAGCCTCTTCCCTGGTTCTCTATTCCTCCTCACCTTCTTCCTGGTTCTCTATCTTTCTTCAGCTTCTTCCTGGTTCTCTATCTCCTTCTCAGCCTCTTTTTTGATTCTCTATTTCCATCTCTCAACCTCTTCCTGGTTCTCTATCTCCTCTTCAGCCTCTTCCTGGTTCTCTATTTCCTCCTCAGCCTCTTCCTGGTTCTCTAGATCCTCCTCAGCCTCTTCTTGGTTCTCTATCTCCTTCTCAGCCTCTTCCTGGTTCTCTATTTCCTCCTCATCCTCTTCCTGGTTCTCTATTTCCTCCTCAGCCTCTTCCTGGTTCTCTATCTCCTCTTAGCCTTTTCCTGGTTCTCTATCTCCTCTTCAGCCTCTTCTCGGTTCTCTATTTCCTTCTCAACCTCTTCCTGGTTCTCTATCTCCTTCTCAGCCTCCTCTTCCTGGTTCTCTATTTCCTCCTCTTCCTGGTTCTCTATTTCCTCCTCAGCCTCTTCCTGGTTCTCTACTTCCTCCTCACCTTTTTCCTGGTTCTCTATCTTTTCTTCAGCTTCTTCCTGGTTCTCTATCTCCTTCTCAGCCTCTTCTTGGTTCTCCATTTCCTCCTCAGCCTCTTCCTGGTTCTCTATCTCTTCCTCAGCTTCTTCCTGGTTCTCTATCTCCTCTTTGGCTTCTTCCTGGTTCTCTATTTCCTCTTCAGCTTCTTCCTGGTTCTCTATCTCCTTCTCAACCTCTTCCCGGTTCTCTATCTCTTCCCCATCTTCTTCCTGGTTCTCTATCTCCTCTTCAGCCTTTTCCTGGTTCTCTATCTCCTTCTCAGCCTCTTCCTGGTTCTCTATCTCCTTCTCATCCTCTTCCTGGTTCTCTATCTCCTCCTCAGCCTCTTCCTGGTTCTCTATCTCCTTCTCAGCCTCTTCTTGGTTCTCTATCTCCTTCTGAGCCTCCTCTTCCTGGTTCTCTATTTCCTCCTCAGCCTCTTCCTGGTTCTCTATTTCCTCCTCTTCCTGGTTCTCTATTTCCTCCTCTTCCTGGGTCTCTATTTCCTCCTCTTCCTGGTTCTCTATTTCCTCCTCAGCCTCTTCCTGGTTCTCTACTTCCTCCTCACCTTTTCCTGGTTCTCTATCTTTTCTTCAGCTTCTTCCTGGTTCTCTATCTCCTTCTCAGCCTCTTCTTGGTTCTCCATTTCCTCCTCAGCCTCTTCCTGGTTCTCTATCTCTTCCTCAGCTTCTTCCTGGTTCTCTATCTCCTCTTTGGCTTCTTCCTGGTTCTCTATTTCCTCTTCAGCTTCTTCCTGGTTCTCTATCTCCTTCTCAACCTCTTCCCGGTTCTCTATCTCTTCCCCATATTCTTCCTGGTTCTCTATCTCCTCTTCAGTCTTTTCCTGGTTCTCTATCTCCTTCTCAGCCTCTTCCTGGTTCTCTATCTCCTTCTCAACCTTTTCCCGGTTCTCTATCTCTTCCCCATCTTCTTCCTGGTTCTCTATCTCCTCTTCAGTCTTTTCCTGGTTCTCTATCTCCTTCTCAGCCTCTTCCTGGTTCTCTATCTCCTTCTCAGCCTCTTCCTGGTTCTCTGTTCCTCCTGTATCTCCTTCCACTCTAGGGTTGCAATCTTTGTCGCTGTTTGTTTTTATTTGGTTCAATGTCTCGTCATCTTCGAGGAAAAGGTTCAGCGTCTCCTCATCAGATAGAATTTCCTCGTGCATCTTCTCAACGCTGTCTTCTGTTTCACCGAGTGTTTCCGATTTTAATTCACCCGTGTCCTTTTGCTCCCATTTATTATCCTCTGTTTGCATGTCACTAATATCTTCTCCTTTATTTATTTCCCTATCCTCCATTTTCTCTATCCGAGGTTTAACGGCACATTTATCTCGTCGCGTCAAGTTATCCGTTTCTTTCTTTCCTTCGCTCTCATTATCTTTGTCGAATTTTTCCATGTTATTCATTTGTTCATTATTCTCTGGGTTAGTCCTTTTTTTTTTATTCCAAATGACCAAAATATTTGATCACTCACATGACTTTCACTCCATTGAATGATCACACTCACTTCCTCTCAACTATTCTTCCAGACGTCAATATCATTTATCTCCTTATCTGTCACAATTTCTGGTTTACTATATATTCAAATCACCAGTTGCAGAGTTAATAGTTAGGTTCTTTTTGCTCTTGGTGATTCTTCAGTCAAAGTCATTGTTTGAAGTGTAGAATAAATACCTGAAGAACAAGGCTCCTTTATCTCGACAAGCAAAGATAACTTTACTCTAGTCCTCCAGCTGTAGGTTCTGTCGGTAACCGGTAGACAGCAAACATTCTGAAAAACAAGTGAGGTGTTGTAGAGTGAAGTTTAGTTTACAAGGTTTTTTTATAATTTGTATTTTATCAGAACTTGGCTTAAATTTGGTTACTCTAATGTTGTGAAATAGTTTGATTCATTTCTACTTCATTTTAGCCCCACACTTTCCCTATGGTGAAATAATTATTAAACAAAGCAAATCTCGAAAGAAATGCTACAGTACTAACTTTTTAAACACAGATCTATCATGGCAACTGCAATAATAAGTAACTCTTTTAAAATGGGCAAAATTAACCAGCCAAACCAAACCTAATTCACCTAAATTTGATAAGTTAGGTTGGGTTGGGTTTGGATTGTGTTATATGCCATCATAAATTGTATAATTAATTCGTTATCAAAAATTAGACACAAGATGTAGCAGAATAAGCAAGTAGTACATGTACTGCAATATACGTGTACAACTGTGGGCAATACATGTACTGTACTGAAATGTTATGACCATATTGTTTAGCAACGACCTTTTTGTACTTTAGCTTACCAAACCTAACCAAACATATAATGATGTACAGTATTTCCAACTCACTTGAGTCTGTTGATAAAAATTTACAATCTGTGAGGCTAAGACATAACTTGTCAAAAATGGCATGAACTCATTTAAAATAACTTTCAAGGTGGTTGTTTTTCCAGTCACAGAACTTTACTAACTTTTGCTATTTGTTCAGCAGAGATTTGTCATTTATAAATATGGTTGGGTTAGGTTAGGTTAAGTTGGCCGAAATAGTGGAAGGGTAAAGTGGCCAGCAAATCCAAAACCAAGACAAAAATACCAAAATTGGATTAAATATATTAGTGTTCAGTTGGGTTAGGTTAGCAGTGATTTAAAGTGACTGAATTCAGTAATCTAGTGTCTGCACCATCAACCTCGACCAATCAGAATAAATGCCGGACAAATGGCCAAAGTTAGTAAAGGTCTGACTGGACAAATAATCACTGCCATCAATTTACTGTACAAGTATACAATTTACTTGAGTATAGTCCAAGTTTTCATATCAAATTTTTATGTAAAAAGTAGGGGGTGAGACTATATACTGTACATGTACTATTTTTGAGGGGTTAAAAGTCACAAACTTTCATGGGTCATTTACGGTGGTAGGCGAACTTTATCATTAAGTACCTTTATCCTGGTTAGCTACGTTTCTTTGGTTGGTTAGGTAAGGTTCTAGTAAATGTCGCCTCTTTTATAATGATAAGAACATCTGGGGAAAAAATTTACAAAATCGAACAACTCCTTCTGGTAAGGTATGTTTACAGCTACACAACGAATGACTTACAGCAAAACAAATGCCAAATGCAGCCAGTCAGTCACATATCGTTCTTGCGTTGTTCACAAATAATGGACGATAAGCCAATTAGAGTGCATTCACAGTAAAATAGCATTAGTAGGAACTTAGCCGGTCACAAGAAAATATCCACTGCCTAATATCAACAACTAACCTGACTTTGAGTACATTTAACGTGCCTATTTAATATAATTCTAAAGTTCAAAATAATTTCTCCAATACATAACACCATTTATTACGATAAAACTATTATCTGGACCTCTGTATGAAAAGTTAAGGCGTATTATGGTCATATGAGAGGCAGTATTACACAACATAGGAAATATACTCTAAGTGTGTAGTTAAACCTTGTAAGCCTCTTTCAGTTTCAGCAAACTTATGACAATGACAACCATGTAATCACTTCTGGCGGTAGTTATTAAAATAAACATAACTTACAGCATACCGCCAAAATGGAGTGCACTTGTAAGTCGCCATCAGACGCCCTACACACACACACCTCCCTTCCCACTTCTCACCAATTGTCTTATCTCTCTGTACACTTGAATCGTAACACAGGTGAACCATGGGCATTAATTTACCTAGATATTAAAATAATGACAACACCAGCACTTCAAGTATCGTGGAGGGTGTGTGCAGCATCACCACCCTAGATGAAGGTAAACAAACACTCTCCCCGGGCCCTACTTTACTGATACAATAATGTTCTTTTACTATCTTTAAATATTTACTTCCAGCGTACGGGAGTTACTGTTATATACCACCAAAACTTTCAAATAAATTAAACAAAGGAAAAATAATGACGGAATATTCTTGGCTTGATATTATTCTAATGAATTACTATAAATATAGGTGTAATAGGAGTTGCTTTAATAAGTTATGACTAACAATATCTTTTGTATTATTCTTTCAATAAATTTATTCTTCTCATGTAAACAAAATATAATTACCACTGTTATCATTATACGCACCATAATAGCATAAGAGTACTGTATTTATATCAATATCATATTTATTAAATATTATTTGATGACAGAAAAATTAGATGATGCAATACAGAGGTAGACCTTGAGGACTGGTAATATCTTCCCACGCCTCTGCCTGAGTGGCCAAATAAGCATTAAATTAAGTTTATTAATATTCTAAATATTAACTTGTTAAATGGATGTTCTTGAATAAGAGTGATGGAATGCCATTAGATATTACTTGTGATGTATTCATGGACAACATGACGCAACTAAGCAAAAGATGGCAGCACTTTTGTAGCGATATAAATGTTAGAGATTACCACGAACAGACAGGTTTAATCAAATTAATTTATTTGTTTATGGTTATAAATATAAAAATAAAAATAATAATAATAATAATATTTTATAGGCTAATTTAGGTTAACTATTTGTTTTGATTTGAATAATTAATGATATAACTGTTCCATTCGTGGTGTTGGTTAAACATTGATCACACATCATATCATAATAAGACAAGTATCTCCTCCTTGTATAACTTGTTTACTCCCAGCCAACCCAGCCCCGCCGGTGTGACATGTGTTGCCCCGCCAGCTGACGTGACCATCGTAAACAACACATATTGTACCTCTCAAAATGGAAATGGCTGAGAAGTTAAGCTTGCTGGGGTTGTCAGAGGGCAAGGTGAAGGAGACTATGAAGAATGAGTCGCTCACGGCGGTGCTGGCTACCATTACTGACCAGGTGAGACGGCGGCTTGTACTGACAGGAGCACATATGATTGGAAAATAGACTAATATTTAATGAGTTATCCACGGTATATGTTGATTACTGTATGCATACACTGTATTAATATATACTAAATAAGTTAAAATGAAGGCTATCATTAACGATGATCTAACAGGCCCAGTAATACTTTACCAAGGTTGCTCTCCTTAACCAGCAGCTTGGACATTTTTCAATAGACTAAATGTGTTTTCATGGTATAGGTGGTGAAGGTCCGACTAATTACCCAAATGTAGCCGCAATGAAGTCAAATGATGGTCCTACATGAATAAATCGGACTGCTAATCACTTCTCGACTAGTACTTGGTGTCACAAAAAATTGGAAAACTTATTTTAATCTGAGTTAATAGATCGCGTGCATGTACCGAAGGAGCGAGTGATTACCCAAATGATGGTCCTACAAGCGTAAATCGAGCTGTGAATCACTTCTCGATTTTTATTTGGTGTCATAAAGTTACAAAAAATTGGTAAACTTAATTTAATCTGAGTTGTGTTAGGTTAGGTTAGGTACGGTACATACACTCGATCTGTTAACTCAGATTAAATAAAGTTTACCAATTTTTTGTGAGTTCGTGACACCAAATACCAGTCGAGAAGTGATTGGCAGTCCGATTTATTCATGTAGGACCATTATTTGACTTCATTACGGCTACATTTGGGTAATTAGTCGGACCCGGTGGTGACGGTTAACACCCGTAGGACTTAGTGTAATTGCATCAAAATTTCTGGAGTTGCTATTTGTACGATACTAAACACGAAAATGGAAACGACAATGCACAGAACCTAAATGAACCTGACCTAACCTTACTTAAATTCTTAGCATCCCCAACATATTAAGGAGAAAGAACTTACAGTAATATGGTGTAATTGTATGTTTTGTGTGGACGTGAGAGAAGTTGTATTGTTTTTATTACTGTACTTACTATCATCCAAAGACCACCTGTGGAAAATTTTAACAAATAATCTCCCATAAGGCAGCGTAATGTGTTTGGTATCTACAAGAGTAAAGTAGGACTTACGAATAAACTTCAGGAATGTAACTCATTTGTAAGTACCTGGTAGGAGCACTTGTACAGTACAGTTACGTTTGTGTTTAATTATATCTTGAACCAAAATAATTCATTCTTTAATTTAGTGTTTTGCAAAGCAGGAATTCTTATAAGTAGTGTAAGCAGATGTTCAGAGCCAAATTTCCATATTGATACTAATCCATATTTTTCATGTACAGGCTTGTGGTAGAGGTGAGCTGAACAAGAAGGTTGGGAACTTACTGTACAACTTGGGCACCAAACTTCCACGCCAGTTCCACACTCATCTCCCATTCCTGGTTAACTATGTGGCTGATGGTCTCATTAACCAAGAGGCCAAACTCACAGCGGCAATTAAATTCATACAGGTAATTGTTAGCCACATTTTGTCTTGGTCATGTTATACTCATATATTTTTAATCCCAGGTGTGAGAATATGGTAATGTAGCAAGATGGTAAATATTCGGTCACAGCAATGAGATATATTATGCTTTCTGTAGGATCATGCCATGGGGGAAGTAAACAAGGCTGATTTTGAGAAGGCATGTGGCGTGAACGTAGAGGTGACCCAGGATGAGATTGAGGCGGCTGTGGAGCTTTTAATTACCAAACACAAAGACACCATTCTGAAACAGAGGTGAGGTTGATATTAATGTTTACTTGATAGAAATATATTTGTTATCTTGTCTGCTATTATACTGTAAACATAATTTTCTTTCATTGGTATATTTTTCATGTTCTCAAAATTTGTTTTATTATCTTTATCAATGGGAGAAGAGGGAACACATCTCTTCCTAGGGTAGTGCTTCTATGGTTGGTCAGTGCAAAGTGGATTTAATCATTCTGGTTTTCTATTCAGGTATAAGTACAATACTGGACTTCTAATGGGCCAGGTTCGGTCGTCCCTCCCGTGGGCTGACAGTCGCAAAGTGAAGGAAGAAATTGACTTGCAGATTGTGACGCTTCTGGGTCCCAAGAGAGAAGAAGATTTAGTCAATCCGGCCAAAGTAAAAAATGAGAAGAAAGAGAAGAAAGTTGAGGTGAAGTCATCGACTGCAGTGGAACAGCCAGGTGAGGACTAACATGTCATATGACATGATGATTTTGGCTGAAACAAGTAGAAATATGAAGCTAAAGCTGAATGTTAGAACTTAATGTAGATGATGTCAAATTTTTGTTCAGTGATCAAATTTATTGGTAGCTTTGACCTCCCTTATGATATCCAGCCGAGAAACAGTCAAAGACCATGGCGGAGTTGCTGAAGACGGTAAACTTTCACGCTCCCGGGGAGAACCACAAGACAGAAGGTTACGTTTTAACGGACAACACTCACCGAATCTTAAAGGAACACCTCAGTATCACAGGTGGACAGGTAACTCATTCATGTGGCTGTAAAAGACTATTATAACGCTTCTGTGTTATTGGTGTAGAAGAGTGTTAGTTATTTATTTTTTTTTTTTTATTAAGGATGATCACTGCAGAGAACTTGTGAGGAAAACTGCATGGGCCATTATTCTTTGGGGGAAGGTTAATATGTACTTAAAATATGTGTTAGGGCTGGTTAGATTAAGAATACACACACCATTTGGTCTTAATTCATATTTAGTGACATTATGTGACTCAAGATTTCCTTAGTACTGGATACTGAGCTTTGGGCAGCTACGGTAAATAGGTATTGAAGTATTTAAGCTTAAATTTCGTGAGGATTTAATGTCTCCCATTTTAAACTTTACTTCCTAGTGTGAAAATTTGATGTAACTCTTAAGAAGGGTGATGTTGTGAAAATATTCTTATTTACAGTTTGATTAAGATGGCTCATCATACTCTAACACTGTTTGTTTATATCAAGAACCCAGCTTTGTTAACTCCTCCTCACCAAAGATGTTTACTAGTTTTGGAGTGTACTGTCTCTTGTATACTCTGGAGGACATATCCGTAAACATATGAATGAAACGCCTGATGTTTCCTCACAGGTACGCACCCGTTTCCCTCCAGAGCCTAATGGGATTCTTCATATTGGTCACGCAAAAGCCATCAACATTAACTTTGGGTATGCGGCAGCCAACAATGGAGTTTGTTTCCTCCGTTACGATGACACCAACCCAGAGAAGGAAGAAGAGAAGTTCTTTGTGGGGATCAGGGAAATGGTTGAGTGGCTTGGTAGGTGTGAGACATAACTTCTATAATTGTGTTGAAACTCAAAGATGGGAGATGTAATGTCTGACAGAAATTAGATAAAAAAAACAGATTAAGTATAACTGTAAATACTGTATGTTGGTAAGTTTATCTCTGGCCATCATTTTGTATATTTTATTGAACACATAAAAGTAGGATGACAAAATCTCTTCAACAGACTTTAACAAAAAAAATTTCATTGTACAGGTTACAAGCCGCACAAGATCACTCATTCATCTGATAACTTTCAACAGTTATACGAGTGGGCCATTGTGCTTATCAAGAAAGGTATGGCATTTGTTTGTCACCAGAAGCCAGAAGAGGTTCGAGGACACGATGCTCCGCCCTCACCGTGGAGGGACCGACCTGCTCATGAATCTCTTCAGTTGTTTGAGGTGAAGCGCTGAGAGTAGATGAATAGTCACAGTTGTTGATCATGTACAGTACAGTTAATATTGATGTGTAATATTATTTTTATTCAGCCTTAAAAGTGGAATATTTAGTAGTTTGAAACGTACGGGTATTATTTTTGATTTGGGGTAATCTTATGCTTGTAAAACATTGAACACTTTGAATCATATCAAGATTAGCCTAGCCCACAACTTATTTTACCGATTGATTAAATGCCCGAGCAATACTTGGGGAGGGGGGGGGTGTTAAGTGGTTAATCTTAAGATAAAATAAACTAAAGCTAATTTTTGTGTGATCTAATAACTTTAATAATTATCTCTGTTTGCACCCCCTCGTTAGGATATGAAACACGGCAAATTTAACGAAGGTGAGGCAACATTACGACTCAAAGTGACTCTGGAAGAAGGGAAGGCCGATCCCGTTGCTTACCGTATCAAGTTTGTACCACACCACCGCACAGGGGACGAGTGGTGCATATATCCTACCTACGATTACACTCACTGTCTCTGCGACTCCATTGAAAATATCACACACTCTCTTTGTACAAAAGAATTCCAGGCAAGGTATGGTTTGTAGTCTCAATTCACTGTGTAAGTTGTTTATTGTGAATGCAGATCCCATAAAGATTAAAAACCCAAACACTAAATTGAGAATTAGGTTAGATTAGATAAAGTTAGATAAGCAATAGGGAGTTTAATCATCAGGTGAAATAAACTTTTCTTTGGGTTTGATGAAAATATTTAACAGTGGTGTCTTAGTTCTTGCCTGTAAATATTTCCTCTCATACCAAACTTTTCCTTGCAGACGATCATCTTACTATTGGCTGTGTAATGCTCTGGACATTTATTGCCCCGTGCAGTGGGAGTACGGACGCTTAAACATGCACTACACTGTTGTCTCCAAACGAAAAATTGCCAAGCTCATATCAGAAGGCCATGTGCGAGGTGGGTGAGAGATTTACTTATTTTTCTAAAGCTGAAGATGCATTTTTATGGTCCTAAGTGAAGAGCAACGATGACCTACCAGTGATTTTGATTGAGATATTGAATATATATTGTGTTAAAGATGAGAGAGATGAACCATATGGATGTTATAGTCTTAATGTGAAAGGGGAACACCATGGCTCTAAGATGGAAGAAACATGATTTTAGATGGATCTTTATATTACATTTATATTTTTGAAACGTCCATATTATGTCAGCGCCCATTCCCACAATATTATAAAATAAAGCTAGCTGATTACTTAGTGTGGCTTGACTAGATGAATTGTTTGTTACATTTCCCTTAATTTCTAAGATATGGAACGAACTTCATTGTTTGTTCACCACAAGAGTATTACTGTAGCTACCTCTACTGCACACCAAAAAATTATGTTTGCAAGCTTGACACTGTTTTTGGTAGCTAACATTCTTCACCGTTCTCTTACAGACTGGGACGATCCCCGGCTCTTTACCCTGACAGCTCTCCGTCGTCGAGGATTCCCTTCGGAGTCAATCAATAACTTCTGTGCAACTCTAGGGCTAACTGGCGCTCAAATAACTATCCACCCTGATGCTCTCGAGGCCTGTGTGCGTGATGTTCTAAATGTTACTGCTCAGAGGTAAGTTAGAAGAGACTCACCGTAATACCTGACTTTGTTTACACAGAGTCGCTGCTCATTCAGCGATGCATTTCTTCACTTTCCTCGTTGTTTTAAGTCTCCTGGGATATATTGTTGTACTGCATTTTGGATAACTTGCTAAACAAATTACCCATTTAGTACCACACAGTATCAACAGTCTTCGTGTTCATGGGGGTTCTCCAGTCTGTCTTGACTCTGTAGACTCGCCCGCACAATTTTCAAGTTATCTGATGGAATACAGCATAAACTTTGGTTATATCACTCAATAATATTATCATCATCATTGGATAAAACAAAAGTGAAAGAAACTGAAAAGAGGTAATTGAGGTGATGGTACTTTGTGATGGCCAGCCTGTAGGGAGAGAGTTTTATATTTCTTAATGATTAAACTACTGCAGTGTAATATACCATTTTTATATATTGGCTACTGATTTTGTTCCATTGTTTGATGTGCTTGTTTTCACAGAGCTATGGTTGTTCTGGATCCACTGAGAGTAGTCATTACCAACTTCCCAAAAGATGGACCCATTACCATAACTGTACCAAATATCCCAGGCAATGATGCTAAAGGCACCCATTCAGTCATTTTTGACAGGGAACTTTGGATTGAACGGTCAGATTTCCGAGAGGTGAGTGACTTATCTTAGCTAAAGTAATTTTGCTTCATTTACTTGGAATTTTATTGTACAAAAATTCTCTTAATTAGATGAAGTTCATTTTTAAATCAGGGTTATTTGCCGTACAATACTATAATATACAGCTTGTGATTTTGTAAATTATCACACTGATAAAATCGGCTGTCATTTTATACAGTTAATAACAAAATTAGTTTTACAGTGATCTGCTCTGATATAATTAACAAATTACAAACACTGCTCAGTTCATTTACATTTGAATCACCTTAAGAGAGTCTTCTGTTGTAAATTGCAATGAGATACTAATTATTTGGCTTCCTGAGATGCATTGGTAGTTTAAGTTTTAGTGAGTGTATAGGAGTATGTGTGGTATTTGAAATAAGAAATGTGAAAATAGTGAATATATATATGAAACAGTGTACTGTACAGTATTGGGTAATGTAATTATGCAGAGTATAGTAATGGGAGAAAATTTTATGTTCACAGAAGGAAGAAAAAGGCTACAGAAGATTAACCCCAGAGCAGACTGTTGGACTACGACATTGTGGTTACATTATCAGAGTGGAGGAGGCGGTGAAGGGAACATCTGGTGGAGTAGATCACCTCAAAGTCACATGCGAACCAGCCACAGAAACAAACAAACCAAAAGCATTCATTCACTGGGTGGCTCATCCTGTCAGGTGTGAAGTGCGCCAATATGAACGATTGTGAGTATTAAAATGTTATTAAAGACAGTTTAGAGGTGGTAACCATCTTAAATTTTCTTCACTGGTATGATTCATGCAGTGCCTGTTGCATCCATCTGATGTGTGACAATATGAAGGTTTAATGATAACATTTTTCTGCTTTCAGATTTAAACACGAGTCTCCAGAAGACCCATCGGTGGTTCCTGGTGGGTTTCTTACTGACATCAACCCAGACTCACTGAATATCTCGGTGGGACTAGCAGACATATCTGTTAAATGTGCAAAGGTGTACGACAAGTTCCAGTTTGAGCGCATGGGCTTCTTTTCTGTAGACCCGGACACCACTCCAGAATATATGGTCTTTAATAAAACTGTGGGCTTAAAGGAAGATAAAGGTAAAAATTAACATTGTTTAATATACTGTATTATTATGAACTCAATAATAAGTTGTTACCGTCAGAGGCTGTGTTATCCCTCAATTATTCCCTTTTTTATGATTTATGTATGTGATTGAAGATGCACAATGCTAATAGGATTTTGTAAATGCATTTCACAAGCTGTCTTCAGGTCTTACCAGTTAAGAAGGAGAGTTAAGGGTACCAGTTTTAATGTGATGAATAAATGCCAACACACATCATTTACCTTTTAATATATACAGTATATGAATTGGAAAGTACATAATGTATACAAATGTTAATAATAATTGGCAAGGTATATTATGAACTAGATAGTATTGAAGAGACTGTTGAGAAATGGAAGGATGTTATAGTAAAAGGGCTTGAATCTGACGAAGCATAAGTGTTGACAAGTGGCGTGTGTGAGGGAATGTTAGGGGAAAAATGGCCATATGCTGTCTGTATTGAGAGTATTAGTGAAGTTCTGTATAGATGTAGACCGAGATGATTTGAGGATGCAGACAGAATAGAGGGGGCCATTTGCTTCAAGAGGTGCATTAGCATCAGTGTGGAGGGAAGGAGAGCCAGGGGCAGGGCAAAAATGACATAAGAAATTATCTTGGTTAAGAACCTAACGAAAGAGACTGTGCATCAGGTAATTGCAGCTAACCGAATGCAAACATGGAAAATGGCCATAAAACATTAATGTATCGTTGAATGTACTGCAGCTCTTTCAGAAGCATTCTAAATCCTCAATTGGATTGTCAACCAGATTCCTCTACAGTTACGATATACCCTGTAGTTTGAGATAGGTCAGCCCCTCCCTCTCCCCCCTTTAACTTTCCTTCAAAAATGCGGTGTTACAACACTGGTACCGAGACAGCAAATTCAAGAATTGATTTTTGTTAGTAAATTTGGGATCTTTTGATAATTTTTATTTATTAATTTTTTCATGGGAGGAGAGAAATTTCTGAGGATGTTAAAGATTTCATAGGAACATTTGAAGACTTCCAGTTGGACGATTAGAAAAAATGTAATGGATCTTTATATATCTACTTATGAACAGCTTAGGTTGTACACTACTGAAGTGGTATAATTATTTTAGTTCATGTAGGCAATATTTATAATGTGATAAGTTGCAACAACCTTGTATGGGTATTTCCACTTGTTGCCTCGACCCCTCCCTGTCACTCTGTACACTTACCTAGTGCCACTATCCCATAAAATCCTACACACACACACACATTCTCTGCAAGGTTTTTGTTCCCCTTAAGCCATCCCGCACAAGAATAGGAGAAAAGATTATAGGTAACCAATTTGCATCTTTCCAAATTATAGCTTCGGTATTAATCTGTTCCTGTAAACCATTTCTGTCCTTTACAACAGGGTGTCCAATATAGATCTTGTTAACACTGTGATTTAATAGTTAGAAATGTAGCTAAAATCAGTTGTATCGTGTAGAATATATCCTTGGTGCCTTCCTAGAATGATTTTGTTTTTTGTATAAATTTCATTGTATAAATATATGATCCACAACTGTATACAAGTGTAATATTGTATTGGAGTAAATGAATGTTTTTGAAACCATCTCTTTATTATTATTAAACATATTGGTATGACTTGCATGTGTTTAATGGAGCCTGCAACCTTATGTATCTGTAATGCAGTTAATGCTGTAAACATTATCTTTCAATTAGTGTCCAGTAGACCCAGATTACCTCTCTTGCTCCAGAATATCCAGTAAACTTTTTTCTGTTACATGGCTAGTACCTTTGATTGATCCATTGGTTTACATCTCATCCATTCTTGCCTCTATCAGTCTGCATGTTTATATTCCCAACCACCTCAGGCATCGTAGTAATAATGTTGCTGATGATCTTTATTATATTTTCTGTTTTGTATAGACATTAATTTCACTGGATTATTTGGAAATTGTCTTGGCCTTTTACTGCTGGCCCAAGCTGAGCAAGGTTTGGAACAGTGTCCATTTTTTGCTATCCTTCAGGGTGACACGGATCAAATGCAACAGATTCCCTTCTCCTTTGATATTGGCTGTAAAAGATGTGTTCTACCAATTCAATATTCTATCTTTTTAGTTGCATCAGTCAGTTGTGTTAATGTCGATCTTAGCTGACTTTAGAGATTAATTTTGACAAGGTACTAATGATACAGCTGATAAATTCTTGGTGATTCTTGTACCGTCAGCCACTTCCTACACATTAGTATTCCTCATGTTTACCTTAGTCCTCAACCAATCAGTTCCCCCATATTCACCTCATAAAATACTTGTTCACCAGATATCAACCATTCCATTTTTAAAGGTCCATGTACCATGAGCAAACAATATTGTAGACCATGACAAACTCCCCAGCAAAGCTTTTTCTTGCCTTTTAAAAATATTTCTGCTAAATACCTAACTCCTACTTCACCATTGTTGGTGAAAGTGCTTCCACTTCATCTTCCGTCCATTGCACCACTCATCCTTTATCACCTTTGCCTTTAATCATTTAGAATACAAGAAGCACGGCCTTTTAATCTCAGTGTACTTACCCAACTGTTATTAGGAGTAATCACTGTTCTTAATGGCTCCTTGTCATAATATTCTGCCCTGATATATCTTCACCACACATGCATGAGGAATGTTTTCTTCAGAATTTCATTTCATCTTCACCCGAATTATGTCCCATTTTCTCTCTGCAGTGATTTTGATGATCTGCTTTTCCCTTCCTGGTTATAGCACAGTATGGTTATGTCTGTCTGTCTGTATGTTTGTTAGTACTTGTGGTTTGTTGTCCTTCTTGGTCTCTGAAAAAAAAATCATCAGCATTAATTATGATGATTTAACAGATTTTAGTTAAGGAAAATCTGTTTAGGTTATTAGAGAAATGTAAGGTTGCTGAAATTAAATTAAAGTAGCTAAGTGAAGCAGATTTATTTACTTCATTTTAAAAGATATAGTTTATGTGTTAAGCATGTGAGTAGCTAAGGCAGGTTACAGTAATAACCCCCCCACCCTCCCCCTCACAATTATCCAAAAATTATACTGCCAGTTTTATAGTGTTAAGTATTGTATAGACTGTAGTGGTTCTTTGTAATGTACAGTACTGATCAGGAGTTGCCGATGAAAGTTTCAAGATTACTAGATGACAGTACTTTTATATTTCAGTTTGTCTTGATATTAAATTATTTCTGCAAGATGTCTGTGTTTGATTGAACCTAGAAGAAGTTGGTCATGAAAGTCACTCATAAGCAGCTGATTTAAAACACCCTATTTATCTACAAGCTTTACTTCATTCTTATTTCAAGGGGGGGTATAAGATGTCAATAGATTAGTATGAATCAATTGATGTAAGTTAATGACATAGAAGAAAGTATGTAAAAAACGGGGTTAAAGTTGATCCCATAATGTGGGTACAATAAAATGAAAACTTTACCAAGAAATACTGTATAGAGGAAGGCACTATTACTCAGCTTATCGGTGTAGATGCCTTGGAGTGTGTAAACAGGTACAGGTGCTGATCCAACTGAGTCTTGCTGTGTCGGCTGTTTGTTTACATTTGGGAAGAAGACTGCGGCATGTTCAACCTGTTAACTGTGTAAAAATAGTTCCCAAGAGAAGTACGCGTATGCTTATGAGCCGTTTGGTTTCGGTGGCTGCTCTCACGTCCACAAAAAAAACAGTATCCATTCAGTGAAATTTAATGCGTTTTTAAAATCGTTGGCAAGTCAGTCATCAATAATTACCAAGAACTGTATTGGCAAATTAAACTTCAATATTTATTAATTCAATCTTTATTACAGAAATCTGAAAGCAAGACGGAACAAGATGTGTGATACCTGATGACGACGACCCCATTAACACTAACAAGGTGCCAAATATTACTTTATAATTTATTGCCATTCACTAAACACACAAAGGGACTGACTGTATAAACCAAGAGAAGAAAATGGTAACTTAATTCTGCATCGGTTTTGAAAGATATAAAAAAAAGTATGAAATTGTTTGAAAAGTAATTGGCAAAATCAAATTTCTTAACAATCATATGCAATCAGTGACTAAGTACTTCACACAAACACAAGAAAATAATTTGCTAACTGATTAAATCTTCTGAAATAATGGTAAATATTTTATAAATACACTCCCATAATGTAATAATAATTAATTTTTCCATTTATATATAAAGTACAGTATAAGTAAAAAATATTTTTTTCTTCAAATTATAATTACTTGTATTAATTCTAAGTACAGAATACATAAAACTCATTAAATAACTTTAGATATGAATGATTACAGATGATAAGTGAGTGAAAATGTGCTGATAAATTATACTAAATTTAAAAATGTGAGTGAATGAATGAACTTGGGAAAATAACTAACTGCCGAGAGAAAGGTAACTGTGAACGTGAAGAAATATAAAGCCATCAAAATAATTAAAGAAGGAAGACAAGAAATAATAAATGTTAGCTAGCATTAAGAGAAGATGGAGGAAGTGGAGTGTTTCACATACTTGGGAGAGGAATTATGAACTCAACCACACAGGACCAGATAGAATGGAAACAATAGGTGGACTGAGAAATATATGGGAATGGACAGAGAACTAATTAAAACAAGTATAAACTATAGGTGCATGAAAAAGGAGCAAATTAGGAGAGAAATAACATATAGTCTTGAGGTGGAGCACAGAGAGAAAAGTGGATGGTGGGAGGGAGAAGGAACACCAGAGAGAGAGAAGGAAGAATGAGATAAAAGCTGCACAAGAAATGTGGGGGATGGAAACCAGGTAAAAAATCTGTGTGCATAAATGAGCTGAGAATATGACACTAGGTTTTTGGGGGAGGATGTGGTGATGTTGGCTAATGTGAAGTGAGAGAGGTAAGCCAGTATGAAGGCATGAAGGGAAAATGTGATTGTAATTTGCTATTGTTTGTGGCCACTCTGCATTAAGTGAGAAAATCTTAAAATGTAAAAAGAAAAGACATTTCTGGCACCATCACTCATCAAAATAAGTGGCCTAAAGTTATGTGTGGTATATCAACCCAGATGGTGTGTGCAAAATCTAACACACTATGACATTCAATAAAATCAAGAAATCTATTCCCTAAGAGGATCAGTGCTTATAATACTAATGAAACAAAATAAGTTAGAAACACCATATTTTGTGCTACAGCCACACACTTCAAATAATTGTTTTATCCTTATATGAAACAAGATAACGTAGAACCTCAGAATTCCAGACACCAATCATCTTGGAATCTCATAAATGCAGCACTCACAGACAGCAGGCAACATGCCATTTAGAAACTCCCACTACCCACACTGTTAATGTAAACAGAAGTCAGCTGGATTTGTTTGTGGCAATACTGTACTTGCTCTGTGATACTGTGGTCTTGAACTACACACTGTACAGGTACTGTATAACTGAGGAGCCAGTGATGTATAAATCATTAAAAAACTAACACTTTCTGGTGAGATAATGTGGCTACAGAAAAAAGATAACCAGAACTCACATGTGTGGTCCCACGTGACTTTTGTCATGGTCACGGAAAACTTATTGCGTACGCGAGAGAGCCAAGCAAGTTACAGTACAGTGTAGTGTGTTCCAACCTTCATAGGCTAGTCAGGTTATCTGTTTGTTCAGTATCAAACATCACGAACAAAAAATCTAATTAACTCAAAGAGTTTACAATGCAGCTTATTATTAAACTGAAGGAATTATTAAGAAATTCTTTGTTGGTGAGGACAATTTCCATACAGAAATCACTCACAATATTTGTTATTGCTCTGAAAAGACACTTTATCTAGCTGAGAAAAGGTGTAATTGTATGAAAATAAAATGAAAAGGAAAAATAATAAGCTGTGGTCTTGCAAACACAGTGTGCGTTCATCATTAATAATAACATACAACACAAACCAACCAAACCCTACTTAACATAAATAAAAACAAATTTTGATTGGTTGGCTCCCATTTGTTTATAAGTCTGTGCCGCTTTTAGCACCACTCAGGGGAACTCTGATGTACTGTAGAAACTTCAACACAGAATGCTTCAGAGTTCAATAGGGGAAGGGGCATAGGAAGAGTGTGACTTTCTTAAAAACTAAATCTGAAAATCTATAAGTCCAGCATGTGTTCAGTTTCAATAGTGTTGGAGTTCCACTATTATACTGTACACAGATGCTATTTACTGGTAGATCTGAAGTTACCAGTATTACAGTAAGATGAAATTTATGATTTATAATGACATGGAGAAAGAGAGCCTATTGCTATAATATATAATATCACAAAAGAATTCTATGAAAGTTATATGTGTGATGGCTCAGTCCCTAGGGAAGCTTCCCTCTGAGGGGTGGCCACAAGATAAAGAGCTTCCAGTCTGTCTATCACTACATATATTTATCTTTTCAATTCCCCTTTCCCTCCCACACTGTAGGCTTCTTCATCTACCCACCAGCCTGTTAAATTACTCTCTTACATTCTGAAATATATCCTTTGGTATCCTTATATGTCTTTACCATCTATGAACATAAACTTAAAAAACACATTACATCTTAGACCACTCAATTATATGCAAATCTAATGGTCATTTATATACTTAACATTCAAGTTAAGAAATTTTTGGTTATTTTTTTCATAGCATCCGAAGATACTGAGGTGCTGACATAGACACTCAAGAGCAAACAGTACCGGGGTATACAGTACTCTAATGTAAATACTGTAATGTACAGTACAGAAAAAAACTGTTTTAATTACCTTGAGCCCTGAAGATGACTTACTCATAGGAATGGATGGTGCTAGGATGAAGTTCCTATGTACAGGTGTTTGTAGCTTGGGGACCCCCAGTACTCTAGATTGTTTGGCATTATTGTGTCAACAGCTCTCTCTTTTTAATACCTAAACACAAGATGAGTTACCCGGTACGTGATTCTCAACCTTATGCCTGTATATGAATACTGAAACAGGTAATTTGCATAAAGTAAATATCTTCATAAGCTCAAGTAAAATACATAAATATATACTGCATAGTATATAAAATAAAAAAGTTTCAAATGTAATAATTTTGACATTTGCAAAATAATAAAAAAAATGGAGTGAAATCTAAGTTTATGACATAAGGGAAGACGTGAGCTGTGAGACACCCACTAAACACTAATCAGAAAGGGCTTATAGTTTAATGACAAAGCTGAACTAAGTAACCAGATTATTTTTTTTAAGAGCTGCCATTTTCCTCCTATTGATTCAGTCAAAAACGTCTTACTTGAATCAGTGGCTGTCTCAAGAACCAGCGAGGAATAACCCTTGAACAGCAACGAACAACAATGGATGTTTCATATTCTTCGGGCTTCAGGTACTTTTTGTTAGAGAGTCTACCTGTATGTTTTGTCTATTGAAACTAGAAGAACAACAAAAAAACATTTCATATCAATATAAAGTAAAAATTTATTTGATGACAACTAAATGCATAACTTGTCATACCTAATTGATCCAAATAAATGCACAAACTACACATCATTTGACCCACAAGGCAAGGAATGTCCACTTCATATAAGGAGAAAGGCAGAGTTTCTGTGCCTTCAATACACTCACAATAAACATCCAAAATGGCCTAATCCTGAAAACCAAACTAATAACCAGTGAAGAGTAAACCGTGAAAATGCATGGCAAAGTTTACAAGATTTAAATGGTATATATTAAATCTTTAAGTACAGTGATGTACAGCTGGAGGCAATACTACAAAAATTCACTTAACTCTGCCATACAACCATTACTCAAAAACAAATGATTAGAGGTTTAACTTTGCCTCTTAACACAGGAGTTCTCAAGAGGATATAAATATCTTTGAGTCTGAGGAAAGAGATAATGTAGTACAGCAAATGGCAGAGCAGAATTGGAAATTATTGTCTATATTGGTTCATCGTGGTACTGTATTTCAAATTCCTGAACTTGAAGGCCATAGAAATTTGGGATTTACTTTACTGGCAATGCACACAGGCCTCCCTTGTTACCAACCCGGGTCTTCCAGAGATCCCCCAAACCAAATACTGAAGTAAAATCTCTCTACAAGTAGAGAGACTTCCTTGTGGTTCAGGTTCTGACAACTCGCTATAAATAACACCTACAAGTTTACCGAGTCATGGGTTGTAAAACTGGGTTCCCCTTGATGTAGTCTTGGAGTTCATCAGCCTCGCATGCAAACACACTGTTGAGAATTCCAGGTTGGATCATTAGCAAAGTGAAAACGCCTTTAAAACAAGACATAAACACAACAAATGCATTTTTGTACGTATGCTATATGGAACTGCATAGCTCCAGCCTATAAGTTCTCCAAAAGAGCAAATATGAAAGAGACAGTGACACTGACCTCCAAAATCAGATATAATTCATGACAGGACACGACTAAATTCCAAGATGGTGGAGCCAAAGTGAATGTACACTAGCTTGTCACCATGACCTCACACAGAGTTCTTGGTGTCAGTGGCAGGCATTACTTTACCTTTTTCTTCTTAGGATGATGGTTGCAATGGTACAGCACAAACATTAGTGGAGGTGTGAAACCATAAAAGACTCTACAGCAGAGATAAATCATGTATGAGTGGGTCCCAGGCATGTACTGTACTATGTTTACCAGGATATTACAATAGTATACTGTACTGTACCGGCATGAGCAAATTAATAACAGCCAATGATTATTATTATGCTAGTCAAGTTTGGGTTACAGTTTATATTCTTACTACATGAAAACTGTACCAACCTTACCATACTATTGTACTTTTGGGGGTTTTGATTATGGTCACATGTGCAATAAATGAATACAGTAATGTGATGTATTTACCAAAGAATATATGACTTTGATATTCAATTCTGTACTGTATACTGTACTGTATATCTTCTTTTACCTGTCTCTTTTTATTTAAATATTAACTATTTACCATAAAGTATGAGGTAATACTTTATTTTTTATAATTTAATTCTTATTGTAAAACAAAAGTGCGAGACAGATTCCATAAAGTACCTGGCTTTATTAATTTTTGCTCGCCTGTTTGTTAAGAATATGAAGGGCTATTGTTATCAATCTGGTGTTGGTGTAGACCTTGTCCTTCTCCAGTTAAGTTTCATAGTTCAACTCAGTAGCATTAAATAGATGAGCATTTGCATCTACTTATAAGACTCCTGTCAGAGTTTTTGATGACACCAGTCCGAGTGCACACACTGACATTTTCTCATTTTTTGCTGCCTCCTGGTATCTTTGTGTAGTGTTACTGCACCATTTAGATCAACACAAAATATGTCACAGAGAAGGTAAGGTTCTACCTACTTTGCCAAAGCTCCATCTCAATGTGCACATGTCTTTTATCAGCCTATGGTGTCTCCCACACTGTCAACCATCTTACATTACATTTGACAAACGATTCACTAACTTTGCTCTAATATAAGTAACTGGGGTTTTGGTAAGATTTTTACTAAACTATAACAATAGTAAACAAACCACAGCAACTGCAACAATGAAAATGGGAAATGCTTCAAAATGAATATAAGAATGAAGAAGCTGACATCATATGATGAAACTTAAGTATTCCTGAAATTTGCACCTCTATAATATAATTAAAACTACTGTACAGTAATACTGCTTTATAAATTATTTGGATCAAAGTAAAAGTACAGTACTACTTTAAATGCCCTTTCTCCTTCAAAATAGTTGTAAAAGACTTTAAACTAGAGACCTTGAGGACAAAACTACCAAAAGAAATGCCCAATGGTATGGCTGCTGTGCAGTGCAGGCACTTAATCACATTCTACAGAGTAGTTACCAAGCACTCAATCATCAAGCTGCTTAAAAAACACCATCATGAACACCAATTGCCATTAGAAGGAATACAAACACACTTAGATTTCTCACTGCCTTCAGAGAATCATTTGGTACCACAAATGGGGTGATAATGTTGGTGATGTGATGAATTTCATGACAGACACATATAAATATAAATGATGTGATGAGAACATTTGCAACAGGGTAAGATGGTATTAACACTAAGACTCCATGAGTGTCAGCAGCCAACCATATGTGATACTGACACACAAACAACTCCAGAGAAATACGGCCAAACCAAGCAAAAAAGGAAGAATAACGAGTCCTCAGAATCCCAACCATGTTGCGCAGAACAATGAAACCCAAGATCTGGAAATAAAATAGATACTATTAATAATGATGTCTAAATGGAAGAAGCCAATAATATCAGTTACAATAAAATTGAAGTTATTTGCATGAATTTATGAGGAAAAAAACTGCAGATGACAACCAATTAAGACCTTTAATAAAAAGGCTATTATGGATGAAACACACTAAATTACACCATCTTTGAATTGTCATCCAAATGGAATTGTGGTTTGAACTAACTGTTGCCTAACTTAGCTTTCCATGGGACCAAACACTGCCTATATATGAAAACATAATCTAAATTCTTGTACTGTATGTGAAGCCTACTTCAGTGGATGATAGCACACCAATCTAGGTGGCCGGGGAGTAAACAGGGAAGAATCACTTACTGGCACCCACACCACATATGGATGGATTTCATTGCAGTCTGGTTTGTTTGTGCATATGATGGTCATAGTGGAGTACGAGGCAATAAAGATGGTTGCTACAAAGGACACCAGTAAGGCTAAGCGACCACCCATTAAGTTTGAGCCGCTCTTGTCATCTATAAGGCTGTATTGTGCAAGACCATTGTACAGTAGTGAAAACACCATACCATACAGAAGGCTGAAACAGATGAATTATTACATTAAATATAACTGGGAAGTGATTATTACAGTACATGAAAAGTACACAGTAAGTACAGTACAGGTAGATCCAACTTACGAACCTTTGATTTACAAAAGAAAACATGATTTTACGAATTCCTTTTCATTATTTTCATAAAATTTTCCAATGTAATAAGGACAATACAGTATGCTAAAATGTTTTTGTTTGTTTACTACCAGTACAGTATGCTTACTTATTCAATGTTGGTTTTATCATCATGAATCAGTAGAAAGAATAAAATGTTAAATGGAAATACAAACATAAGAAACACAAAAGCAGTACCAAATGTGCTTCAATATACAGTATACAACATCTAGTTATGAAAGGTTTTATAGGAACGGAACTGTTTCGTAAATTGGAGGTAAACCTGTGCATGAAATGTATACAGTATAAGGTAATGATGGTAGTATAGTGTTACAGTACAGTACATGAGAAGTATAATTTCAAATATTTTCATATAGTGCAACAAATAAACAAGCCCCTTTTTCTCCAATAAATAACTTTTTGTCATAATGATAAGACGTGCAGTACCTGTATCTGTCAAGCTGCCATCGGAACCACCACTCATGAATATCATCGTCTGTTGTAACAAACAACGCCTTCCATGGACGCATTACAAAAATTTTCTCAAAGAAGACCTGCAAAGAGCATAAACATTGTAAAAATAAGGGATTGATCCTGGATACCCATTCCACACAATAGACCTTGGTCTGAGCATCTATGTATAACTAGCAAGTCTTGTGGATTGAATCATCATGTCCGAGAAGCCCAAATGATGTGAATGAAATCTCAAAACTAAATAAATCTAAAAATCAGATTACCCTTGATTCTCATACCAGACTCCATAAGAATAACCAGTGGCATGAAGATACCCTAAACAGGTAGATGGCTGAAGAACTGGGATTTAACAAATTTATTTCTATTCATCACCAGGACAAAGAACAGCTGCAAGTAAATAAAGTTATGAGCCAACATTCCAGAAAAATAAATAGGGGAGGCCTGTAAAGGAACGTTCATATGAAAGTGAGGGAAATGAAAGAGCCTCAAAAGATATGTTTATATAAGGCAACCCAGTGACTTTTTTCTTGCAGATATATCCTTCAATTTGCACATAACAATTACCATTCAATTCATATAGGATTAAACAATATAAAAAAAACAGTACTGAGCTCTGACAAAAAAGTATTGGACGCTGACAAAAAAAAGTACTGAAATGTTGACAAAAAAAAAGAAAAAAGTACTGACCTCTGACAAAAACAGAACTGTGATGAATCCTCCGAGGCCGACAAACTTGATGATGCTGTACAGGTAATTGAAAGGCGAAGCTTCCGAGTTTGCATGAGCAGGTCGAGTGATGCGTGGAGGCAACACCAGGGTTATGTGCATCACGGAATACCAAAATGATACCAGGGGTACAAAATAGTAGAACTGGTACGGCCGATTCATCACCAAGCACAAGATAACCACTAGGAAGTTCAGGCGAAACATTACCTGTAATTTGAAAGGATATTCCAGTGAAGACATTAAATATTATCTTTACCTAAAATATGGGATACATAAAAACTCAGGATCTGGCCCCTTATGTGCCTGCTGCTTAACACACACATCTATTCAGTTAACTTCTCCCCCCTTAAATAATCTTTCCTTACTGCTGCCACATTTGTCTTTCTCTCATTTCCTACGCCCACATTCATGTCAGGTAATACTGTACAGTACTATGATTTATCTAATTTCCTGAATTCTTTGGATATAGTTATTTAAATGATCCCAAAACTTTCTTATATCTACCTGTCCTGTACTGTTTACCAGCACAGATACATAAAGGCATACTTATCTTCTTATCCATATTATTCAGGAGTTTTTGCTGCCTCATGACCTACATCCCCAACAAGGTAGAAATTATTACTGACTATAAAAACCACCAGACTAAAGAACACTTGTTACAATGAATCACGCAGCTACCGTACTCTCTATAAAATACGAAAACTTTCCGAAAATTACAAAAGACACAAACACTCACTTGACAGTAACGGACAATGCCCATGTCTCTGCCACTCCAGTAGTATGAAAAGTGACCGTATCCTGTGAGAAAGAGGTAGGCAGACACAAGAACACGGATGTGCATGTATATTGGCAGAACTTGTGAAGCTCCAGTCATGTGATAAATGAGTATCACCAACTGCATCCAACCTAGAGTACAAGAAACACACTTCATAAGTAATGAATGTGAACAACATCCCTGAGTGAAAACATATTTAGTACTGTAACCCAACACAAGGGAAAATGGATACAAATAAGAAGAGGTAAGACTAGTAAGTACAGGAAAACAGTATCAGCACTATTAACAATTTCCTTCATTTTAACTCCAACAATAGGTGCACAGTACTGGCATTTTGTGATTAGTTAGTGACATTTTTTAATTGAGTAGCTACCTAAATTACTTTCCTTTACACTGTGGGAACTTTCTTTATTCTGTGAGAAAAAACAGGATGGAAGTGTTTTAAATGAACTGTCATGCCAATACAACTACAGTACCAGGCAGACGTCCTTCCCCAGCTGTACGGTTAGGGATAGTTATGGGTGTTGAAGTTGCACCATCTACTCCAAAGACCAAGTCTTCATGAACAATATCTAACTGTTGGGGAGTCTGAATAACTTAAGACTTTTCCCGTTATTACCTTTCCATTCGTCTGTCATGTCCCGATGTAGGAGTCGTGTTTGGGATGTGTCCTCTGTGAAGAACAGGCCAAGGGCAAACACATAACCAAGAGGCAACCAAAAGTTGAGCTGTGAGAAGTACTTGTTCTCCTTCATAAACAAGCTCGTTCTAGAAAGAAGAAGAAAAGAAAAGTTCACCATATACTACTGCAATAACTTAATTAAAACTACCATACTATATAACTACTTTATGTCCTACTAAATCACATTAAAATATTTACTTGCATATAATGCTCCTTACTACAGTACTCTGAATGACAGATTATTTCTCAAATCCCATTTTCTAACTGAGCAAGGAATGGGTGACTTTACATATCATCAAGTCTATAGGTTGAAAATTGGATTCCCAGAGACCCAGACTGATTAGGTACAAGCATAATCTCTCTCTGTTTTGAAGAACTCTGTGCATCTTTATGCCATTGAGTTAATTCAATCAGCCAAATGGATGATACAAAATATTCCATATGGGTTGAATACAAAGGGCCCCTGATTGTTTTATGCCCACATCTTAAACCTATTTTCAATTTATAAGGAAGGACCCTGAACTGGAAGTGCATCAATACTGTACCTAATTAAAAATAATGGGAAGTTTTCATAATTTTATCCTCCACCAGGTGGCTCTTGTAATATAAAGTGATTTATTCAGGGCAAGGCTTGGGTACTCTACACTTACACACCTTTGCCCTCATGTAAAACTATTAAGTGAAAACCATTTATTTCTTCATTATTACCGGTAAGTGCAAAAAGAGTGCTAAGAAACTAACTGTTGGCTTTGAGTTAAAAAAAAAAAATACCAATTATTTGAACACACCTGTCACATAAAAAAAAATATCCCATAATAAGTCCAAGTTTTCCAAGAGCCATCAAAAAATCTTGAGGAGATGGATCACATTTCTTTTTGCTTCCCTTGTTTCCCATCATCAGAGGCTGGGCAGAGTCTCTGTCAGCAGATGGCGGGGAAGTGACACTGCCATTAATATGGTGAGACACACAGAACCATTGCTTAACAGCCACTGCTATCATGATGATGGGGCTGTAAAATAAAATGAGAAGACACTTAATACTCGAATGCAGACCAGTTTTGGGCCAGCTGAACATTTTAAAATACTGTATCGGTAAGTTCCACTGGCTTAAGGGTGACAGCCAACGAAGACTATTTTTTTCTGAAAGGATTTTTAAGGTTCAGCTGAAGGTTTCACACTCAACATGCTTTGAATTTTGAATAACATTGATCTTCAAGTAAATAGGAATTAGATTTTAAAGTTACTCATGTTTCTGATATAACAAAAAAGAAAAAGCACAGGGGAAATATGTTGCATGGAGCCATTAGTTTTGATGATGAACTGGGTGATGAAGGAAGGGGTAGACCTCTTTTTCTCTATGCTTAAAATACTCTACACTAAATTTAGTTATGATTATTGCTTTACTGTACACTCACCATGAGCACAATGCTGCAAATGTAGCAATTTGGGTCATTGTTACAGCCTCTCTTGAATTGCAACAAGTGCCATCATTGAAGTTGAGATGGTCATTGCAATACAAGTTCATCAGTATCTGTAGGAAAGGCAATTTTTTTAACTTGATAAACATCGACTAAATTAAAAAGATACAAACAACAACTCTGTAACTGTGTATAGTACAGCTTCTCTTTTAAACTATGATGCCATCAAGGAGTTTCTTACAAACAAAAGTTTCTAAACACACACAGCACCATCTGTACTCAGCAATATACAGCAAAACCATTTACAGGGACTGTACTGTATATCCAAAAGTCTCAGAACCAAATCCCTCTTAGAGAAGCTGTTTTGCTTTATGTTTCCGAGGATATCCAACTGGGACAGTTTGTCAAAAGTCAGTGGTGAGCAACTCACGACAAGTCACATGCACGTAGTCTTAAAAAGTCATGATTCTTCTTGTTAATTAGAAAAAACAATATCTTTGAGATTGTTAACATCTGAATTAAAATGGAAGAAACACTGTAATATTAACTTACCTGTGTATCATATTTTACAGCTACTTCTCCAGCATGTATGCCATCAGAGAAGTCTGCTATGCTTCCCTGGGCTACCAATCGTGAGCTGGACCATATGCGGACATTGGTGTTATACAGGACCTACAAATTTTCAAAATCAATATACTGTACCGGTACAACAACAGATAAAGGTAAACTTGCCAATAATAATAATACAAAAATAATAATAATTATAACTATAACAGCAACAATAATAATAATAATCTAATATACTGTACATATCACATGTGTGGCACATGATGTACAGTGTACACACAAACACACACAGAGCACAGGGGTTCCTAATATTCATTAGCAATATTTACAGGTGTGAAGGACACACACACACAAGAGTATGCAGTAGGTATGTGTGCATATTATTGTGTAAGAAGAAAAACACCAGAAGATCTAGCAGGTAAGAGTATCTGCTGTATAATAATAACAATACTAATAATAATAATACCTGTAGTAATACAGGTCTCCCATATGACTCAATGAGGAAGTGTGAGAACAAACCTGAGTAACCTTTGAAATCATTGTATAAAACCTTCCTTAATTTTTGTTCCACTTCCATTCTTCCAATATCTTTTCTACCTATTACACTTTCATTTATGTATTTATTAATAATCTGTTAAATGTAAAGTTATACTAAGAACAAAACACAACAAAATAAACTTACTAATACACACTTTACAGCACAGACTATTAACAGTTATTTCGTGAGGTAGAGACTTAGAATGTTCGCAAATCAAATAAAATTGTGATGTAAAAAGACATATAATTCAATAAAAAATGAAGGGCTAAGGATTGGAACACTCAAAATTCACCAAACAATACATAAAAGGTTCATTTACCTACAAAATTCAACCATAAGCTATTTTTCTCCTGTTCTTTCTTGCCATACACTGACTGACATTCATTTATTTGTACATTTATAGTTTGGTTCAGTTTAATATTTATTCCTATAATGGCTCAATTACTATACTGTACTGGTCATGGTTTACACACTATGAGTTTATGCACACAATATACCAAACAGAACGTGTGTGTTGTACCTCCATAGCAGCCATGTTATAAAGATCTAGCTGGTCATTTGTTATGGCTAGTCTCTCATGCTTCAGTCTCTCAGGTACAACTGGATCCTGCAGCATCCACAATAATTGGGTTCTGTTTCCGATCTGATGAAAGACCTGTGGAAAAAATAAACTTTTATGGTACAGTACCTGTACATGAATTTTACTTGAAATCCAGAAGTTGATGACTGACAACTGGCAAATACTGCTGTAATTACCCATAATATCATATACACATACTATCTCAACCCTGGGGTAAAAGGACAGCTATTTGAAGTGAATAAAATAAGGTGTGGAGACAACCAGGGAAGACCAATCCCTGTTGTGGTCAATTAGCAGCTGTTATGGTGTTGTTGTGTAACTCTGGATTAGTGGTGTAATGTCACCAGCACCTTTCCAGCTCTTACATATAAAGTTTTCTCTGTAACTTTGTTCTTATTGTCATTTAAATACCTTATCTATACTTCAGTGGTGAGCAGAATTTACCCAACATCTAAAATTTGCCAACAAAATCATTCTTTACAACATGGGACGGACAAAACAGGATTTGCTAAATAAACTTACAGATGAGAATCCAGTAAGATTTTTCTTATACTCCTCTAGAGCCAGAGCTGAGCCATTAGTGTTCTTAATGGAGTGGGTGGCACTTCCCATCACTATCAGCTTGGGCAAAGACTTTTTTCTCTGTAAACAAATGTTTGTATTATGTATGGATAAAACATACACCAATTTATTAATATTAAAATTATTCAACAAAAATCCTCTTGTTTTCATTAAGGTAATAAAAACCTTCCCTTCTTCTCTCTTAAAAACTTGTATCACCTTCAATATTCTTCAACCTGAAACAAACTTCCTACTTAGCCATTCAGTATAGTATACAAATTCTTCATTTCCCCAACCCAACAAAATGAAGGTTTTATCCTGAAATCCTGTTTTTAAGCAAACCACAGCCAGAAAACTCTCATAATACAGGAATTAGGATATAACCTCTTTTTCCCATTCATGTAAGCAAGGGTGATCTACTAACTCAACTGGATACACCCATCACCCTACCTGTCCTATAACACCATCCACTTACTAATGGTGATGTGGAGTAACAGTCAGCAGAACTTTAGTGAGACAAACCTGCCCAATCAGCACAATCCACTCCACACTTTGAGCCAAGGACCAACACGTCGCTGTTAACTCATTTCCACGTGATTACTCCACAAACTCAAGTGGGGTATACTGGATATTGATACTCACAAATATTTCCACAAAAGAAAATAAATTCATGCTCTAAATCAGTACTGTACAGTAGTTCTCAACCTTTTTTAGGTTTATTATCCATTTGCTGCTATCTGTAGGTCTTTGTTATCCACTGCCACTCTCAAATAGGGTTTAATAGTGTGATGTCAGACCAGGAACTGATTTTGCCTTCAATAACTTTAAAACTTTATGGTCTACTAAATATTGTTGAGAACCACAGCTCTAAAACATAATTTAAAATTTTTCTAAGTATTAAATGAAGCAAACCAAATACATGATTGTTACCTTTAATTGATTAAGAATTTTGACCACGTTCTGATCCATTAATGGCTGCCAGAGGAACTCAATGTTGAGGTGAAGGTTGGTATCATTGTAGTGCAAATCTTCATGTTTTGTCTCGGGAAACTTTGGATGGTTAACTGCAATCTGAACACATACTGTATATACCAGAACTTTTTAGCATAAAAGTTAAGAATACATTTTTCACAAATAAAAATGATCATTATTGTGGAGAACAAGATGAAATGTAATAACTTATGCCAAGAGATACTGTAAATATTTCTTACAACAGGGAGGGAGTTAGAGTAGACAGTATAATTGGTGCATTAGGCAGAATGATAACTTATATTGGGAAGTTTACAGAAGAGTAAGAGGATAAAACAGCATCAAGTAAATTAAAAAAGGACAGAATATAAGAAACACCTTACCTGTTTAACCATTGCAAGATACAGCTGCCTGATTCTGGAATCACCAATAAATAAGATATAATTTTCTTGCTTCAGGAAGGCCACATATCTCATGCATCTTCGAGAATCTCTGAAATATTAAATTAATAAAAAATTATACATTTGGTCATACAGATTCTATATGCAATATAGTTTATACTGTACTACAGGACAGTATTTAATTTTTTTTTCTGTCCAGCACAGATATAGTTAACAAATTTTTTCTGAGGTTTAAGTTGCCATATACAGTATTATAAAAACAATTAGGTTTTTATACAAAATTTCTAATAATAAATCTACATCCATTCAAAGTAAACAAGAGAGTTGGTGACTGTACTTACATATTTGAATATGTATGGAGCATACAACCATATGGCTGCCACACCAGAGAACCTTGGAACCTCCCATCTGACAGTAGTCTTTGGCAAGAATCTCCTCCTGAGACAAAAGAAACACAAAATTATTAAACCAACATGAAGTCATTAGTGGTCATGAGGTTAAGTAAACTAACTCTCTAAAGGTAATGACACAGACAGACGCAAATCACATCATTCATACAAATTACACAAACCATTAATGTTCTGAGTTATGCCAGGGGACATTAACAAACAACAGAACAATTCCAAGAACAATACACTTGATCACCTTTATGTCAGAGAATCATTTGAGCATTTGCCGGAGCTCTGCAACCATCTACAGGAGTCAGGTTCATTCCCTTCACTTAAAGAAACACCCACTGAACACCTGTTGTTAATCACCCCTCCCCACACACTACAATCATCTACCATTACCAACCACCACCACCACACATAACTAACACCCACCCACCATAACAACTATCACCTATCATGCACCACCACAACAACCATCATCTACCACCACAACCAACACCTACCACCATTCTGCATGTACAGGTACAGTATTCAGTAAAATGCTGACATGTGTATACACGGTACACAGTAATCACATTTTACTCATTAGACACTATTCACTTTATCACTCCCAGGTGTTCCTAACTCAGCAATATTCCAAGGTTCTTCATGTAATGTATACTGCACGCAGAAGAGTTGACAGACAGGCTTTATATATATGGCTAGACATTTAAGATTTTATGATAAGAGATTGTCTAAGAATTCCTTTCCTGTATACAAGTACAGTAAGTCCTAGCTTAACGTTGGGGTTAAGTTCCTAAAAACGCGACGTTACGCGAAACAACATGAAGCGGATCAATTTTCCCCATAAGAAATAGATAAAATACGGGAGTTACGTTCTTGAGCCTCCCTTTGCCCCATGAAATACATTACATATACAGAAAATCATTTCCATTTCTATAGAAAATAATGCATACATATACAACTATACTAAGTTTGTATTGGTACTCACTGATGGCGGAGGTGGTAGAGTGAGTGTGGCGGGTAGTGAAGCGGAGGAGGAGTATGGCGGGAGGGGAGGAGTATGGCGGGAGGGGAGGAGGAGGGTGGGAGCAGTGGAGGGTGGGAGAGGAGGAGGAAGGTAGGAGCGAAGGAGGACGGGAGAGGAGAGCGGTGAGTCACCGAGACTCTGTGCCAAGCCGAGAGAGCGTAGCGCAGCCAGACGAGAGAGGGTGATGAGCCGTAGAAAGTAGTCCGCGACGACGCAAAACGACGCGGTATCAAACCTGGACGTTACACAAATTTTTGGTCTCTAAAGTTTAGTGACGTAATAACCAAAACAACGTTAAGACAGCGGATTTACTGCATAACTTAATAAGTATGAATGTGTAAAATGCGGGAAAATAATACTGTTGAGAAATATATGACATGGCTGCAGGATGATTCATAGCTGAGGATCCAGAAGCATATGATCATTTGTACTGCTTTTAGCAGCGAGTATTTTTCATGCTTAATGACACATTCATTACAAAGTGTTTTTAGCACTAAATCTGATGCTGCAAGAAAGTGTTTCATAATACTGTACAGTAGTATGTTACTTATACAAAAAACAAAAATATATAATATCAGAGCAAGATTCTCGGTTATCACTTATCACGTTTGTCTCTTTTAACCTCAATTCCTTCCCTCTGTTTTCCAACTTTTTTCTCATGGAAACAAATCTTGGTGGACCCCCACCTCGGTGTGCAGCCATTATCACATGTTTACACGAGTAATAAGAGGCACAAATGTCTTATAGATATTAACGCTTCTCTTCCATATACAGTACACGAAAAACCAACAGCAGCAATTTTGGGCAAAAGCTTGTAAAAATTATTAAAAATTGTTTCTTAAATTAATCAGTATCAACAAGGTCTTATGGTAATTTTCATATTATTAGTTGGGTTATCATAAACACAGCGATAAAAATGAACCGACCAAATATACCGTAACATAACATACAGTACGGTACCTATCATAGAATGAAAGTACAATATTTTGGGTTGTTAGGTTAGGATGATTAACAGTTCAAATGGAAAGTTCAAGGGAAATGTTGTTTAGCGTTAGAATCCTTTTTTGTTGACAAGTGCGCCAACAGGACCTATCATACACTCGACCACACAGGACCTACCATACACTCGACCACACAGGACCTACCATACACTCGACCACACAGGAGCCTACCATACACTCGACCACACAGGACCTACCATACACTCGACCAACACAGGACCTACCATACACTCGACCAACACAGGAGCCTACCATACACTCGACCAACACAGGAGCCTACCATACACTCGACCAACACAGGACCTACCATACACTCGACCAACACAGGACCTACCATACACTCGACCAACACAGGACCTACCATACACTCGACCAACACAGGAGCCTACCATACTCACCATCAACAGCATGTAGGAATCCATGGTAGGTAATGAAACAGATCATAACTCCCGTGGCTATTATCTTGGCGAGCTTAGAGTTGACATAGAGATTAAGCTCCTCTATAATAGGTAGTTGTAGCTTGTTAGAGGTCGTGTGGGGTTCAGTGTGGGGTAAAGTGTGGGGTAAGTCAGTGTGGGTCATGGTGAGGAGGACTGAGGCCATCAACACCTCACAACAACATAAACAAACACTTGATGATGTCGTTACTAGAGGGGAGGATGTAGCGTGGCACCTCAATCACCAATCAGAACTCTGTTTCTACTTATACCTAACTTTTCATTGGATAGAATTTATATTGGTTGTCGTCAGCAGTTTTATTTTGTCTATGGTTTTCCTGTATTTAGAAGAAAGTTATATTATTTTATTATAATATGTAATAACTTGTATCTATATTCATTGTAATATATTATACATTATTAATATGATAATTAAGATACAGAGGAGTTTTTAAATGTTCGAATTAGTTCAACAGATATTCTATTATTTTACAATATACAAAATAATCCTGGTATATTTTTCTAAATCTTTTTTCAGTAACAAAGAATTATTTTAGATTATTTTATATTGGTTTTTCTATAATAAATAATTTTGTTTGAGTTAATAGATTAGAATATAGTTGATGGTGTGTGTGTGTTAGTGGAGGGGTCGAGACACATGATCAGGTGATAGTAAACACAGCCCTGCCGCCTCCCTCTTGTGGTATATTATTTCTGATAAAACCTTCACTTCTCTCCCATCTCTCAACACCACACTGCCACATTCTTACAGTAACATAATACCAATGTAATACTTCATAGTCTTTTATTATTTAGTGTCGTAGAATAAGAGGATTCAGTGTGGTCTGTCATGGTGTTGGAAGGACAAATTTTATTAAGGAAATGGAAGATTTATATTAATGTGATATTTAAAGTTAATCTCAGTCACCACAAGTACTGATGTTATTTTATTAATTTCATTTGGTGTTTGATAAGTTGATGTGTGATTCTCGAGTGTTCCTGGGTGCTTAAACTGGTTAATTTATATGTACGTGTTGGTGTGTGTGTGTGTTCTTAATTAATGATATAAATGAATGTTGTGGGTGAGAACAAGAGATATGTGCCTCTAGGTGTTCATCCTGACCAACTAATAGTGAAGTAGGAGTGTTAGTGGTGGTGATACAACCTGTTACTTTTCAAAGGTTAAGGTCACTGGGTTAGGTAAGCTGTTCCATATGTCCATAGTACACGTTGAATTATTATGGTTAAATATATGTCTGCTTTGCCACTTTATTACAAATTGATATTAAGTTTTTTTATCAAAGAATTAATTCAGAATTGTGTTAATTGAATGTGTCACCATATGCAAAATCAGACGACAATAAATAGTCAATGATAATATGTTGTGAGCGGCCTCAAACAGAATCACGTCAACATTTGTTAACGAGGGAAGCTGTAGCACGAAGTCGTTAGTGGTGACAAAAAAACAATAAACCAAACAAACCTAAACGAATCTAATGATGTTTATTTGTATGGTTCAGTAAGTTTGTTGGTAAAGCTATCATTTCAGTCATGCACATCTTTGGAAGCCGTTCAAAACGCATCAAAAACCATCGGAAAAATGTAATTTCAACCTGACCTAAACTCAAGCTCCTAAAATTCGCTGCATGACCGAAACGATAATACAGGTAGTAATGGTTTGTTTGTGTGTCCATACTGATGGTCTGGCCCTGTTGCCTCTCTTGCTTAAAAAATAACAAATTACTTAGCTACAAGATGGAGAAGCTTGGGTGTGGTTGGTTGCTTTCAGTCTCTGCTGTTTAATTAGTTAATTTCATCAGATGTCATTGCCAGTAGTGTAGTTTGGATGACATTTAGAGACAAGAATCTGCAGTGTGGGAATTCTCTTCCTGCAACCCATCACAAGTACTGTATACATTGTTTAACGAGGAGACGGGACATTGCAACTTGTGGATTGGTACATTCTGGTAGTGAAGTTGTGTGGGATATGACATTAGGAACAAATTGAGCTTTATTGGTTAATGTGGTATTGTGTTGATGTGACCTTTCATTCTTTACATTACAGGACTGACCAGGTAGACAACATGGTTTCCCCTATGGATGATCAAGATAAGCTTCTGGATGAGGCCATGGGAGCCGTTCGAGGCCAGGCATTTCAAATGAAGCGATGTTTGGACAAGGGACGCTTAATGGACGGCCTTAAGCACGCGTCAAACATGCTTGGAGAACTGAGGACATCACTGCTCTCCCCTAAAACTTACTATGAACTTTGTATCCTCTTGTACTGTACTCTAGTTTTAGTGATGGTTCTTTTGTTTTGTTTTTCTTCTCGCATACAGCATCTAGATAACCTTTGGTCTCAGTGTGTAATATGTCTGTTTTTTCTGTTCACTATATCTGTAGAAAAAGCTGTTTGTCACACTGGATTTAAAAGAATAGAACAACTGTTTACAGATATGAGGAATTACTGTTGGAGTGTTTTGATGTTTAAAGAATTAGGTACAATTGCTGAATAATATCAGATATATTTACTCTGTTTTCTTGCATCTTTTCCCAGTTACAGGACAAAAACTTTCACGGCCTTTTGGATTTTATGATTATTTATTTGTAGGTAGTATTCCTTAACTTTAGACAGACATGTGTATTTGTGATGAGCTGAGACACCTGGAAATGTATCTCATTGATGAGTTCCAGAAGGGCCAGCGTGTAGCAGATCTGTACGAGCTGGTCCAATATGCTGGCAATATTGTTCCAAGACTGTAAGTGAAATGTATATGTGTTAAGTCCATGGCTAGAGAACTTTTTAATAGCTGGCAGCATAAATACTTGATATACATCGATTATTGCTTATTAGTAATGAGAGTATAGTAATAATATTTAAACTTTAACAGGTATTTGCTGATAACAGTTGGTCTGGTGTATATTAAAACAAATGAAACCTGCAAGCGTGACATTTTAAAAGATCTGGTTGAAATGTGTAGAGGTGTTCAGCATCCCCTTCGTGGGCTGTTCTTGAGGTGAGTTGAATAATTGATTACGGATTATGTGATCTCCATCTCTTTTTTATTGAAGTTTAGACATTAGAAGCTCCATTAATTTGTATTATTTGTGAAACAGAAGAAAAGACAAAGATATACCCTCAGACATAGTAAATACTGTACCATGCACTTACATTGTGAGGATGTTTCAGAGTCATTGATCATCCTTGGGTAGGTTTGTGCATTTTGTTCATTTTAATGTTAATTTCAATTCGTATAGATATTTAATGTAAAAAGAAAGACCAAAAGCAGTAATGTCTGGGCTAGATTTCCTGGCAACATAATGGGGGGGGGGGGAACGTATATGATTAATAAAAATATATACAGTTTTGTTCTGGTTTTCAGAAACTACCTTCTTCAGTGTAGCCGGAACATCTTGCCAGATGTTGATGACCCGCCGACTGGACACAACCCAGAAGAGTTTCCACATGGATCAGTAAGTAACTCATCAGCTGACCATGTACAGTACAGTAGGATGTTAAAGACTTTGCATTTGTGAATATGCATTTGATTGCACATAGGGTTTGTTTTGCTTATGTAGTGTTCAGTAGCTAAGTAATTCTTCTCTTAAGAATTTTTAATGGCCAGGCACAGTCTGTCATGTAACATAATTTTAGTGTATTGCTTTTGAGTAATGTTGTCTCCTCACAGCCATTTTATAATCAATTAACACCATATTTGTACAGGACTCATCAACTTGTGTATATCTCCTCAAGTTAGGGTTAGAACCCCTTCAGCTTCTTGATACAAGTGACTAGAACTAAGCCAGAGATCTCTCACATCATCCAGGGGAAATATAAAGTGTACAGTATGCTTCTCCCATAAGGTATTGCATTAATGGTGTTACACTTGGAAACAACATTATTATTACAGTATATTTTTTTTTTTTTTTTTTTTTACTTTTTTCTCCTGCAGATCTCAGATAGTGTGGACTTTATTCTAATGAACTTTGCTGAGATGAACAAACTATGGGTAAGGATGCAGCACCAAGGCCACTCCAGGGATAAAGAGAAGAGAGAACGGGAGAGGCAAGAACTACGCATCTTGGTTGGGACAAACTTGGTGCGCTTGTCTCAGTTAGAGTTCGTTGACGTTCAGAGGTACAAAAGAGTAAGTGGGCCTGGGCGACATCACTCTCAGTTCTTACTTTGTTTAAACTCTCTTTACATAGTACATAAAGTGATCTAGAATTATTATGGGAGCGAGGCAGGCTTGTGGAGTATCACCTCGGCTGCTTACTATACTGTATAGTACTGTACTGTAATTAGAAGCTGGATAATATTGGTACTTAAGGTGGTAAAAATTGATGAAAATTACATTCATATGTGTACGGTAATGTAAAATTTCAGATGGTTCTGCCAGGGATCTTGGAACAAGCTGTGAGCTGCCGTGATCCACTTTCTCAGGAATATTTGATGGAATGCATTATTCAGGTAAGGGAAGAAGAGGCAACTGTGTTGGTTTATTCTCATCCTATGGTTATAAATTTTCTTCTTGTGTGGGTATAGGTCGTCAAGCCATACTTATAGGACAGGAAAAATTTGTTGGTCATGACCAGATCTGTGTATGTATGCAAGGAAGAAAAGGACCATATATTTCAAAATAACTTAAAAAACAATGCTATTTATTGTTTGATATAATAAGAAATATTTTTATTAAGTTCTTTATTTTCTTGCCCAAACCAGGTGTTCCCAGATGAGTTTCACCTTCAGACACTAAGTGCATTCCTCAAAGCTTGTGCTGAACTCCACTCTGAAGTTAATGTCAAGAACATCATAATCTCTCTCATTGATCGTCTGGCAAACTTTGCTCATCGTGAAGATGGAACTGGAATTCCTGATGATATCAAACTGTTTGAGATATTCTCAGAGCAAGTCTCACAAGTTATCAAGGTGATTATTCTAATGTTACTACAGTATATTGACAACACGGCTCTTTAGTTTTGTTTTACTTTGATCTGCATAAACAGTTTGTCATTACCCAGAAGGCAGTTGATTTGATTCTATTTTTATCCTATCACTCTTTATCTTTTTTGTATTTACATGATAGAAGCATCAGAACGAAACTATTTTTGTTTTTCAGTCACGGCCAGATATGCCTATGGAGGACACTGTCAGCTTACAAGTGTCTTTAGTCAACTTGGCACAGAAATGTTATCCTAATGAAATAGAATATGTGGACAAGGTGTTACAGAATACATTGGATGTGTTCCAGAAGTTGAATGTTGACAAGTAAGTAAATTTTAAGTCTTTATACAGTAATCATTAGGGGTAAGTTTGAAATATTTTGACGACATGATAGAAATTCCTTTATTTTTTTCCTTTGTGGGGGCTGAAAGGCTGCAGATGTAGTATTATATGATTTTAAGATGATGTGCTGTTGATAAAGGTTTGAGAATAGAGTATGAAAATTATATTAAGATGAGTGGTGATTTGAGGAGTATGTGCTGTATGTGTCTATCCAGCCATTAAAGAAAATATTATAAAATACAGGTTATTAGTATATAATAGGTGTAAGTGGGTGTGGCAAAAAGTTATATAGATAGTGCTGGGTATGAGTGAACAGGGTTTTGGCAGAATTCTCAACAGTAGAAGGTAACTCAAGTAATAGACGTTAGACGTCCGGGGATCAAGGTTGTTTAGATATTAATTGTGGCTAGTGGCCATTTCATTGCAAAAACCTTGAAGAAAAAAAAGCAGACACGTTGAGGTATAACAGTGAAAGAGTTGCAGCATTAGTTTGTGTGATTATCCGAATACAGTAGTTTAAAGGGACATTCTGAAGTATCATAAGTAGGGTGGGAAGAAGTGTCTTGAGGTAAAAAGGTGGCAAGTAATTTTATCAGTATAGTTGTTAAGGGTGGAATAGGTTTCTCATGATAGGGAAATACGTTTTTATCATTAGTCTTGGTAATAAAATGGTTGGCTTTTATGTTTACTTTAAAACTAATCCCTATTTTGTTCAAGTATCATAAGTACTGTACTGTACCTGCTTCATTTCTCTGACCTTGCCTTCCTTAACAAGGATGACTCAGGGGTAAGAGTGAGTTCTCAGTGTGCATGAAGGTATCCTTTTATATCCCTTTAAGAAAACGTGCCATTTTTCATATGCTGTAGCTTTCAATTATAGATAAAAGTGCCGTTATAGAGCCAAGTAAACAATGGAGAACGAGCTGTCTTAATTAGTGTAGCTCCGAGTACTGTATAAATATTTTCTGTCACTTTACGTATCTTTGTTGAACTTAACTCATCTCGAACTCTGTTTTACCATGTTAAGGAGGATTTCCCCTTTATACTCCACATGTTTAATCTTGCACGGGTGAATAGTGACATCTCATCCTTGGCAGACTGTGCTTTACTACTTCCTCCCTCTAATCTACTGTTGTTGATTTTCATTTATTTAAATTACTGTAGTAACTTCATTTTGGTTTTAGATAAAAGGGTACGGATGTATCCTTTTCACTTGTGCTCTTTTAGTTGAGGGAACAATCTTCAATTTGTGTGTGAGTGATTTAGTTTGATGTGTCTGATTTAGTGATATTATCTGCTCATAAAATTTTTAGCAATATAGCACAGTTCTGTTTGTCACAAATTTTGTTGGAAGGAGAATTGGGGTCCATGGCATGTAATGCTCCCTTGTCAGGTAGTATTTCTGGCAAAAGGATTTCCTCTGGTTTAACTTTTCTAGAAACCAACTGTTCCTTGGTTTCTACTTTACAGGGCCAGACCGGCATTGTGGTAGAGTGCCTTAAACATCTTGGGCTGGTAGTAGGAAGTAAAATTATGAAGATGTTGCTCCTGAATTGTCCACTAGGAGCTTTAGGAGAATGCTTTTGGTTACTAGTGTGCTTCTTAAAGCCAGGCACCTCTTATACTGCAGGTTCTTACTAGGGAGTCAGATGATAAGATGGGATAGAAGTGGTGATTGTTATACCTATTGTTAATAAATTGATTGTGGCCATTGTGAGGGAGAAGTTGTGAAGACATAAGAGCCCCCCAGTAAGAGCTTGTATTAATAGAGCTGTCTGGTTACAGGTACAGCAGGAACATAGGATTATAGGACTAATCTCTCATATTTTAATATAGTGTAGCCTTCTTCCACTAAATGCTCTCTGCATCTGTAAGTCATCTTAGCATGATATGTCTTTATGGTAATGTATGTATTAAGTCCATGTTTATTCCTCTCTACTGAGTATTGTCCTTAGACTATTATTTACTGTGTACTGTACCATAATATTTGATTAAGTTCTACTTTCATGCTATTTGCTCTGTATATTTAAGGTAAACTTGATACCTCTGTACCCTTGAAAAGTATCCATTATGTGTTCACAAAACAAATGAACTATTTAGATGGTAGTCAATATTGTCCATATTGTACAGTACAGTCTTGCTAATTATTCCTCTTAATATTCTTATATTAAACTTAGAAGCTAACTCCATTAATCATTTTCAGTTTACTTTTAAAATTCTTGACATGGATTGTGCTCACTAAAATTTTACTTTTGAACTTTGTGGAAAATAGTGGATGAATCACTCTGATATTGGATCTTATATTTAGTTGAGTAAAATTATATTGGTGCATTATACAACATAGCTGTGATAAGGTTCAGGGTTGATGTTATGTGAATAACATTTCATTTTAGTGGTTCCTGCAGATTTATAATATATTTTGGGTAAAACAGCAAAATGCATAAGCAAATAAGAAAGATTGGAAAGGTTGCTAATACTGTGATATGCTGATACAGTCCTGAGGAGCAATCACAGTTTTCTTCCCCCTTTGAATAGGATTCACTCAGGTTCAGCCTTAGGCAAGGAACTGAGTCGCCTCCTGCGTCTGCCAGCTGACAACTACAACAACCTGTTGACACTTCTACAGTTACAGTACTACACTCCTCTGCTTGGTCTCCTGGACTACAGTGGGCGTAAGATCCTCAGCACCTATCTTGTTACAAATGCTGTTGAAAATGAGACCGATGTACCTACCCAGGAACAGGTTAGTGATGCATCTCATGTTATTTATTAATATATTTTTTTTTTTTACATTGCTCACTACCATACCACCACTGTTGGCAAATTTTATAATTATTTCATGTAAAATTTCTAATCCAGTGCCAGTCTTGAGGATTGCATGTGTATGGCTTGAAGTCCATGTGTCCTGGGTCCCAAAAGATGGAATGTTCAGTAACATGTAATATAGTGGTAGAAGGTTAAGGAGTCTTAACATGTATGCTTACTGTATGTGTCCCATTAAGTTTGTGTTGACTTAGAAAACAACACTTCCTGATCAATGCCTTAGTTTCATTCATAATACAAAATGAACCACTAGAAGATTTACTACCTTATAGATTAATCATTTAATGCCATTCTGTGACAAGGGCTGGTAAAACTATACATTATGGTGTACCACAATGCTACAGTTCTTGCTGGTACCACACTTTTCCCCGTTTTACCGTCTGTAGTGTATGAAGAACAAGGAAGTTAGATATTAATGCTTAAAAAATAGATTTCTCTCACACACACATGATATTTCTCCTTGTGTGTATGTGGCAGTTACTTGTAGTATTGTAATGGTGTTGACGCTACTTGGAAGTCATTGGGTGATGCTGTAGTAGTATACAGTTGGTTGTAGTAAGTTCTGATGACCAGTTATATCAGTCTCTCTCAAAATTGTATGTAAATTTTTGATGGAACCTATATTATTGTTTTGTTTCAATTCTAGGTTGATTCAGTGCTGTCCATGGTTGCTTCATTGATCTGTGACCAGGCAGATCAGCCTTTGGTTGAGCCAGATCCTGAGGATTTGGCTGAAGAACAGGGACTGTTAGCAAGGTAATAACGTCCTCGGTATACCTAATTCAGAATGAAAGTAACCAATGTAAGGTCCTGTAATATAGTATTAAATTATTTGAGACTACTGCACTGTTTATGCATATGGAAATAAAGGGTTGACAGTAAAGGACAGATGGCAACCATCCTGAAACAAGCAAGATATAATGTGAGGAAAGTTGATCTAGCTAGTGAGGCATGTTTTAGATGGGGTAGCTTGTTGAAACTTGTGGATCTATCGTGGTATGGTAGTGTCTCTTGTCTTTTAACTTTTTGGTTTCTTTCTACAGTACAGTTTTAATTTTAGTTCTGGATGACATATTCTTTTCAAGTCTTAGAGGTTATTGATCATATGAAAATGCAAGTATTTGTTTATTATTTTAACATACAATGGTCTAGCTACTTCCCTCACTGCCATATCTAAATGTGACATGGCAGCTCTTATCATGAAGGCTTAGTAAGGTTTCTGAATCACAAGTTATTCACTCCATCTCAAATCATGTAATGGGATTCCACAAAAGAATCCCAATTTCTATTTCAATTCATCTAAAGTTATTATTTTTTTTTTTGTATCCACAGGTTCCTCCACCTTTTCAAATCTTCAAGTAGTGACCAGCAGTATTTGATCTTGACAACTGCTCGTAAACACCTAGGTGCTGGTGGCAACAAAAGGGTGCTGTACACCCTGCCACCTCTTGTGTTCCAGGCTTACCAACTGGCTTTTAAATACCATACAGAGAAAGAAGAGGTTAGTCCAATGAAGGTTTTCTATTCTGTGAAAGATGAATATCATAAGTGTAGTTCCTTATGAGTTTTATTTTATCACAATCTTACATTTAGGCCTTAGGTTGTCATCAATGAGGAACTGTTTAAACATTATTGCCAAGTATACAGTGAAACTATATTTACTATTTTAAAAAGGTCCCTTTGTAATTATTTTCTTCAGTTATGGAGGCCCTTTTAATGCATGGCAATGGGTGGTTGGAATCAGTAAGCAAGTGCAACACAAACATTCCCGTTATTCACAGACATAGATTTTTAACTGGTGTAACAGATGTATTCTGCTGAGAGGTTCCGCATCAGCAACACAGTCCCCAAGTTTTCCATCTGGTGTACCTGTGTCACACATCCCAGCAACACCCATCAGTATCACATCCTTCTCCATGAACCACTCAACACTGTTCACTAGTTATGCTCCCTCACTGTTGCTGCTACCTACCTTACTCACTATTATCTTCTGCATTCTTTTTTATCTCTCCTCTCTCTCTTTACTCTCTACTTTTGCATTAAACATTCTCTCTTATCAACTTTCATTCCCATTCTCTTGTTGTGTCCACCATACATACTGCCTCATTTCCACATCTCTTTAGTTTCTCTCACTTCTAACTTACATCTTTCTCTTACATCCACAGTCTTCACTTCACTCTTTTTCATTAATGTTGGCTCACCCTTTCTGTTATACATTCTCTTCTTTTCTCTTATACTGCTTCTTTCTCTCTCTCTTTTTTTTTTAACCTTTTCTCTTTCCATACATTTCTCAGTGTGCATAATACCTTCTTTCCCTAAGTAATCCCAAGTATCAGTAATATTTATTCATTTATTTAGGATGATAAATGGAGCAAAAAAGTCCACAAGATCTTCCAGTTTTGCCATCAGACCATCACAGCACTTGTTAAGGCAGAATATGCTGAACTACCTTTGAGACTGTTCTTGCAAGGGGCTCTAGCCATTGACAAGATTGATTTTGAAAACCATGAAACTGTCGCTTATGAGTTCATGTCTCAGGTATGTGCTGTACTGTACTGTACATCATGTCTTAGATTCTGATGTAAATCTCTTGTAAAATTTACAAAATACACCAAAAGATAATGTTAAGCAATCAAATGTACTGTACAGTATATGCTATTGTAGCTTTGCAGACATCATTTATCGTAAGACTCACTTTATTTGGGTAGTTAAGGTAGTTGACCAAACTCTTATATGGCAGCGAGTCTTATTCTTTAAGTATCTTCGGGTTTTCTTATGCACTTTGCATATTAAATACTCATTTGGGGACTTCATATGCTTTTCAGGTCTGAAAGAGCAAAAATTTGCCAAATTGCTTTGAATGTGAATGTGAAAAAAAATGCTTTCACCCATACTTTGCAGGCATTCTCCCTCTATGAAGATGAGATCAGTGACAGCAAAGCCCAGTTGGCTGCTATGACGCTAATAATGGGAACTTTCCAGCAGACAACATGTTTCAGCGAAGAAAATCATGAACCTCTAAGAACACAATGTGCCTTGGCAGCTTCCAAACTGTTGAAAAAACCCGACCAAGCCCGTGGAGTCACAACGTGCTCTCACCTCTTCTGGTCAGCACGGTCACAACACACCAACAAGGAGGAGGTATCTCACACGCTTCTTGTTGTATCAATGCTTATAATTTATCTGCTGCAAATTTTATAGTTCCTATACAGTAAATGTAGAATCATCATCTGTTGCTAGTGTCTGGTTTTCCCATGTTTTGAGTTGGATGGTACAGGAAGAATCTATTCCAAGTAACTGTTACTTCTGGGACTACAGTACAATAGTCTCAACAGCAGGACTTGGATCTAGTTCCACATTTGATATTCTGTTGTTAAGTTATTTTACTCATGACTGAGTTTAATGAGTTGATATAAAAATCTGTAATTGAACTGTATACCGGTATGTCTATAACAATAAACTGCCCATTATGGGATGGCATCATGAACAGTCATCACCAAACAGTTTAACAAGTGACCATCACCACATTACCTCTGTTTGTAATTGTTCCCCTTTGGATATTTGCCGAGGCAACCTTCATTTCTTCTCTTATCTTCATTGAAAACTCAACCTTGTCAAGATTTACAAGATGCTAAATTGTTTTATTTACATCTGTGAGTTTAATACATTCTAATGCACATTCTCAGTGTTGAAATTCTGTAAAGTTACATTTATATATTTTTTTCAGTTGCATGATGAAAAACGTGTTCTAGAATGCCTGAAGAAAGCTGTCCGTATTGCTAACCAGTGCATGGATCCCTCAACACAAATTCAACTTTTTGTTGAACTCTTGAATCACTACATTTACTTTTATGAGAAAGGCAATTCACAGGTAAGTTTCAAGTATTGTGGAAGTTTCTTATTGATTTTTTATTCCATACTGGATTGTGAATACTGTATACATCTTATTTAAGTAGTACAAGATCTCCTTACCCTCCTTGACAAAATCCAGACTAAATTCATTTGCATCATCTGTGTTAGTTCTAACCATGTTACAGTTATCCTCCACCCATTTCTGAGATGGTATTCAATATTTCCCTTTTCTTAATTTCAGCTTTACTTTATTAAAACTTGATTCGAGAAAATTTATTTTACGGCCAAACTTTCTTTCTCGGGTAATTCCTCAATAGCTTTTCATCATAACTATATTTCAGGTAACTGTGGCAATGCTTAATCAGCTAATCAGCAAAGTAAAGGAAGATCTTGCCAACTTAGAGACTAGTGAGGAAACTGATCAGATTTCAAGACATCTGACAAACACTCTAACTCACCTTCAGCTCCGACTACAAGAACCGCCCAGTGATGGACCCAGTTATGAGGGTCTCCAGGTTTAAACTGTCATCCATGTGTCCTTCAACACCCTCAAAATTTTATATGTATATAATTTATCACAAAACTTGCATCGCAAATATAAAATCCAGTAATATGTAAATAACAGAATTTGATTGAAGTTATAAATAACGTTGGACATTAGACAATCGTTGTGCCGTGTACTGTTGGCTTTAGCAGTGACATGTTTTCCAGAGATGGAGAAATATTCACATAATACATAACAAAAATTTTATTATTCTATCAATATTTACTGACATCGTAGTACAGAATAGCTTAGGAGGAGAGGTTTTCCGTATCATTCCAAGATGAAATTTGATTATATAATTTTATGTTCTCATTTGAAATGAGACATTTTTATGCATTTTCTCTACATGAAATTTAAATCTCACTTTTATATAATATTAACTATTAGGACATTTATGTTTAGTGCATCTGTATAATATAGTAACTATCAATATATGGCATAGTATTAAGAGTTATCATCTTCCCGAGAACTTTGTTATTATGTAATATTGTCTATCTTCAGTATCCTTGTGAAATACTTCGTCACACATTTGTCCAAAATTTTAGTATTCCTGCGTACCATCTGACTCTTCAATGGGAGAGGAGGACCTGAGCTTTCATATGTTGAGTGATATTGTCATGAAAAAATATATTCTAGCAGCTGTATGAAAAGTTTATTGTTTGTCACATATCTTACCAGTAGTAGTGTGTTGTGGACTATGTAAGTGGTGATGGTTGAGTGTAATGTTTGCTACACTACTATTTCATGACTGACAAAGGCTTAGTTAACAGGTGTTGTATCCACTTCTTTCATGCATGTGTACATTCATATACTGTATATGTATACTTTTCTCCATCATTCTCAGTGTAACAAGAGTGTAGTGAAGAAAATTAAACATAGAAAGTGTAAAGGGGCACAGAATGTGAAAATGAGGGGTAAGTTGCATGGTACAGGTATTAGGATATTTGTGCTGGCTGCCAGATATATGTGTACAGCTATGTAGGTACTGTTTAAGAAAAGTTTTTAAGGATTAAATTAATCAACGACAACATTCCTTGAACTTTTCTCTGACGTAACACTATTGTAGTGCTTGTACTAACCTTGTTCTTAATTTGTATAACTTATAATTAGGGAGGATGTAATAGGCTTAAATGCTATGCCACCATAGTTGTTAATATAATGCTGTCACAGTGAACTGTGTTTTATTGTGATATTTCCTATGCTTAAATTCCAATTCCAAAAAGAAGTATATTTCGGTCAAGAAATTACTAAGATGTAAGGCATACATTTTGGTGGTTTCGGCCCAAAATTAGATTTTGCTAAAAAATCTCAGTATAGGTACTCATGAGCATGCCGATTCCGAATCTATGGTCCATGATTCGATTGCAGGGTAATTAGTGGTCGTAATAATGCTTGGAAAATTTTAATTACAGGGTGTCCACGAGTTACGAACGTCAGACTTATGAGCACCCACCGATACGAACGAGGTCCCATAATGTAAATTATATTCAGAACTGACATAGCTACAACTGGTTCATAGTAGTAACATAAGAGAACTTTGCGTTGCTAGCGCAAGACGGAGTGGTGGGTGGGGCGTAATGCGTCGCCCAGCCACATGCCTTGAGGGAGTGTCGGTACACCTTACCCTCACCTGAGTAATGTGTGTGATCAAGTGCAAACTGTTGTTTTTTACTTATTAACTATTATTCTGCCTTCATCATGGCTCCCAAATGCAAACCTAATGCAAGTGATAGTAGGGCATCCAAGAAAAGGAAAACAATTACAATGAAAGTGAAAGTTGATGTAATTAAGCATTTTGAAAAAGGTGAAACACCCTCAATCATTGGTAAAGTGTTGGGCTTCAGTCGGTCAACGATCGGAACAATTTTGAAAGAGAACCAGAAATTTATTGAACATGTAAAAGGATCTAAACAAATGCACTCAACTGTGATAAAACAAAGAAGTGGATTGTTAATTGAAATGGAAAGATTGTTAGTGATATGGTTGGAAGATCAGCCAGTCCAAGGTTTCAATGAAAATGTTAAACTTTAATTTTTACTTTCCTTTACTGTATTTCGTCATTAAATTTGCACTCTGATATGGTGCACATAAAGTATGTGTTCCGATTTGGGAACGGAACTCGTTTGTAACTCGGGGACCCCCTGTACTGTAATCTGCCCCATGGTTTTCTGATAAAGGATTCTTGAACTGTATGTGGAAATATTCTAATTAAATCTGTAAATGGAAAATATCAAGAGAATTAGTAAGCGAGATGAGAAAAAGGTAAAGTACCATTTGATTACCAGTTATTGGTTCAGTTATGATGTTTGTCACCATGAGTATTGCCTAAAATATATAGGAATTAAATGCAAAAGTTCAATACATGTTAGTAAATTACATATGTCTACTAAATTACATATAATATGAATCCTCTTTATTTTTTAACATTGTTTCTGATCAGATGACCAGACTGAACAACTTCATGTTAGATTAACTTGGCTAAGTAAAATAATGAACCACATGCCAGATCCCATCCTGAACTATATACTCTTTGTAACCCGAGCCACAAGTAAACAGAAAGGCATATCTAGAAAAAACTGCTGCCTGTAAAGGTCAATTCCAGTCTTATTTTCATTTCAATGTAATTGTTGATATATTCAATAAAATGGATACTGGTCTGAGAAAAATTCAGGCACAGTTTGGGTAAAAAACTAAAAAATAAACCATCTGACAAAAGTATCAACTTCTTAATGCTGAGTGTGATGCCAGCAGATGAGATCCTTGTTAAATTACATTGACATCAACACTGACACTGGAAGTTGCTTTAGTTACAGCTCAAAATTTAACTGCAATAACTTGTACAGCATAAGGGTGAACAGTGTACAGCACATATTACAGCTTAATAATAATATGATAAAAAGATAATACAAGTAGTTTACTTTCCTTATGTAGCACAACTATATCCCTGTACTTCACGAATTTTTATGATGGAAAAAAAGTTTTTTTTTACCATTTAATAATATGAATCAGTTGTCGGCACCAGAGAATTAATAATTTAGAGAATGACAATTTTGAAAGGAAGTCAAGGAATTACTGGTAAATCTCTACTTCTGACAAATGTGGTGACTCACTAGAGGCTTCTGGAACATCAACAAACCCATTCAGTTTGTATTAGAGGAGCTCTCAACTACTGTATATTAAATTTAATTTTTATTTATTTAAAGTACAGTACAGTATTTATAAAACACTAGTTTCTTGATTTTGTTATTTAAGAAATACAACAAACATTCAACTGAGGGTCTGTGACTTATTTTAAAACCAAATCAATATAAATGCTCATTTTCAATCTCTAAAATTTGATTAATATCAATTAGAAAGAAACAAACAACTTTTTTTTCTGTAATAAAATACTGTATGCAAATAGACGGTTATGGTGCACAAGGATGGTAAACTTATTACAATGAAAAATGTTATCAGGTGACTTACCTGGGACCTCACCTGACACCAACAGTATCCCTGGCCAAAAAATGAAACTTATACCTACAGATATGAACAAGATAATTAATTATAATAATCTATCAGTAATATTTAAACAGCTGTTCTTAATTTGGTTACGTAACTGTCTCATGATTAATGAATTGAGTTTGAAATGTTATTCATCTATACAGTACAGTATAGTGAATACAGGATAATGGTTGTCTTTTGCTCTGTATGATGTCACACCTTAGCTGACTATATGGTAATAGATTCTTCCATAAAAGTGCATAACATCACCACATTTACAAAAAGTTGCTGCATGTTTCCTTCTTTTCTTAGCAACAAAGTACTGAATATTGCTTTACTTTGTGGTTGTTCTTGAAGTAGGGGAAAACAATTACAATGCATAATAGATACAGGGAAGCTGTAAAACAAAGTTTCAGGGTGACTTTACATTCACCATTTTGGATATGTTCAAACTTCACACAATATGTTTTTCCTTGTGTTTGTCCCATCATGCACCCTTGGTCCCTACTCTGGTAAGAACAACTGACTTTATAGTGTGAGACATTTGCAAAGTATAATTTGTATGTACAACTTAAAATACAGCTCCAGAATATTGCAATTTAACGTACAGTACAATAAAGGTTTTAATGGCTCTACATTATATGTAACCAAGTACTGTACAGTACTGTACGGTGTCTGCAACACTACCTTCTTGTGACTGAAATAATGAAAATAATAATGACATGTTCATAATGATGAGACACTAATAGTTAAGTTCACCTATTATGATGATATGCAACAATCAACAATGGAAGTATATCATAAAAAGGATAAAAGAACAATGACAGTTGAGACCTGGTGAAACATCTTTTTTTTTCTCTTCTTAGGGGGGGCTCTCTCATCCTCCTCTTGTCTACTGAACTTGGGGAGGTGGTTTAAGCCAATCTCCCCTCCCCCAAAGAAGCCAAAGATGGGTGTGTTGGGGAAGAACTGTCTAAATGCCTTTGTTTCCACATTATCGTAATCAAACCAAGGCTTACCCCGACGTCTATACCAGTAATAGCCACGGCCACAACAGGTGAACATAAATGCTACACTTTGGTCTTCGGGAAGACCACAGGATTTCAGCTTAATAAGAAAAAGAAAAAAGAAAACACCACAATTAATGAATTAATATGATACATGTAAATATAATCATAATCTCCCAAATCTACCATAAAATTTTTCTCATTATCAATCACCTGCAACAAGAAATATTTTGGAGCTACAGTATGAAAACCTGCCACTCACCTCTTTCATATATTCTTCAAAGACTTTTGGATTATCAACATATTTTGGGATAATGACTGATGCTGCCATAACATTTGGTCCTGATACAGCCACACCAAAGCTGCTCTGACTGAATGAATTGCTTCTTCCAGCATACAAGCAATCTGCTATACCACCACCAAGTGCAACTTTATGATTTTGTCTGGAAAAAAATATTGACAAAGATAATCACCTACATCTCTGAAGTTACATCAAAGAGGGAAAAAGTGTTCATCCAGGATCACAGTACAGTACACCATGTAGTGAATTTCAGTTTAATTTTCCTTACACACGAGGGAAAGAGTGAGCTGTGTTTCATCATCACCGGTCATTATCCAGAGCCTTGGGGAAAAACTGTGACCTATACAGTAATTTTTTTGGGGGGGAAAGATAGAAGTAGAGGTACAAGAAACAAATCCTAATAGATATACTGTACTGAGGTAGACACTAATTATGATTGTTAACCCCTTCACTATGGGGACACCACTTTTAATATTCTATTTGGTCAATGCCAGTGATTTTATTCAGCACTGAAGGAAACTATACACTTAGGGTACAGTACAAAGTATTTTCAATTTCTTTATTATCAAACAGCTTACCTGAGAAGAGCAGAGTGAATCAAAGCTTCTGTAAATCCTTCATCAAGACCAGCATCGAACACAAGTAGGGCTTTGAGATGGTCATCCTGAGACAGTGACGTCAAGTGGTTGAACTCATCAGCAGAGATAGTGAGGTTGTCACAACTCATATCCTCATCTTTGCGCTTTAAAAAATAGGAGAGAAAAAATAACAACAGAGGAATATAAGTAGAGCATTGCTTTCTGCAGGTACATCATTCACACTTCATACAATATTAGTGAATATACTTACATATTCTTTCAAAAATTTCACATCACAGAGATTAAAGAACTTCAGCTGAACTCCAGGATGGTGTGGGATCAGAATTAAAGAAACAGCATCTGTTTGGTGCATGGAGTCACTAATCTGTTCTACCTCAATGCTGTATCCCACACAAGGCCTCTTCTCATTTTTATTTACAGAAACGTCCTTAGTATCTGTTGATGAGCTGGAAGAACTATTTACAGATGCAGCTTCCTTTTGTGGTGGTGATGTTTTCTGTGAGGTTTCTTCTGGTTTTTGACTGCCACTTTCTTCTGACCTCCGACACCACCTGTTGGGTTTTCGTCCTTGTGGTTCTTTTTGATGAAGGAAAGACAATATTTCTTGATTCAAATTATTGGCTGACTCAAGGCAGTGTCCTTGGTAGTTGTTTTCAACTGTTCCTATAACACCTGTGGCAGACACCAGTCCAAAGTCACATGATGATGGTAGAGACCCACTTAAATACTGAAGAAGTGTCAACTTTCCTGTAAAAATATTTTTTTTTTATGGAAACAGAAATCTAAAACTTCCATTTCAGCTATTTTGAAGAATATTCAATAATTTTTCCCAAATTATTACATTAAATCCTAGTTGTTATGCAATTTATCACCATGTGATTCAAAACTTACAGGCACAGAGTAAGTGACTTCTTAAATACAGTATCCTAAGAGCTCAGATACTTAATTAGCATGTTAAGTAATACTTTTCTATGAAATTTGATCAAAATCCGTGGTATGACCTCAAGTGCCAAATAGTGTACAGTATTAAGTCAGGATTATTTTTGATGTAATGTGACTTTTTTGGGGAGAGTGAAAACTAGGGTATTTATATGGTAAAGATACCCATTACTTTTAAGAAAATGTATACTGTATAAAAGTGATTTGAAACTTATATAACAAAAGCAGATAAATAAGTAATAATTTCTCACCACTTTCCTCCTTTATGTTGAACACTTCTGGTTTGCTCGACCAATCTTCACTACAGAAGGCGAGGCAGTATCTTGGCTTACTGACAATATGATCAAAGAAACCTTCAAACAGACCAGTGGCCGTTGCTTCTCCTAAGGCCACCTGCATAAGAAAATATACATACCGGGTAGTGAAATTATCTGGAGATTAACCTTTCTCAGCTTATATCACCTGATGATAAAACACCCTAATGCTACTTAAGATCCCCAGTAATACAGTGTAGCTATATTATATACATCTAAACTACCAGTATGTATGGCCAGTGCGTTTGGTACAGTGGAAGTGTCCGGTGTATGGAGTTTAATATTATAACCAAATTCAAAGTAAACAGTACTATGAGGCACTTCAGACGAGAAGTAAACAAACAACAAAAGTAAAATATGGAAGAAAAAAATGATAAAATTTAATGGTTTTGAAGTACTGAACAGTGTAAATGTTTGACTAATAAACCTACAGCGTCTTATATTTTTTTTAGTTTGTTTATTAAATTTGCTTTTCCTTTATACGATCATACTGTACTTTTGAGTTTAAAAAATATATATGTATCATGCTTTTATTAGTTCAAGAGTTTCACTTATTTCAAAACTTAAAACTTTAAGTGTATTTTTTTTTAGTTTTCTACTACAGTATCGCTGCTTGTCTACATCTCACAAGTAGTGCCTCAGGTTGAACAGAGAAAGATAGCACGGGTCTTGTTTAGAGGAACATCAGAAAATCTTGTAAATACGACTACCGTGTCTCTATACTTCCCTGAGACTTATCGTACAGTATTCACAGAGACCACAAGTGTAAAATGCTTCTCATCTGTACAGGCCTCCCTTAGTCTACGAAAAGTTTTACATGCTGAGACTCACCTTGCCTTCTGTTGTGGGAATGCTGTGAGGATGTATGGTCAGGTAATGCAATTTCCTGCGTTTTTCTAGAATTTTGGCACCAACGTCTGCCCAAGTCCTGCATACAGATCGAACTCTTGATACTTCTCGGAAACTGAGATTCTCGAAAATTTTCTGGTGAATAAGAATGTACAATTTTATACACCCATGCACATTATTTCCCCTATGGAAATTTCATGAATAACTTAATAACCTAATCTTTGATAATTTTAGTGCTTAATATTCTGAATTAACCAATAGGCACAGAGGCCATAGCCAGCTTATCAGTGAATATTTGTCAACAGGATTTTGAGTAAAGAGATTGTAAATTATCAACAATATTTGCTTTTAATGCAATATATTCCTGCTCCGTAGCCCTGCCCACTACCGGGTTTAATTTATTCTACAAAAAGGGAACTTCTAAATATATGCTAACAGTTATTTAATACAAACAGCAGCAACAACAATGAGACAACTACTTACAAATAGAAATATGGCATTACTTACCGAGGGTCCTCTTATAATTAAAGTAGAGGAAAAGTTCTCATCTCTGAATGTGAAAACCTTCCTCTTCACCACCTTAAAGTATCACAAATATTGAACATAATATATTCTTTATTCACATCGTACCTGAGTAAGTTCCCATGACCCAGAGAGGACATTGCCAATATGATAGGCAGTGTCTTGGGAGGTCGCGGCGCAGCTCATCCTCGGCCTCCTCACCTTACCTCACTTCTTGTAAACATAACTAAATACTCTACCTGTTACAGATATATGTTGATAATTTTAAAGAATAACTTACAAATTAAATTAATTTACTCTATAATAAAATATATTTAATGACAAATAATTATTTACTGATGCAAATCTTGTTAAAGAAATAGTTTATTGTACCATCATTGGTAATTTTACTCTATTATGTAAGACGGGTTTATTTTAATACTGCTGCTGTTATTATTATCTTTATTGTTGTTATTATTATTAGTGCGGTTGTTTAAATGTTGCTCCAGGCTTTAAATACCTGAGCTGTGACATTTTTTTTTGTCTTGATGAATGAGTCAGTGTTGTTTTATCAATCCATTGTTATAACATTATTTTTCAACTGTTTGTAAAGCAAGGAAAGTATACAGAAGGAAGCGCATCTTAAAGCTACCAAGTGTAGGGCCGCAGTGCGTCGCTTGGTCACTAGATGGCGGTGATTAATGGCGGGAAAATTTGTGTCGGCTATTTGTTTTGACTCCATGGCGGGAAGGTAAGGGCTTAACCAGTGTCTTGTGTGCAGCATAATTAAAATAAAATAAAACTTGAGGTTTCATTACTTTTCAAAGGACAAGTAAAGGAAAGTAGATATATTTAGTAAGCGTAATACAAGTTTAAAGATGGTTAGCACCAGAAGGACTTTATGGAATGGCGCCAAATTTCCAGAAGTTGTTTGGATGATAATAAGTAAAAAATGTTATAACAATACACAGAACCTATTTGAGCTTGACCTAACATTATCGAACCTTATCTAACCTATTTAACCTTACCTAACCTACCTAACCCGTGAAAAGATTAAACAAACCCAGCACATACTTTGAACACAATTAAAATCGCTGCAACATTTTTCTATTTGTTTGTGACAATTTTATTTTCATACTGTATTTGAAAATGGGAAATAAAATTGGGTTAGGTTAGGTTGGCTAGGTAAATTGAGATTAGTATTCGTTAGGTTAGGTAATGTTTGGTTAAGTTAAAGGCACACATTTCTCTTATCACATTCATTATTCAGTATCACCATTAAAACAATCGCGCAAAAATGAACAGCCTCGATAAGGTCCTTCAGGTGTTAGCTGTATACTACATCTTTACCCATAGTTTCATTTGAAACTTAGATTAAAGGTAAAAACTTTTTTTTACGGGGATTAGCCCACCCGGGCGAAAATAAAATAATAATAATAATAATAATAATCAGTAATTATTCTCATGTCCAACTTTATTTCCTTAGATAATTGATGCAATAAAAGGTTAGCTGATGAGATATTATGTCATCTTTCTCTTAACTTACACACACACACACACACACACACACACACATATATGCTGTGTATATATATATATATATATATATATATATATATATATATATATATATATATATATATATATATATATATATATATATATATATATATATATAAAACCCAATAAATTATCAATAATCCAACAAATACGTTTTACAAGTGAATACTTTTGTATGTTATGCATACATTTAGATAATACTAAATATTAAAAATTTTACTGCAGTACACATGCCATTCCATATGTTCACTAGTGAGAAATCAGCACCAGGTAATGATAAATGTTTAACGTATAATGTAGAAATTTATGATTTGGACATCCAACAATACTGACCTAATCTCATGCTACTTTATACGCTTGTCTTAAGCAATTTTGTTTTGCATGGCTGCTTTTTGCTCTTGCTTATACTTTGTACAGTAATAGTTATTGCCCCCATCAAGTTAAGCATGAATGCCTTTTGCGGGGGGGGTATGTAAGAATGTGTATTTGTAATTGTCGTGCACTTATTCGTGTTATGCTTTAATTGTTGCTGCTTCTGGTTGTCACGAGTATGCTTTTATTTTGCCAGTACAGTATGCCTTTTTAATTAGATGATGTTCATGATCTCTGTAAATGGTTCTTACATTTGCTGACTGACCTGATAAAAAATATGTAACAAGTAAATATAATTATTAGACAATAAAAGTAGCTTAGCTATTCAGTTTAATGTAATTAATTACTGTAGAGCATGTAGCACATTTAAATACAAATAAAGTGTTTTGTAGTCTGTAAGACCATTTATAAATATTGATTAAAATACTTGTAAAGAACACAATAAAAGTTTCTCTTCTATTAATCCGTACATGAATAGTATACCTGTGATATACAGTATGTGTGTACAAATCAAATCCACTGATATGGATATATTGTGATTGAAAGGAATGACTTGAAATGTGTAGAAATGTGCCTTTGAACATAATCATAACAAAAAGCACATTGTACTTTTTCCTGTGACTTTGTTTCTGATCACCAATAGGTTGACCTTAGCAGAAGTACATGAATTGTGCAGTAGGTGGGATGATAATATAGGAAATCTCTCAATTTGATCGTAAGAAGAGGCATCCCTCAGGATCTATGCTCTTGTGTACAGTAATAATTAATGTATAAGAAGTAAATCAAAAGGAGAATTTTGAGTCGTCGATATACATAATGTGGTTTTCGTTAAATAATATTTTTTATTAAAGTATACCCTTAAAACAAAAACATTCTCTTAAAAACGCTTGGCCACTAGATGGGAGGCTAATCGGAGTATCAAAGTAAAGTATGGGAGACGCACTTCCTTTTATATACTTTCCTTGGTTAGGAAATTATAAACTTCTGTCGTCGATATTTTATAGGCCGCAAAAAGTTTTAAAAGTATCATCCGATGTTCTTTTGTTTTCTTGATCTTCAGCTGTTGACTCCATAGTATTTGGTTCTTTTGTTTATATATTAAAGGATACTTCTGAAATACGAAAATTAATAGATAAATTAAAAAATGAATTAACATTAATATTTATATCTCGAGAACAAAATATTATTAATATTCATTATTGGAAGATTCTCCATGTAGTGATTTATATCTTGAATTGTGAAAATATTGATATAACAAGAATAGTAAATACACTCGAATTGAAATTTATCTTCTTAAAAAAATATTTGTATACAGTATACATATTTCTTTGAATTAAATGAAAAACTTGAATATTATATATACAAATATGAAAAATACTTTCAACGGTAATGATAACATTAAGATAAGCTTTTTATATGCGTCTTATCTTGTTTTCGTCGTTTAGAAGTAGGGACCAGCTTCAGCAGTCTCACGACGGAAAAATAAATTTTCTATCAGTTCATTTGTAAACCGTTGCGGCGAATGTGAGTGTCAGAGGACTTGATATTTGTAGATTGACGACTATATAAACATTGGTGATATCGAGGGTGTTAGGAATGATATCTATAAAGAATTTTGTGGGTTTTGATGGTTAAATGTTGGAGTCACGGCCCGTGTTTTGGTCGGCAGTTACTGTGCGAGCTGTGTTAATGAGCTTATTCCTGTAGTTCCTCTTACCTGCTTCCTGGTACACAAGGTAATACTGTTTAACACCAGCCTCGATAAACTAGAGCTTTGAGGATTTTGTCATAGAACATTTGTTACCTGAGTGCACCTGTAGTTAAGGACCCAGAGACGGAAGTATGGAAAAAATGACTCCATTTACCTTACCTTATTTACCTAATGGCCACCCACTAGAGGTGCCCATGCCGAGGAAAGGAGGCTAGTGGCCTGTGTAGGATCCCTCCATTGTTCTTGATAATTTTGTCAAGGGATATTTTGAAGCCCAGTACTCTTCTTGGTTCCACAGCCTAGGCTGGTAGACCTTTCCAACTCTCCTTTAGTATTCTAGGATGAATCAAGACAGAGCCTGGCTATTTTTCAGTCTTTATCATTAGTTTATAAGGATTTACAGGACTACTTTCTACCCTTGCATCTCTAGAAAAACTGAACAAATTGAATACTATTTATTGGTCACCAAACTAGAGATAATTTTTTGGGGGGTGTGTATATAAAGTTGTATCCCCCCCACAGAAAACAAGCAGCTCACACCATGGACACGACTCGAGGCAGTAAGGAGATGGTGCTGCTGGCTGGCAACTCTCACCCAGAACTTGCCCACCTCATAGCAAGGTGAGACTCTGACAGTGTCACGTTCAACTCTAAGTTTATTACGTAATGATGTCTTCTGGACGACACATTCTGTATAGTTTATTGTTTGGAGGTTTGGTTATTATAAATGTTTCATATTGGTAAAGTTTTAGTCTGAGGAAGAAATTGAAGTATTGTGCCTTACATATTGTAGTAGGTTGAGTTAGGTAGTGAATGACAGCACTGAAGTGTATTAGATCAGACATTTTGTTTATTGGAAGATTTTACCTATATAGACCAATACGTATTTTAGAAGAAGAATTGATCTGTTGTATGATTGGGTATTCCTTAGTTTTCCAAACCTGTGAGCTGCTATTATTTTGTTAGTTCTTTAGGCGTTACTCTTATTTATACAGATTGCGTGCTAGGTCTTGCTAGTGTGTTTACGTTATAGAAGTAATTCGTCCACTGATAACAAAATAATAACAAAAGAATCAGGGGTAGATAACACAAATTAAGTAAAATGACTGAACAAAACACAAAGTTTGGTGTGTTAGGCTACAAGTTTACTGATTATTTGTGACATTTCAAACACTGACTCATTTAATAAACACTAACATCCCTTTAGACTGAAGAATACCAGGTAATAATGGATCAACATAGTGCTGAGAGATACAACCTTCTGGAATGTAATTTGTAGTGCACTTTTTTCAAGTTATTTGTCATTTTTATTTATTTTTTTAATTCATATCAAATTCCAGTTTGTCATTATGTGTACTTTTACCACTTTTGTGTGTTTTAGAATAACATTTTAACATTTCATTATTCCTCACTTATCCAGTTCAAGCTGTTGATGTGTTGTGTAGTGTGGTCACCAGGACTTAGACTGCTCTTGTTGAGGTGTCATCCTGGTGAGGTCAAATTGGAGAGTTCTGGTCTCTGAGGGAATTGACAAATCCTTCTCTTGTATCATGCATAATGTGTATAACCTCAGACTGTTAAGGTGGTGACCAACTTTTTCTAAACATCAGTCAGCCTCAGTTGGACACAAGAGTCAGCCACATGACTGATAGAAAAGTTCTCAACTCTTCTGTAACGGCTTTTTTTTTGTGACTTTATTACAATTACGGAAATGTGTTTCAGCACTTGGGGTCATACCATGGATTTGTTACAATTTCATACAAAGGTGCTACTGTATTTTTGTGTTGAAAAAGTCTTATATACCAGTAATGTAAAAGTAGATTTCTTCTTGTACAGGGAAGCTCATTAGATTTTTGTCTTTCATTCCATACAGTGTGGTGAGAGGACTAACTGAACCTCACCAACAGTAAGGTTTCTCCTACACTGATGATCTGTGGTTCTCATCTTTCTCTCGTTCAGATAATTGCCGCCATAAGGAAGGTGTCCGAAGATGACTCGACACTTTCTTGACTTAGTGAAGTTTGAAAAATATAGATGTCTATTATAAGGATAGATAGAGAACTGAAGTTAGATCATCTTAGCCAAGTCAGAAAAGTTAACCTTCTGTTTAATATGAGACAGAGAGCATATGTGGATGGGTGCTTGCATGTGTGAGTCCATCTGGAAAGAACTTACCAGTCTACAGGAGTTACCATAATGGACATTAGGAGAAGCATTATGTAATACAGAGTGATATACTGTACCTTATGGTTGATGGTCACTGTATAATTACTAACATAACTTTTGATTCTGAGTCTTATATTCTAGTTGTTTATTAATATAATATTGTATTCTTTTGATTTGTGTTTTGATAAGATTTCCTTTCAGTAGAAGCGGTAGACTACTCCCCATGGCTGCTTCCTCTTGTGGCAGTATTTGTTATTGATGGTTAATTGTTGGATCACCTGAAGATTAGCCCCTCAGCTTATTTCACCTTGATGCTACTTGGGGAGGGGGGGAGGCTGTAGATTAATTTAGTATTAGGGTGGTTAATTTTAAGGTGAGATAAGGTGGGTTCTTCTTCAGGTGATCCAAATTGTTATGTATTCAGTAGACGTTAGCAACTTAGAGTGTTTTGTCAAATGTACCAGAAAGTTTTGTTTGATTTTTTTTTTTTTTTTTATGTGGGCTGACGGAAGATTTTTTCTGTTGTGTTAATTTACAGTTCTCTTATATATAGATAAGGCATAACATAACCTGATAAATTACGATGAGACTAAAACAGTTACCGTATGTACTGTACAGGTTTCTGGTATTATTACATAATTCTTCATCGTGTTTGTCATCCTAGGATAGTGACTCGCTTCCTTCCCACGATAAACACTTCACTTGTGTGTGTCTGTGAACATCACCTGACAAACACGCTACATCTCACCTGTTGTTGTGTCATTAATGTTGCTCTTATGACTTCAGTTCATCAGGTGGCACTTGACTGTTAACAAAGAATTTTATATATACAGTATATACTATATAACTAGACAACAATATGAGATCTACATCTTAAGGTAAAAGTAGGGTACCTAAGATAGCAGTAGATCATATTATGAGACAAAACTTAAGAAAAAGAGACATGACAAGTGTTCAGTAAGACACAGTAGTACACTCGGTGTTAAATCCACTTTCTCACACACTGGTTCTCTCATTCAGTCGGCTGGGAAAGCCTTTTGGCAACGTTTCTACCTACCACAGCAGCAACCAAGAAACAATGGTGGAAATCGGTGACTCCGTAAGGGGACGAGATGTGTTTATTCTTCAGACAGGTACAAAGTGAGTCTGAGGGGCAGAGGCGACAGTGTTGTAAGTTCTTTTTGGGTGGTGCAGTACAGTAGTTAAGCTGTGGGGCCACAAATTTACAGTTTGCCTCAGTAGGCTAATATGGTTGTAAATTTTAATGTGTGTTTTCTCAGTAAAGATGTTTGATTATGATAATATAAAACTATTAGATGACAAAAAATAAGATTGATTAATACCTGTATATTGAGTGTTGTATAAACTAGTTACTCATTGAAAGTCGCCAGTTTGACCTTTAGGTGCTAGTGGAGTTTTGTTTCTGCTAAAAAGTATTACAGTATAACTGCATAGATAAAGAAATGTGTAGACATCTAATGTTTTCACAAAAATAGTTGATTAAATTTTTTTTTGTGTGTCTTGGATGGTGTTCAATCTTCACTTCACATTATACAATATATATTTGTTTTGGCTGTAGTCACCAACATTCTTATACACATTACAGTGTTGTGTCTCACCATATTTTGTCAGTAGAGTACGGTTCAGTGTGTTGCATCTGTTCAACTCTTACCTGAAAAGTCCATTCCATTTTAAACCATTCACTGGATTGATTTTTATTTTGTTATATTTGTTTATTTATTATTATTTTTTTCTTTTTGTCCAATAATTAGGATATTTTCAACAGGACATCATTTGTGGCTTCAGCACTGCCAAACATTTCTGGGTGTGGAGGTAGTCAGTGCATACAGCGTCAGAGAAACAATAACTAAAAGCAAAAGAGACTACATGTTTAAGAGACAACAAGACAACGATTTTATAATTAGATGGGACAAAAGAACCGAACTTCCCATAATATTGAAATTAACAAATGATAACGAGAATTTCCAAAATACCTGACATAGAGAATTTGACTTAGGACAAGGTTCCTAGTTGAATATCCTGCAGCTTGAATGGTGTCAGGTCAAAAGAAGGTAATTGGGGTTCTTTGATTAGTTTGTGGGGTTTAGAGGGTGCCGTAGCTTGTCCTCCAAGGTCCACTAACCAGACGGGTCGCTTGGTGCATCAGACAAAGAAAATCATATGTTTAACGGAATGAGCCATTCCATTGATTCCACCTATTGTACAGTGTTGGCATTTTAACACCAGGTAAAGCAGCATTAGATATTTATTTTGTGCATCACAAGACTTGCTCCAGCACTCATTACCTGTACAGTACCTCAACCACCATACCTCACGGGATCAGTTTTATTGCTCTCTCTCTCTCTCTCTCTCTCGCTCTTTCTCTCTCTCTCTCTCGCTCTCGCTCTTTCTCTTTCTCTCTCTCTCTCTCTCTCTCTCTCTCTCTCTTTCTCAAGCTCTGTATATGTAACATGACTAACAGTGTAAACTATATTTGGAAGTGTTGTACAATAGTATTTTGTCTTCTTTGCCAGACCTACTGTACCATCATGTCTGCCTCAGTAACTGTACCCTGTTGATTTATTCCTAGTCTTCTGTAACTGTTCCTACTATTGGAGGTTTTCTTCTCATAAGTCTCACTTCTTCACTGCTTGTCAACAGTCACATCAAAGTTGAGCATAAAGGCATAAAGGTTCCATTGAAGAAGAAGATTCACTTGATGATGACTTGTATGTTACCTCCTCTGACTACTGTACACCACCTTCATTGTTTACCCTTTGCCCTGCGTTGCTGTCCGTAGTGGTGAGGTGTGGGTGTTTTTGTTCATACATCTGACCAAATATCCATGACACTTGTTTTGTTTATGGTATGATTTAAATGTACAGTGATTGGATTTTCATAGTACAGTACAGAAGTTGTTTTAATGCTGTCTGTCACTCACACCCAGGATGAATTTGAGCCTTGGGGAGATCCATCCATATGTGAAGGATTTATGACCTCAGTTAAATTGTGTTTGTGGGTGGTGGAAGTCATATGAACTCAGACTTAACTCATAATTAACACCATGAGACCATATTATTGTGATTAGTTTATGTAAAATGATCTTCCTTGTATCCATGATTTTTACTCCAGTGTGATTATGACTTCAGGTGCTTCAAGTGTTGCTTTTTACATGTTAGTAATAGGAGGAGTGAGACATGTACAGGGTAGTGCAGTAATGTTAGGAGTGACAGACTCTTGACCTAATGGGAGTTGTACTAATATTTAAGACATGTTTATAGTCATATAAGGATGCTCTCATAACCTGATCATTGATTCCCCTTATGTTTACATTGTTCATTTCCACTTGGCTATTCTTGTAGTGTTGTGCTGCAGGACTAGAAGAGCTCCCATGTGTGACAAACAGCTTTTCTCGCCTCTGTTGCACTTTGCCATTTTGCTGTTATCTTGCTTGTTATTTTTTTTCTTTTTAATTTTATATCCTTTTTTTTTTTTTGCCCCCTTTGGTCACGCCTCATTCACGTAGCAAGTTTTGTTACTTCTATGTGGGGGTGTCCAGACAAACCTTCTTGACTCCATGCAGCTCCTCGCACGCCTTCAACTGTTTACTGACGGGAAATTCTTTAATATGACTTTTTGCCAAGTGAGTTGTCCCATCACAAGCCTGTGTTTGGTCTGAAGACCTCCCCAAACCAAACTTCATGCTTGGCTTGCCATCCTGCTGTATGTCTGATTACCCTCAGTGCTTCATTCACATCCACTCCTGTACAGTATAGTGTTGTAAATGTTATTAAACACTCAGTAAAAGAACAGATTATTTTTAACAGTACATGAAGATGATTGTAATTGTTTAGAGTATTCAACACTGTACAGTATTTATGTTTTGATCAGTGTATGTGAATGAAAGTCTTGAGGGTCAGCTTGCTCTCTTTATGTCTATGTAATCGGCAAATGCTGTGTTTAGAGCCCCTTACCTGTTTTATTTTGTGTGTGCGGCATCTTTGCAGCCGGCTAGAGGTGACAGTAGGGCGAGCAGAGGTGAAGGAAATGGCCAACCGAGAGACAAGTGTTGAGATCATGGAGTCAGTGAGAGAGAAGAGCGTTTACCTCATTCAGACGGCCGACCCCAAGTAAGAGTACTGGGAACGTTGACCTTTGTTCTGCTTCAGGTGTTCATCAGCAGTGTTCAGGTCACTCAGTTACCCACTTATCTTGTGATCCAGGAAATAGAAACAGACATATGTTATGCTTTATGCATGTGCAGTTAACTTCCATGTGATGCAGAGGTGTGACATGACTGTATTTGATATGAACAACACACACATTAGGTCTGCTTCTGCAGTGGTTGTGAGTTGTGTCGTCACTAGTACTGTAGTAGAAGTAAATCCTAGGGTTTGGAACTGATGTGAGTCTGACTGTGTAATGGAATGTTGTTATGAAATGCACAACTAAATTTAGATTTACTGGATACATACTGTAATTATGTACAGTACAATAAATGAGAATTCATGTCATGAGGGATAAGTTATGGTGGGCAAGAGGAGAAGAATGCACAAGAGTGTTTTATATGTAGAGTGAGCACAGTTGTGGGATGGGGGATGTGACACATTGACAGGGCAACTAGTTACTCATTATAAAGGTGTAAGTGTGTCAGTAAGTGGATAATTCTTAACTTTTATTCTGTCCCTTTGTGTGTAGTGAGTTGTGCTGCAATGGAAATACTGTACTGCACTGCCTCTCACTGAAAGTCCAGGATTATCTTTACTATTTTCACAGCTGTAATTTGGGTTTAACCCCTTCAGTACTATGCCTCTGCCTAGTACTATGAATTCACCCACTGAGTAAGATATCTTGACCCTCGAGTACAATGACTTAGCCCCTTGAATGCAATATTTAACACCTATTATATGTTGTCCTATCTTTTTAAAACGATGGCTAATCCCCTCGAGTACAAAAACTTTGTACTCATAAGATTTAGTCGTTGTATTCAAGGGGTTGAAGTAATTCATCCATCAACTGAGGTACGAGTACACTAAGGTTGGCTCATAGATCTCTTGCTTCTCACTGCTTGGAGTGCCCTAAACACCATACAGTACTATTATGAGGATTATTTAAATATCTCTAAAACATAATAGAATTTAAAAAATATATAGTGTATATTTTAACAATGGTTTTTGTTTAAAAAATATGTATTTTTTACCAACCCTGCTGTTCCCATAAGTTTTGAATAATTTTTATTTACATTTTATTAAAAATATAGACTATCTTTATATAAACACATTAGTTTGACAAAAAATATGCCTGGCCTAATACCTTGCATTTCGGCACTTGGGGTCATATCGAGGATTTTCTTCAAATATCATACAAAGTTACTTCTTTACGTGTTGATTAAGGATCTGGAATCATAATTTAAAAATAAGAGTAATTAGTTTTAATTAATGACCTTTTAAATAATTAAAAATATTTAGAATACTCTATATGTACAGGTATTTAAAAGGTCAATTAGGATGTGCCGGGAGCACAGCAGTTGTTGTAGTTGTAGTATCTGTAGTAATTCATTTCTTATAATTATTAATACTCAGAATGCTTTATTGGTCTCAATGATATCTACAAACGTGCCAGTGACTGTAGAGAGTTTATTTAGCTAACATTCCTTACACTTTCTCTCCCTCTATCTCATCTTATTTACATACCTACTAGTTTCCTCATAATTTTAAGGCATCGACTGGTGACGTGCTCTGCATGCTTTATTTTGTTACTCACTGCATGTTAAAGACCTGTTTGTTTGGGGAGGTTTTAGGGTTTGTTTTGGTTTGACTACAAGATCCGGAATGGTCGTGTCTGCACTGTTGCAGTAGCTAAGAAGTCACTGACGACGCATAGACCAAAACATTGATTGTCGAATACTCGTAAAGGACACGTGGGTTATCTTAGGGGTGATGGCATAGTTCGTTAGGTTACTTTGTGTGCCTGGGTCATTGTTTGCTATCTAGTCATCATATAACCCCAGTCATTGTGTAACCCCCAATCATTATGTACCCTCCAGAGTGTGTTACGAGGATAAATTAGCCTATTAGTGAGTTGGAACGGGATGTTTGAATTGCTAGAATAATAATAAAAAAAATCTAGTACCTTATTTGATGTTATTATGTAGATAAAAACCCTCAAGACCTAAATTTATACCCCAAGCAAGATTTAGCGGAAACCTCACCCAGTTATTCACTAATTCATTCACTCACTCAGTTAGTTATATTCATTCATTCTCATTCTCACTCACTCCATCAGTTACTAATTTGTTCACTCACTTATTCCCTCATTCAGTTCGTCACTAATTCACTCATGATCAACATTGATAAAGGTAACTGATGCAGCTGCTGAAGTACTCCTGATAGTTCTGGTGGGACCCAGACTATTACAGTATCAGGATGTTGTTGGTGCGGCTGTAGCTAGATGTTAAACTTGACCCTTAACCGGTAGCTGTCTTCGTCATCATTGGAAATTTCATGTTCCTTGCGTTCCCTTTTTTTTTTTTTTTTTTGTCATGGGGGAAACATTAGCCATCGGTTAAGGGTTGATGTTCTCTCTTTTGTAATTTTTTTTGGTATTTTCCTCTCTAGTTGTCTTTCATAAGTAAAACTATTAAAAGCTTTTCTTGATTATGGAGCTTATGTTAAGATGTTTTGCTTAAATGTAAGAACTTAGATTGCTCAAGTGTTCTCCTTTGTGGTACTGATGCTGTGTATGGTTTTCTTAACACTGCAAGAATAAAATGAGTTATTTGTGCTATTGCATACTTACAGTAGTTCAGTTCCTTGCATTTATTATATATTATCTCTAGAGTACAGTACAAACTTCTTTACACAGTTTTGATATTGAAGAGTCAAGGTGGCATCCTTAGGACTGATCATACTTGCCTGCTGTATGCTAAAGCTCTTAATGTGTGTAGGGATGTGAATAACAACATCATGGAGCTGCTCATCATGGCCTACGCTTGCAAGACGTCGTCAGCACGCAACATCGTGGGGGTCATCCCATACTTACCCTACTGTAAGCAGAGCAAAATGAGGAAGAGGGGATGTATTGTGTCAAAATTACTTGCCAAAATGATGTGTAAGTATCTTTTGTTCAGTTCACCTTAATCAGAGTCAACATTATTTTGGTTGAATAAGTTTTAAAACTTGATATTTACTTGGAATTAATTTCTTTTGTGCAATTCCACTGTTCTTCATCTGACATAAACTCTCTTGTCTTTTTCCCTCCAGCCACTAGCTTCACTGAGTCACATTTCACATCAACCATCTTGTTGCCTCCTAACTTAAGACCTTTTATCTTCTGCCATTCCTTCTTCTGCAGGAGTCTATCGTTAGCATGGCTATGGTTCACCTCCACCATGACAGCGAATCAAGCACAGGACTTGGATCCAAACCCAATGAATTCACTCTTCCTTATCTTCCTCTTTCCCATAATTTATTTTTTTACATTTCTTTTGGGTAAGGGAAAAGGTTACATTCTTGTGGGTCACTGGAAGGATGGGGGTGATGGAGGCACTAAATATAATGGTGGGTGGGGGCTCCAAGGGACAGTGATGCATGAGAATGACCAAAGAACTGATATTGAGTGAGTTTTTGGGAAAGATATGATGATAGGTTATAACTGAAGATTATCCCATGGCAAAATTTTCATCCATTCCAGCAGACACATGAACTTTTTAACTCCTGGTTGATAACGGTGAACTGTACCTGGGACCCAGAATGAATAGTGCAAATATTTACAACACTCATGATACTTACAGACAAGGCCGGCCTGACGCACATAATCACCATGGACTTACACCAGAAGGAGATTCAGGGGTTCTTCGAGTGCCCCGTCGACAACCTGCGAGCCTCCCCCTTCCTTCTGCAGTACATCCAGGAGAGTGTGAGTACTACACATTGCTCACTCTCTCTCTCTCTAGGTCCTTCTGGGCACTGAGACATATACATGGGATGAGCAATGATGGCTTTTGTTGATTCATATTGATATTTGGGTGATGACATGAACATACTGCCTGACCTACTAGCACCTCGAACATACTGTACTGCCTGGCCCATGAACATCTCGAACATATTGTACTGCCTGGCCCACTAACCCCTCGAACTTACCTGTACCGTAATACCTGGCCCACTAATACCATGAAAATACTGCCTCACTGATCTTGACAGAGGAGAAAATATCCAGGCTCTCTTAATTACAGATTCCTGACTACCGTAATGCAGTCATCGTGGCGCGTGATCCCGGCTCAGCCAAGAAGGCCACATCCTATGCCGAGCGTCTCAGATTGGGTTAGTTACTTAATACCCCCTTTTGTTAATATGGTACAATGAGAGTCTTTTGTTGTATGGTACAATGAGAGTCTTTGGTTATATGGTACAGTGATTGTTATTTTATGGTGTACTGATTATTATCTTTCGTTATATGGTACAGTGAGTCTTATTTTTTATGGTACAGTGATAGTCTTTTGTTTATGATAGTGATAATCTTTTGTTATATGGTACAGTGATACAAGTCTTATGTAATTTGAGTTTGATGCAAATTGAAATAATTAATCCTGAAGAAGAAAAAAAATGTTAAGATATATAATAACTTCCATAGTAATTTAATATGGTGAGTCATCCACATGATATCATCCGGCTGCTTCAGAATCATCAACAACACAGGAATATAACAAAGGCCTTATTTTATGTTGACCGACCGTCTCGGCTATTTCTCCTGGCATAAAACGCAAATTATGGTACCTATTTATTTTATTTGTATTTATTTTGCAAAACATCTGTATTTTTTATTATTGTGCTCAGAGAATGTGTGATGAATGTGTTCCTATTATGTTTTGTAAATAGTCCTATTTTGTCTTTTTTTTTGTCCTTTATAACTTGACGGAGGTGGATTGGTCGTTACTTAATGTCGGTTTAGAGTGAAGGTGATAACGTACTTGTGGCCTCTGCGTGGGTTTTAGTCTTCAATATGAAACTAAGTGTTATTTAACTTGTAGATGCATAGATACTTAGCTTAACTTATAGATGCATAGATACTAAGCTTAACTTATAGATACATAGACACTTAGTTTAACTTATAGATACATAGATACTTTGTTTAACTTATAGATACTGTACATAAATGCTTAGCATATTTAACTTAGATGTATACATAGATTTGGTGTAACATCATGTATAGACGCCCTGTTCCTCCTCAAGGGTTTTTCATGTGCTGGTGATTGCAGAAGATCTGTGTTATTGATGGGTTAGTTTTTATTTATTTTGTTATTTTCTCGCCCATTTAGACTGAAAAAAGTGAGATTGATAGATGTATAGACTTACTGAGAGTTGGTTCTGGTATGTGTGTATTGGTACAGTCACTGATAACTAACTGGAAACTTTTTCTTCGTGTACAGGGTGTCTCTCTTTATCCTTGTCTCTGTTAATATCTTATCTCTTTATCTTTCTTTCTTTACCTATCTCTTTCCCCCTATTATTATCTCTCTCTCTCCCTAGCTTATTCCATCTGAAGGTATACCACCCTGATGCTTCCTTGGAAATGGGATTAGGTCACAAGTTGGTTAATTTTCAGATGGAATAAGCCAGAGGGTTGAAACTTAAGGTGATGTAAATTGAGTTATATATATATATATATATATATATATATATATATATATATATATATATATATATATATATATATATATTATATATATATATATATATATATATATATATATATATATATATATTTATTTATTTATTTATTTATTTATATATACAGGATATTTATTTATTTATTTATTTATTTAATTCAAACTCCAGACATGCTACATAATGTCCAAATTTTATCTGCATTATGGCTTTTGTGTATGACCATTGCACAGTACCAGATTCAAGGATACACAAGGAAATTTGACTGTATAGTAATTGATTAATGTGTTTAGTGCAGGCTTGTGAGACTCAGGCTTAATTCATAAACCTTGATATATTAGTTTCTTCCTTATTAGTAATTTGGGATGTACAGTACGGTATATATATATATATATATATATATATATATATATATATATATATATATATATATATATATATATATATATATATATATATATATATATATATATATATATATATATATATATATATAATCATTTTTATCAGCAGCAATAGAAATATGGGTAAAATATTGCCAGAATTGTATATGGAGATTATATGGTAGCTTGATGTGGAGGGACATTTATGGCAGGAATAGTTGAGTACCTACATCCAGACATTGTTCCTGGAGTTAGTGACTAGTGTGGGGTGGGTAGGTGGGGTGCTAGGCCAGTGGGGAGATGTTCTACTTATTGATAGTCACTGAGCTGGTCTTGAACACTGATAGTCACTGAGCTGGTCTTGAACACTGATAGTCACTGAGCTGGTCTTGAACACTGATAGTCACTGAGCTGGTCTTGAACACTGATAGTCACTGAGCTGGTCTTGAACACTGATAGTCACTGAGCTGGTCTTGAACACTGATAGTCACTGAGCTGATCACTGATAGTCACCGAACACTGATAGTCACCGAGCTTGGGTAAAGTTAGCTAAGTTAAGTTTTTGTTGGGTTTTATTAAATAGGGTTAGGCTATTTTTGGTGTAAGGATGGTGAATACTGTATGTACTTAGAAAAATATATTTGTGTCGTCCAGGTTAGTGAGAGATGGCTCCTAGATACTGTATAGTGTAAGATGTAAGGATAATGTACAAGAGGTGAGGTATGGATGTGAACTGACATTAAGGAGAGTATTAGAACGAAACTAACCTCGGTAATTATTCTAAAAGTGTGACAGACGGGAAAGTTTGTTTATGTATCCATGTCCTCGTGATAAATGTAATATAAATACAGCTTTTTTTTTTTGTGATTTCAATTTATATATTCCGTCTCTCCCCCTCCCCCCCAACTACCTGTAGGAAACGGTGAGTATGAACACTTTTTACAGGCTTGTAGCACCAGATGTCCTCGCTGTTGTTGTTATTGTTGTTATTGTTCAGTGGTTTGTGCGTAGCTTTCCAGTTTGAATTTCACACAAGGTTTGGTCTACTGCATTGCCAGAGGGACTGTCGCCCAGAGGTATTGTTCGCTTGTCAGCAGCAATTTTGTCACTATAGAACAAACCTTGTGGAAGAGACACGTGTTAGCGTCACATGCAACCTACACTTAAAATTGTCATTATAATTCTGCAGAAACTGAGACAATGAATCTACTGCATAAAATGAACTTACCTGTTGAAAATATTTGAGTATTTGATGCGTTCTTGAAGAATGATCAGTTTAAACAGCTACAAAGATTGTCATAATATATATATACTACTGTAGCAGTGAAGAATGATACAAGACCTTTTATATAAAGAATAAAATTATCACACGAAACAAGAACGTCTTAAACTTGAGGATCATTCCTGTAGAACGTGTCTCCGCCAGTAATTGTTGATGTTGTCACTATTGATCCTGTATCAGTAAAACTATATGTCAAAGACTTGCACCAGTAGGTACTGATAGACTGTCTTGCACATACAGTATTTCTTATGGGATGGGTTTACAATCAGCTTAATGTGTTCTGTATTATACTGTACGGTAGTTAACAAAATTACGGGACTGCTAATCATAATAATTCATGTACAGTACTGATTTAGGAACATGGAGTTACAGTATATTACAGTAATTGTTTTCACCTGTAGATGATTGTAATTAGCAGTCATTTAATGTTGGATGATGTTAACCAGAGGTAGTGTTTGTTGATCAGTGAGTCAGCTGCTGATTCTGACCCATACCCATCACTCCTGCTTTGCTGATGTAGATTATTATTGTCAAGAAATCCACGCGACAATTATTTGTTTTGTGTCAATTTATGTCTGTTGTGAGGATGACTGGTAAGTTATGTTGTTGGTTTTCAAAATGTATTATTATGTCAGAAACTACTTGTGTTGGGCTGGTATCAGTATAGTCATCACCCACCATTTGAGGTTGAAGGCTCTGCTTACTTGACCAGAAATTTGGTACAGGTACTTTAAAGATCATATTTGTGAGTAATGAGGCTCAGTAAACCTAGAGGGAGGTTAGGGAAAATTTTTCTTCTATTCCGTTCCATTTTCCCTTGGTAGTTGAACATCTATCATGTGGGGTGGCTGGTAGTGTAGGATGGAGTTAGTGAATGGAAGCTGCCATTCTGTTGTTCAGTGCCCCAAACTTATTGTATTCTTGCTGCTGGGTATTGATAGGTGGAGTTGATGTGACTTGTGTTATAATTAATATATTAAACATAATATAGTACAGTACATGCAGTGTTGTATCATTGTTGTAGGGACCAGTGAATAGTACATAAAAACATATTCACAAAAGTATTAGACTATGGTAATGGGAAGACTGGGGTGAGGGGACTGACAGACCCAGAAGTTTGTGAGGTAAATACCAGGAGCTTCGCGCGACATTCCATTTCCCATTAATATTTCCCTTTAGACAATTAGTGTAATTTTATTAATATTTTAAGTACAATATTGTTAAATAAGATGCTGTAATTAAGAAGCAAATTCTACTCATAAAATATATATAAAAGGTTAGTGACCCAACAACCTGATTGGTACTGTACACCCTCACTGTCACACACATGATAGCTGCAGTGTAGTATGGGGAACACACTGTGTTGCACTGTACAGTACAGTACTGGAGTTCACACTTGGACTCAAGTCTAAACTTTTATTCAGTTTCTGTGGACTTTAGCTTAAACTTGAACTTAGAACCACAGACTTTGACTCAGAATTGTGCATAAAGGGCTTGATGGCATAAGCCAAGTCCATTTAAAATCTATCATCGTAATTGTGAATTTTCAAAATTACTGTACAGCACTGTAAAAATATTTTCAGTGCATCACACTGTTTATATGGATAGTTCGTTCCGTACACTGGATGTGTACACTACCTGTATATAAAAATAATTGTGGATGCAACATCTATAAATAAAATCATCCTACAGGTGTCTTTGTCAAAATAAACTTGTTAAAGTATTTGAAATATGATGGTGTTAAATAAAGCAGCAACAACAGTGGTCACCCTTGATGCTTTTGGAGTACTTAACCTGTGCTGTACTTTATATTGTACAAGCTTTGTTGGTGTTGTACAGTGATGGTGTACATGAACTGTACCACACTTTGGAACATGCACCTGGTAATCAAAGGTTTGGACTCTTTTTAATGTCTGGACTAAGACTGCCTCACCTTTACTGAGTTGGACCTAAACATAATGGACTGTTTTACAACACAGGGCAGAAGAGTAAAGTTACTTATTAGGTGTAAGAGAGGTGACTGAATATCACAAGACATATAGATGTAAATGATTGATGTAATAAAGAACAGGGAGATGGAGGGAGTGTCATACTGAAAAGAGTACAGTGATGAGTGGTTCAACAAGTACAGTAGGTGCAGTTGAAGCCAAGAGTTTTAGGGAAGGATGCTGTAAATGTGTTACTTGGTCAGGTGGAGGAGGAGAGCGAGAGATGGGACAATGTAAAAGTACTTCTAGGTGCACATTTATCGAGCTTATTTCTATGATGACTTAAAGAATTCATGCACACCGACCCAAGCTACACGGAACACTCCAAAAATACCCAGACCAGCTCATATCTTGTGTCACATCCTGTTCCTTCTGCACGGTGCACAACTCCTGTATTATCCATTTTTTGTAACTAGTCGCCTCCTCTCTGAAAAGATAATTATGATGTTTTTGTGTTTTTCCTTGATTTAAATGTTGAATGTGTGTGTGTCTCTCTCTCTAAGTGTGTGAGTTCTACTTAAATATGCATGTAGTGTTGGCCTACTTATTTGACATGGATATGACAAAGTAGATTCACTGTAATTAGTAATATACAGTCGAGGAATGTTCTGCGTACTGTATATACCCTGTACAGTATATAAGTATATAAGTCTAGGTCTTCTACCTAGACATAACATGGCTGGTGTTATTGTCTGATGTTGAAGATCTGTAATTGAGGATGAGTGAATGTAATGTAGATGAGACAACCATATGTGTTGCCTCTGTTGGAGCTCACAAGTTTACCCCTTGTAGACAGTGCACCACTGTTGCTAGTGCTTCATACATCACACTACTTTCTTCCTCTTCCTACACAGTTGTTCTTTATTGTTATATTTCGTACACTCATTATTCATCCAAATTTGCAGTTACCATTCTGTCTTTATTGTCTTTGTTTCTCTCACCAATGCTTATTTCTCATTGTTTATCATTGACAACTACTGTGTTGTCATCACTATCATTTAGCATTGTTGGTTTTTGTTGCATTAGTGCTACCCTGTTAGCACCAAACTGTTGTCTGCTGCAGCACTTGTTTAGCTTGTCACTATTGCCTGTACTGTACTATGGTAAAGGATTCTCAGTAACATAAGTACAGGTATCACATTTGTGTAACTGACTCACAGTAAGAGATAGAAACATTATATCAACTACTACAGTATTGTTAACATATAATTTTCCTTCTTTAAATGTGAGTTTGATATACAAATTGTGTGTACTGCCAGGTCAGCTGTACAGTCCAACACCCACACATCACTGTTGTAATGCTCTCTCTCGGGTCATAGGAATTGCAGTTATTCACGGTGAGCAGAAAACAAATGAAGATGAACTGGCTGATGGACGTAACTCTCCCCCACTTGTTCAACACTCACGCATCATGGACGTGGGTGTGGGAGTGCCAGCTCTTGCTGCCAAGGAGAAGCCTCCTATTAATGTGGTCGGAGATGTGGGAGGTCGCATCGCTATCATGGTGGTAAGTGGTTTGATTACTAATATACAGTACTGTATAATATATATTGTCTCCCACCACTTGCAGAGCGAAGGACTATATCAGAGGATTCAATCCATTAATGTAATTTCTTTGTTTATGCAACAACTTTACAAACTTTGATCATATTTAAGCAAACTTACTACAAAGCAACACATCTTTTAACCTTTGGATAAACTAATGTTTAAGCAAATTTCAGTCATATTTGAGTTTGACTCATGTAATTCAGACATGTTGATGAAGCACTACATGTTTCTTGAGGTCTGTAGATATAATTAGTTTTCCCTTTGCAGGATGACATGATTGACGACGTTGCCTCCTTTGTGGCTGCAGCAGAGGTATTAAAAGACCGCGGTGCATACAAGATCTATGTAATGGCTACACACGGTCTGCTGTCATCTGATGCTCCAAGACTCATTGATGATTCTCCTATTGATGAGGTTTGTACAGTACTGGATGTTGTTAGTATGGAAGGTACAATAAGTAAAGTTTTGGAATTTAATAAAATTTAAGTGGGAAAGAAAGCCCTTATAGATAACACTGACATACATGCTGCCCTTGTGTAGGTGCAGCAGCAGCCCTTGGCATGTATCACAAGCATACTGACAGGAACATTTTCGTGAGTTTGGTGTTCGATCTATGTACAATACTCAACATTCTCTCCTTAATCAAACTTCAGGAATACAAGGTCTTGATGCACTGATTAATGTTTCACTCTTTGCCACTTTCCTTGATCTTCTCTGCAGTCACGATTTTTCCATATTTGACATTCATTAACTCCAAGGGCACGTTTAATATTAGCTCTTTGTTCAATTTTGTCATAATGTTTGAGCACATCCATCTTACCCTCAGTGGTGATGGCCTTATGTTTCTTAGCACCACTGGTACCAGGACAACTTACAGGATGCTTTGGTGACATAATCAGTTGGGCTAAACATGTGCAATATACGTACAGTATACGGCAACACAAAATACTGTAGCAGTGTAGCACTTCATGATTATAGACTGTATCTACGCAAGGCATGCATTCTCATGCCACGTGTACACGTGCTTCTCATACGGGGATGACGGTGCCATACCACCACGCTTCCAGCCCAATGATGATGTGTGTCGATGGTTGCATTATTGCAAACATAAGCCCACCTAAATAAAATAAAAAAACGTGTAAATGGACCAACAACGTTATTCTAAAAATGGTGGAAACCAAACACATGTAAATCAAGAGTACCTGAAATATGTCCTGTAGGTTCATTAGTGTGAGAGATGCTGTATTACCTTTCCAGTAGTTGTGTTTATCTCTGTGTTGGGGGGATTTGTTGTTGTCTGGACTGCTCTTGTTCAGCCAAGCCTGTACACATACATGTCCTTCAGTAAATGGTTTGATGGATATAATTAGGATTTGACAGAAGTGTTGAGAGAAGACTAAGTGTACATCACCTGCTGTATGTTCAGCTAATAGTAAGATACTGAAGTTATATACAAAGATTGTTGATTTACTCTCCATGATGATCCACGTGAGTGCTAACCTCAGACTATTGTTTAAACACACACACATGGTGTCAATAAAACTGCTGATGTTTTAGGTTTAACACATGACTCATAACTGACATTACATGATCTGAGACACACAAACTGTCTCCCTGCAGGTGGTGGTCACCAACACAGTGCCTCATGAAATTCAGAAAATGCAGTGTCACAAGATCAAGACAGTTGACATCAGCATCTTGCTGGCCGAGTCCATCCGCCGCATCCACAACAATGAGAGCATGAGTTACCTCTTCCGGAATGTTACACTGGAAGATTAAACCTCATCAGACAGCAGATATATATATAGATATATATTGATACTCTACTACTACTACTACAGTACTATATATTCTTCATATAATGTAATAAAGAAACATGAAAAGGTCCTTTTTAAAATTGTATTCATATTTTATTTAAGGGACAGCCTTCTGGAGACATCCAATTGCCAGAAACAGTAATGTGAATATCTATAATTTATAATAACTGTCACTGTAGCATGTATCATTAAGTGAGACAATTGACAAAATGATAACAGGTTTTTGGGTGCCTGATGGCCTGTCGTGTTGTGTATCTTCAGTTTGCTTTAATATTTGTTTCTGGCTGTTGGATGTCTCTGGAAGACTGCTCCTTGTTTAGTCTTTTAGGTTCAAATTTTCTTTAGTTTTTAGTTTTAATTTTCATCAAGAACCTTTATGCTGATGTGTGAAGTTGTTGTCATATAACAGTACTGTACTTGTACTGCATGTGTGGCTAAACTTACCAAGAGATGACTTAATAACAATGCTTCTTGGCCCAAACTCCAGCTGAAAGAATTTGGAAGATATTCTTCTGTACCTGGGCCCAGTGACATTATTCATTCGGACAAATATGGTGTGAATGTCGTAGTTCATAACTATTGTGAATTAAGTTACACAAACTTCTTGTATAATTGAAAGTTTGTGTCAGTTTTTATTGTTCATTAGAGAAAGTATTATTTTAATTTTGTTTTATTTTGCATGTTTTATAAAAGGAATTTTAGTCAGTGTGTGTCCTGTGCTGGTCCACACCTGACCATCCCCAAGTATGAGAAGCATACAGGTACTCACTGTCACTTTTGGCTCAAAATATTTTTGTCGTCAAAATAAAGATAAATGGATATATTATGTCCAGTGTTTCTCCAGTACAAAACACACAAACACATCCTCCATTTTTATCAGCTATTCAGCAATAGTTCAACTCATAGTACTCATTCTTAACACAAAATAATGGTGGCTGGCTGCAAGAACAGCCATCCTTCCCTCCCTAATAAAGCCACTAACAACTGCATCAAACACCAGGTAAACAAATTAATACAGGTGTGTGGGAAGTATCATAAGAGAGTGAAGAAATGCCTCGTGTTGGGTGAGGCTGAATCATTAACCCACCTGGTCCACAAGTACTATCTCAGCCTTATTAACATCACTGTCCTTGCTTCTCAACATCCCACACTGAACCTTAATCCATAATAACACACAACTCTTCCCATACCTTCAGAGCTCCCCTGAATTAATGCCAGTTTGTATCAATGATAAATATATTTTTCACCAGTGAAACCAGAGTGTGTGATGTACAGTAGCATACATAGGTCCTGTCACTTCTACTGCTGCTCTACAAACCCCGAGATTCAAGGAGCAGTAGAAGAGGCAATAGGACTTTTGTTCGTGACTGTACAGTACATAGTTACTTCATCATATAGTGTAGAATTATCTCACTAACATAAGAATCAACAATGAAATTAACTAATTGTAAAGTCTACATCTAATTATAACCTTAGGACAGTAATTTGTGTTCAAGTAAACTACCTGTACAACTATAATTGCTGTTGAGATACTGAACTATACTAATGCTCACTGAAATTGATCAGATACTGTATACCTCTTACTTTTAATAATAATATGTGATAATAAGTTCATTTCATGGTATAATTATTAATAATCTAAGGGTCAGGTTATGATACATCTCTAATACAAATCTTATTTTGAAAGAACAACTTTTATTTCATCCATTTCCTTTCATTCTTCAGGGTCAAAATACACTGTACAGTGCTATTCTGGTGGTGTGTTCAGAGCTGTTTTCCTCATGACGGTCATAGACTCACTCACCCTCCCTGTACAGTTTTATGTTTAACATCATATGTCAAACCTAATAACTTGTTATAGACATTATACTGTAGGTCCATCATATTAAAAGTAGCTTGTTGTAGAAAGTATAAAAATTTGTTCAACATTAATAGGTGCATAATCATGTGTGTCCTTTATAATTGCAGATTTAATATTGTGTCAAGCAAAGTAAGTTGTGATCGTTTAATGCAGCAGCCTGGTAGGACAGGACAGGAGAGCATGCACACACTCACTGGAATTACTTGATGTGTGTGGTTAAGGGGGAATTCTTGGGGTACTGTAATGTATATTTGAATACAGTAGTGGGATTTTCACAATGGATTTCTTATACACTGTGTGACTGATGATTGATATTTTTTTCTTTCAGTCATAAAATCAGAACCTAAGAAATAAGTAATGTACTGTACTGTACTGTTCAATGAACCTCTTATTGTGCACTGATTCAAAATATCAAAAGAAGAAGTTGGACACTCAATCATTATTCCTATCTACTTGTAGAGAAAGGAGAAGTGCCCTGTAATTTACTATTGGGGGAAGCCACCACATGACCAGTCAATTTCATGGTGTTTAGCGTCCCTGAGTATGTCAGTCCCAGTACACTGCCCTGTGGTGCCCCACTTTTCATGGGTACATGTGACGATTTTGTACTATTAATCACCACACACTGTCTACTGTCATGAAGATAATTTTATCCACGCTCGGACTCTCCCCAGAATTCCACACCCTCCCTGTTTAATTTTCAGCCTTTCATAACGTACACTGTCGAAACCCTTGGCAAAGTCTAGATATACAATACGTGTATCAATATTCCCACCACGCTCAAGGACCTGTGTGCACAAATCCTGCACCTTAAGTAATTGAGTCAAGCAGGAGCGTCCCATCATAAAACTATGCTGACATTCCTTTACTAGGTTGTTTCGTAGTAGATGTTCCATCAAGGCATCTCGTATGATGCTCTCAAGTACTTTACACATCATGCTGGTCGTGCTCACAGGCCTATATACAGTACTATTTTTCAGTTGTTACACACACATCAACCCGGAGGTCAAATTTCATAAAATCAGTAAATAAGATTTTGATTACTGAGACAGACAAACAAACAGATACAGGAATAAGTGCAATGCACTCTCCGATCACCAGGCAGGGGCTAATAAAGTTATTGATTTATCTGATTATATACCCCCTACTTCCCTCATCGTTTTCCCACCCCTCCGTCTCACACCTCTTTACTCCTCCACCTCTTCCACACCCATCTCCACATTCCCGAAACACCATCGTTTAACCCTCCCTATGACACCACCTCCCTTCCCCTACCCCTCCCTCCGACACTTCCTTACCCCCACTCCTCCCTACCCCCATCCTCACCCCCACTCCTCCCTACCCCCATCCTCACCACCTCCCCCTCCGCCGCTTTTTTCCTAGTTGTATTAATAGTAATGATTAAGCACAGTTATGCTCATCTCAGAATGTACCAGAATTGGCGCACTGCAAAAAACAGGTAATTTATCATCATAAAATAATTTACAGATGCTTACCAAATTCTTGTAAATATGACAAAAAATTATATACAATCCAATCCAGTCTTTATATTTAACGATGAACAAATTGTATCCACGTGTGTGTGTGACGTCGTTTGTTTAATTCGTTTCCAAACCGATACTGTGAACACATTTTTGCGAGTATCTTACAGCATCTTAAGCACCCAAAAATAACTTCCATTTATTGTCACATTTTCCTGTCTTAGATGATTGTTTTTAAATATATTGCCATTTTTTACAAACTGGAACCATTGAAAATTTCACCCAACGGAGGACACGTATGCAAGTGGTGAAGCTGTGTTGCCTGCGTGTCGATGCTGTCCCACTCACCACGATGTATTGCCACGGACGTACATACATATATACATACATACATATAATCAAACAATATATCCTCACTTTACCCCGGCATAAACATCAATCATAACTAATAATAATAGTAATAAAAACATCAATATTAGATAATAACTGATAATAACAAAATAACAGTAATAACAAGAAAACACAGGTACACCCAAGTACAATATATGGCTTAACAAACAGGTTAAGTGAATGAAACCTGAAAAATCCACTGAACTCAAAATGCGACTCCACGGTCAGACCTCTATTCTTTTTCCCACATGTCCCAGAAATGTTGCTAAATGTTTCACGTCTTACAATACCTCTTGAAAGTTTTGTGAAGATGGTGATCATTCGCCAGATAGATTCGTTCAACATAACAGTAAAGGCATAATGCCTGGTAGTTTTTTTTAAATATCTCAGTAGTAGTTGTTGCTATAGTGGTGGTGGTAATGGTGTTATGGTTGTGATGTGGTGGTGTTGTGATGTGGTGGTGGTGGTGTCAGGGTTGTGATGGTGTTATGGTGGTGATGGCGTGGTGGTGTCGTTGTTGTGTTTGATAGCTATCGAGACGTTGATAAATATATAGAATAAGGCGATGGATGATAAGTAAATAGATAAATGGATAGATGGGAAAAGTGATAGATAAATAGATCGTAAAATCATTGTACGGTGTCACACTGATTCCAACATAAACAGTGCAGGTAAACATTGTACTGTACATAATATCCCAAGCAAGACGTTCAAAGATTCCGTTACGTTGAGATGGACTAATGAAATATCAATAAACCTAGTTATTTTATCATCACCCGCAATAACACACACACACACATGCATACATCCATTACTGCAACTTTCCATCCCACTTTCCTTCGTGCACAAGAACTTTAACGGCACACTTTCCCTTGAATAGAGAATTCTCCCACGCTGGCATCTCTCCACCGAGCTAAAGATAATTTTAGTAGCTGTGAAAAAGAGATCAGTGTCTTTTAAATGTTACTTTTTATTGACACGTAATTAATTTATACATTAAGTGTTCTTATTACAATGTTGGTTCGATAATGTGTGTGATAGAAAGATAAACAGGGTTAAAAGAGACAAAGACATAGAGAGATAACACAACATTATACAAACAATAACCTTCTCCATTAACCTAACCACATAATGCAGGGAAAAGTACAGGACGTTGCAACTGTCAGAGGAACGTGCATGACAGTTGCACTCCGCCAACTAAGTGTCTCTTATACTCTCTCCACACACACACTAGACATGTTGATCCTGGACGAGATAAATAGATAAGGTATTCAGTAAAATTATCATATAAATCCACATTGGTTTATCATTTAAATAGACAGTGAAGATACTCAAACAATTTACATCGACGGTGCAGGTAAACAAACAATGGTAAATAGTAAGTCAATTAAACCAATGCAAGACCAAGAAAGACGTTCAAAGCTAATTTATAAATATACACCAAGGATCTCTAGTACAGCCCCTCCTTTGTTCACCACCACCACCCTCATCCTGTTCCGCCTCACAGCTACCTCACTCAACTGCTATCAAGTGAAGGAGCTTAGTGGTATAAAAGCCTTTAATGTGTTTTGGGGGCTATGTTTGGTTAAATGGACTGCTTATCATTGTTTTATACCTGTACTGTCTGTGGATATTGTTTGTATACTTGTACTGTATGTATATTGTCTGTATACTTGCACTGTACATTGTTGTATACCTGAAGTTTCTATGTATATTAAGTGCATACCGTATCCGCATTGTCTAGTTATATATGAGGAACCAATGTGAACTTGTATGAAGATTTTACTGAATATCTACCAATCAATGCATAATGTTGCAGTCCGCCGCATCATAACAAACTCCTCAGCGCCATAACTCAGTGACAGATCCGGAAAATGGTGATTACCAAACACACGTGTCAGATCTGGTGAAATGCCGACACATCAAGGCTGGCTGAGACACTGCTTACGTGAGTCATGAGAGCGGTGATATCTCCCAGACTCACGGACTGAAGGATACAAATTTCTCTTTCCAGGAAGACGAGAATGATAAGGTCTGATCAACTTCCTCGAAACTCTTAGAGAAAAAAATACAGCTATTAAATCACCTCCTCGTGATATTTAATACCCTTGAGTTTTCCCGAATCAATAAACTTAAGAGTAGTCAACAGGTGAGAGAGAGAGAGAGAGAGAGAGTGTGGACTTGAGAAGGATGTGAACGAGTCTTGCCACTAAAGTAGGAGGCAACAGCTACTAGTCAGCCACAGCCTGACGTTCACCACAGTCACTACGGCAGCAGGAGCAGGACCACCACCACCAGCAGCTGGCCGTGATCCACTGGTCACTCGTGTGGTCTTCTCAGCAACAGGTGGCGCCCACTACCGTGTCCCTGACGTCACTATGACGTCACACAGTGGGGGGGGGGGGGCGGCTCGTCTCAGATGGTCTCAATCTGGGATAATATTTCCCCGCGCCCACAACACCAAGACTGATTCAACTAAACTAGACCCTCTCTAACACGACTCAACTTCAAGTAATTAAACAAGAGACTTCTATTGTTTACGTTTGGATGTTTTAGTTTAATACATTGTATTATGTTACTAATAATGCATATAGGAAGAAGGAACTGGGTATGTTGATTGACATTACGTATACACATACATACGTACATATATTTATTCAGCAAAATTGTCAAATTCATACATTGATTTAGCATGTAAAGTACATAGACATTACAGGTATACAAACAGTGTATATAGACAGTGCAGGTATACAAACAATAGTAAGCAGTAAGTATTTAACCAAGGATAGTCCAAATAACTCTATACAGCAACACGTGATCACAACATGACACAGCAATGTTTAAAGGATCACATGAAGATATACACCCCAGCTTATTTCACCTGATAATTAAACACCCTGACGCTATCTTAACATGGCCTAACCTAAAGCTAATCTAACTTATCTCAATTTAAC